GATTTAAATATATGCAGATAGAAAATTTCTATTTATTAGCCATGAGATTAGGCATTAAAGAGCCCAGTATCAGTTGGGAGACCATCACCTGTACCCCAGACCACCTACCAACTTGAATACCACTTCAGCTAAAATGAAAAACAAGGCAGTCCACCTTCAAACCAGTGCAAATGAGAACTTTATTTTTTGTTAACTTGCTCAATGTACTCATGGAAATCAGGACAAATGCTTGTCGCCTAACTGCTGCCTAAACAAAACAAAGGCTCAGTAAAGACAGGATATAATCTAACACCCACATCATCTCTGTGCAAGGAAATGAGAGGAACACTGAATAAGACGGCCATGGGATAAGTCTTTGTTAATGTTGGTGGCATTTGTATCTTATTTGTAATGCAAATGGACAATGTTGAAAATATGTGACTTCCTTTCCCTCTAGTGGCTGATCTAAGTAGTTGTATAATTATTGTTATTTGCAAAATAGTGTCATGAACAGTACAGGTGGCGACCATTTTGTGTGGGGGTTTTGTTCCTGGCCCCCACGTGTGCTGGTGGAGCATGCATAAGCCCAGCCTCTTATGCCCCACCCCTGTTCTGCCCTCTTTTGGTTCCAAAAGGACCCACGTGTTGGCTGTCACGCATCAACTGAACGCACACAAAATAGTCACTCCCTGTACTCAGTGTTTTATTCCATTTCCCAAGAAACTCAAGACAGAATACGAAGTTTTCACCTGCCCATTTTATCCTCCCAAAAACTCTTTGAGAAAGGCTAGGCTTAGAGAGATTGTCTCCCTGGCCCAAGGTCACTCAGGACTGGTTGGGTCTTCGCTGAGTGGGGAATTGGAATCCAGCTCTTGCTTATCCTTGGCTCATACTCTTACAAAGCCTTTGCCAACCAGATGCCCTCCATGCTGGCAGGCTGGGGTTGAGGGACTGCCAGTACTGCAGACTGAAATGCTTGAGTGGGCATATATAGGGTAAGGCCATTGTGCAAGGAAACCATAGCTGTCAACTTACAGATTTGAAAATAAGGGACCAGCAGCCTCACATGTTCCAGGCACTCCAGTCTTCCTGTCCTCCTGCAGTCTGGTCAAACTCATGCTGGTAGCTTCGAGAACACTGTCCAACCAACTTTGTAACCAGAGGTTCAACTGAATAGAATCTGAATCACATGCACCACAAGGCCTATGCAGCCTCAACTTAAGCTGGCTCCCCGGCCTAGCAAAGTTTGCAGCAGCACGTGCAACAAAATGGCGTCCAGCATTCAAAAAAAAACCTCAGCTTGCATTAACTAGCCACACACAAGGCATGCAAGCTCCACCCCCCCAGTCGTTCTTAGACTTCTTATTGGGTGAGCAACACAGCCAAGCAACACAGTTGGAGCCTCCCTCCTCCCTGGCCGGAAGGGAGGGAGGGAGAGGAGCTGCTTCCTTTGAAATTTAAGGGACATCATTTAAGGGACATTTAAGGGACATCCACCAATAAGGGACAGCAGCGGGACATGGCGCTGGAATAAGGGACTGTCCCTTCAAATAAGGGACACTTGACAGCTATGAAGGAAACTGGTCGCAAGCTCATCTGCAAGTCACCAGCTGTTCCTTTTAGCTAAAGATGTTGGGAGTTGATTGATCCTGGGGCTTTCTGCAAGCAAAGCATTTGTTCTGTTACTTCCTCCCCATACAATGCATATCAGTGTTTAGAAATAAATTAAAAAATTGTCCAGTAGCACCTTCAAAAAGGAATTAGCTCAAGTTCAACATGGCCAAAAAAGGAACTCATCCCAGTTCATATCTGTTCCTTTAATGAGCTGGTTCAGTGCACATTCAGCTCACAGTTAAGTTCAAGGTCATTCAAATGATGTTTGGCAATAGAAAATAGAAAATAGCATTCAGAATGTTACAAGCTCCTCTACTGAGTGGAATGTGAATTGTTTAGTTTATCCCCCCCCCCAAAAAAAACATGTGACATACCTTTTGATAGCACAACCATGATTAATAAAATTTATCAATATATGCAATCTCACTTTAAATTTCTGAAGTGTTGATTTGCCCTCTAGTGGACAGATGTACAACAGCACCTTATTTCAAAGGAGGAGGGAATTCTTAGGAAAATTTGTGACAGCTCAGAAGAAGGGACAGAATGACTTTTATAGAATTTAGACTATATTAAAATTAACATAGAGGGACACAGGTTACGATGTGGTCTAAACCACAGAGCCTAGGGCTTGCTGATCAGAAGGTTGGTGGTTCGAATCCCCGCGACAGGGTGAGCTCCCATTGCTCGGTCCCAGCTCCTGCCCACCTAGCAGTTTGAAAGCACAAAGTGCAAGTAGATAAATAGGTATCGCTCTGGCAGGAAGGTAAACGGCGTTTCCATGCGCTGCTCTGGTTCGCCAGAAGCAGCTTAGTCATGCTGGCCACATGACCTGGCTCCCTCGGCCAATAAAGTGAGATGAGCGCCGCAACCCCAGAGTCGTCTGCGACTGGACTTAACGGTCAGGGGTCCCTTTACCTTAAAATTAACATAATAGCATTCAACAGAGAGAAATTTAGATTTATACATTTAGGCAAAAATCAGATGCATAGTTATAGGGTGGTGGAGACTTGGCTTAGCAGCAGAACATGTGAAAAAGATCTCAGAATTATAGGAAATCTCAAGCTGAATATGAGTCAGCCATGAGATGCAAATGCAAAACAAGCCTAATGTGATTTTGTCTGCATTAAGAGAACCATAATTTTTGAAGTTGTGGAAAATAATTCCACTTTGTTCTGTCTGTTCATACTTTAGACGGGGACCTGCTTTAGGCACCATATTTTAAAAAGAATATAAAGGAACAGGTTCAAAGAGGGGCAATGAAAATGATCAGATATGTGAAAAACAAGTTCTATGATAAATGGATGGGGGAGCTAGGTATATTTAGCGTGGCATAAAGAATAATCAGAAGGTGGTGCTCTTCAGAATTGTCATATAGAAGACTGGCATAGCTAAAAGACAAACATGTTCCATCAATGGGTATTAATGACATTTGGTGTCTAGTGGCTAATTATAATGCAGCATTCCCTGTTGATTGTCTCATCACTGCCGTTTTAAAAAGCCACTGTGGTTTGTTTTTTTGCATACCTTCTTGGTCTAATTTAATTATCGCTATCCATACTGTTCACATTTCATTCCCACAGCAACCAACTTGATGTGGAAAATGTTTCTTGATGGGAGAAAGTTTCAAAAGCTTTGCTGCAAGAATGTAACACAAGAAAAGTCTGCTGAATCACTACAATGGTTCATCTCTGTTCACACAACCAGATGTCCTTATTTGAAACCAAGCAAAACCTGAGTACAACACTATCCCTAAATGTGAAATTTAGATGTTTTGCCCCAGTGTGCATCAATTTATACTTGCTTACTTTGAATTGCATCTGCCTAATTCTGGAGAGATCCTTTTGGAGCTTTTTGTTTTTACCACCCTGATTGTTTATTGGAGCTTATATTGATTATTGTTGGGATAAGTTGCAGAGGCCAGAACCTTATGGTTTGAGTACTTCATACTCCTTCCTCTAAGTTTGTCATCTCTAGGCTGCAATGCCCTTTCTCCAATGTCGTCTCCACAAAACGTAGCAAGTATGTTATCAGCATACTCATCCACTGTCAGTAGCCTTGGATCTGATGGGGTTAGATCAAGAATGGAAAAAGACTCCTCAATGTCCATTTCCTTCTGTCTCTTTCTCCTCTGGGGGTGGGTAGAAGACACCAAAAACAGCAAAGGTAGGAAAAGATAGAAGAGAAGAAAAAATCATGAAAGAATGAAAGGAGAGAAGTAAAAAGGACTTCCAATTCTCCGTCTGTCAGTTGCATATCGGGCATTGTGTCCATGGATGGGTCACTACTCTGCACTCACCTCCTGCTAATCAGGAGTTACATCCAAATTAGTGACATGCAGCAACAAAGGTGCTTGGTGGGCTTCCTAATTTAGTTCAGAAGCGTGTTTCATCTATCATAACTTGGGACAGCCTCACTATTAATGACTGCAGAAGTGCAAATACATATTAATGCAACAGCAACATAGCCATCCTATGCTTCCGAGGAAGACCAACACTTCAGCAAAGTGGTCTGGTAAGACACCTTTTGCTGGATATATCTTTATTCAGAAGTTAATCCTGCAGAACTCTGCACACCCTAGGCATGGCTGCCGGGAATAGGGAGTTTCTGTTCATAGTGCTTTCCAGAGTGTCCAAAGCACTTCCCTTGCATTCCTTCACTAGTATACTATCCCACCTTAAAATTGTTGCCTTTTTATTGAAGCAAACCACCTCAAGTGAGTTTCCCCCTCCATAATGGCAGCCTGTAAATATTTTAAATAAATTAATAAGTTGAAGTGCTGCTCTTCCGTTTTTAGGAAGCTTTGCAAATATTTCCTTTTATAATTGAGAATTTGTTATAGAGTTGTTTTTGACAGAGCTGGACGCAGAACAGGAGGTTGTAGCTTAGTTTGTTTGGTTTAATGAATTAGTTTGAATGAATTGCTTACCCTTTTTAGTTTTATTTTTCCTTTTTAGTTTTATTTTTGTTGGTGTGATAAGTTGCCATGATGTATATATGGAAAGTTGGCATATAAACAAATTAACTGTATAAATAATAATGGGGGGGGGAATATTCCCACCCTGTGCATGTCAGGCAGAGGCTGAGTTTTATGTCACCTCTTATGTGAGGTGAAATTCAGGCTCTCCCAATTCCCAGCTCTGCCCCTTATCTGGCAGGGTGATATAGTGGGCAGAGCATCACACTAAAACCTGGGAGACCAGAGTTCAAATCCCCATCTAGCCATTAGGGCTGTTCATAAAAAACTTTTTTTGAAAATGTCTGCTCCAAAGGTCTTATCTTACTGCAAAAGGGATTATATAGCTATATCTAAAATTTCATGCATATCAGTTAATATCTTGACCCTCCTCCACTGAATTGAAATTTCAGCCTTCATGACATAGGAAAACGGCCAAGTAAATAGCTATTTTCATCACTTTATTACCAATTCAGCTTTATTTTGCAGGAATTGCATTTCTTAAAAGAACAATAAAAGATGCAGAATACAAATTGATACAACACCAGTACTTTTTTTTTATTAAAAAAACCCTTTTAATGATGATAGTATTGACGTTTAAATCCAAATGTGACTCATACGATCCTACAACATTATTATTTCTACATTTAAGCAACTGGATACGTGAATATTGAATACCAACTTTTATTATGACATAACGTAATACTAATAATGACATGTAAGGTTACTTATACATTACTTCAAGAACAAATTAAAAAATAAAGCTGTGAATGTGAACTATTTTTGGACAAAATCCTTCGATTCCTGTTTCGGGTATTTGGCCCAATTCTCCATTGATGTCTTTATAGTTGCATCACATCACTTCATACCAACTACATTCTGGCTTGCTTTTGTCACCTCCTTGACAGCTCTCTCCACCATTTATGTGTGACACTTAAATTTAGGTCTTAATAAGTCTTAAAAAATAAGTCTGAATTATTTGCAGGACAAATATCTTCCTCTATTGTTTCAACTGTATCTTCACCACAGTCACCAGTATCAACAATATCAACATTATCAGCAGCAACAATCTGAAAGTGAGATTCTCGTTGTTGTCATTCCTGTGCAGCCCTGGTTCCCTCTGCTTTCTTACTTAACTCTTTCTGCTGTTGTTTCCTGGTAGCCTTTATCCACTGTACTACTTATGGTCATCTTCCGAACGGATCGCTGATCTTTGAGAAATTCACTCTCTATCTTTGGCACATTCTCATTGTCAACAACTTCGAACAAACAGGAAATTCCTTTCAGAAACACATCTTTCTTATTTTTGAAGAAGTCTGAAAGATCATAGGGATTTGGACACTTTGGATTCTTATACCTCCTGGCAGCTGGTATTCTGATTATGCTTTGACGCTTTTCATACACTTTCAGAACACGGGCCTTAATTGTGTCTTTTCGGACTGTTGGTATGGATGCACGTTTGTAAACACTTTCAACTTTCGACACAACAATCTCTGCAATAATAGAATTGTCTGGTTCCTTTTTTGCAGAGTTTTCAATCATCCATTTTTGTTTCTCATGCAAGAAGCACCTAGCAATATCCAATTCTGTTGGAAGTACGCTCACAGGCAAATCGGCCGGCTGACCAAACGCCAGTTGATCTGTAGATATTCTTGTGGCTATTGATGGTGAAGCTGCCATTATCTAATAGTCTATTGCTCTCACTCCTTAAATGTCTTTCACTTAATACAGACTGTCCTCAGACTCTTCAATCAAAATATTAGAGTTGCACACCTGTGAACAAGACAGAATATTAATATTTTGAGATATAATAAGAGAAAAACATATATTGAAAATAGCTGGGATAAAGGAAATCATATTCAGCATCTTGTTCTTAAAAAATGCAATTCCTACAAAATAAAGCTGAATTGGTCATAAAGTGATGAAAATAGCTATTTACTTGGCCGTTTTCCTATGTCATGAAGGCTGAAATTTCAATTCAATGGAAGGTCAATATATTAACTGATATGAAATTTTAGATATAGCTATATAATACCTATTGTAGCAAGACCTTTGCAGCAGACATTTTTTAAAAAAAATAAAAAAAATTATGAGCCACCCTACTAGCCATGAACCTCATTGTAATTGGGCCACTTGCTCTCTGCCTAACCTACCTCACAGGGTTGTTGTGGGAATAAATGGGGAGAAGCACACGTGCCGCCCTATTATTATTCCTGTAATAAACCGACCAGATACTTTTTCAGCTGACAGGATGCCCCACCAAGCATGTGTATGTATAGAAGGGCAGGATAGCTAGCAAGGATGCAATGCGTTGCGCATTTTCCTGGGAGTAAGTCTCTGGCGCAAAGAGCGCCGTTTCCTCAGCAGGACCTTGGTGGGGCTTCCTTCCACGAAAGAAGGCGCGGCAGGGGGAGCAGCTGCTGCTGCTGCTACATCTCTACTCTGCCCTTCATCCAACCGAGGATCGCAGGGCGGCCGACAAGAGAGACCTTTGCGAGGGGCTCTGCCAGGCGCCCGCGCGGTCTCCCTCCTGCGTCAGGGGAACCTTTTCGCCTTGTTTGTGCAGTTTGGCGGGGGGGGGGGGAGGGGAAGCGCCTCCCCCTGATGTCTTCCGTTTTCAGACGAAATAGAAGGCGCGATTGTCTTATGGCGAGACTTAATGAGGTCCGCAGGCTAGAGACCCACCGAGCGCTCGCCTCGAATATGAGGGAAAGACCCCCCCCCTCCGCGCAGGCCGCCACCTCCATTTTTCTCTCTCCGCGCAAACAAACAAGCAGGGGAGGGGGAGACAATATGGGCGGGAAACTCTCCTTCTTCCCGATTGGTTCAAAGTGCTGTTATTCAGTTGATACCGCCTCCTGTACGACCGCTTTTGTCGTTTACTGGTCAAAAGGGTAGTCACTCCACACTCTTCTCTCCTACGCGGAGCGACGCCTTGTCCCGCCCCCTTCGCTCTCTACGTGCCGTGTGCAAAGGAAGAGGGGGTGGGGGGTTGATGATTGTAAAAAAAAAAAACAGCCGTTAAACGGACCGCGGGGCGGAGCTTACGCGAGGAAGTAAGAAGCAGTAATTGGATTGGTCAAGGCGGGAGGTTCAAACTAGCATGGCTTGCTCTGATTGGTTCGCGGTGGCCGCGGCAGGCCAGGCTCCCTCCTCGCGCTCAGGCGGGTTATTGTCTGTCGACTTTCTGAGGCGGCTCTAGCTCGGAATCGGGACCGGTCCTCACAGGGCAGCGACGGAACCATGGTGAGCGGGGAGAAAGACTAAGGACGCGGGGCAGGGGCAAGCGAACCTCGCGGAGAAATAGCTCCGGACCCGCAGGCAGGAAGACCTCGCGGGGTCCCGACTTATTTCCAGCGCCGGCGCCAAGGGAAGGGTGTCGGGGGCGGGGAAGGACCCGAGCAAGTTGCGCTCCCGGCTCCGCCTGAGGCTCCGCCAACCTCCGCGTGTCATGGGGCAGGGACGCGTGAGCTGGAACCCCCGTTGGCAAGGGCTGGTGGGGAAGCGAGGGATGACGCTGCCGCCTGCCTTCATTTTACGAGGCGCCTTGGAAGCCCCGCCTCCGTCGGGGCCTCTTCCCGCTTCGGAGTGTACCTCGTTTTCTGGGGGTGGTGTTTGTTTTTTTTAAAGGAAGGTGTGAACGCGCGTGATGCGAGTCTCAGGCGGATACTCTTGGTGGCGGCGGGATCCGAGAGCCGCGCGCAGCAACTTCCAGAGTCGGGGATGTGCGCGCTTGGTGGCAGCCCGGGGTCTGCCTTGTGTCACGTGTGAATCCTGGCTCTGGGAGGAATCTTGTGGAGCATGTGCCATCTTCACAAACGGGGCGGCTTCTCCCGACCCAGACGCGCCCGAGGGCCCTGGCCGTGGGTCACACTGACAGGCCGAAGGGCCTCGTCGCTTCTCCAGGCAGTTGGAGGTGATAGGGGGCAGCTGCCAAGCGGTGCCAGCAGGCCGGCTCGTCACCACCTCCTCGCCTCTCTAAGGCGCATCTGGGAAGAGATTTCCTAGCAACGTAATGCTGTATAAACGTCAGGCGCTCCGGATTTATTTCCTGACGCGGGCTTCAGCTTGAGTCTGACGGGTCCCGCCAGAAGCGGCCCTCGATGTGACAGCCTGGCGCACTGGAGCCCCTGCCTGCCGCTTCGGGAAGTGGCCTTTCTGCTCCTCCCCCCTCGCCAAGTCAACGGGGTTGTAGGCGAATGACGTCTGAAGATGTGCTGCCTTCCAGTGCAGCGTGAGCCTATGCGTGTTTACTTAAAAGCAAATCCTACTGATTGCAGGGGACATAACGCCCATCTTAACCATGTTTAGGGCTGTTTAATTGGCGCCAAGTCCAGTTGGTCTCAGTGGGACTTCATTTTTATAAAGGCTGCAAATGGGCAGTTGACACTTCCCGCAGGCTAAAGATTAATTTTAAGTTTCACTGCTGATGTGGTTGCAGTGCTACTTTAAGGTTTTAGTTTTCTAAGCAGGAATTTTAAAAAGTATTTTACTTAATGGTGAGATACCTTCCAGTGAGCAGGTTAATAGGCAAGGAGTTATCACTTCTTGCTTGGGCTGCAAGTGACTTGATCTGTTCTCTTTGTATTCAAAGTTAATGTAAACTGTTAAAGGATACAAGATAATTTATATATTCTTGTAGTTGAATGCCCAGTAGAAAAACATTTTAATCACGGTTATTTGCATAATAAACCTAAGGTAGAGAATGTCCCAGTAAGATGGCACTGAAGTTTGCCTGTCTGGTTTAAAAGCTATGCATGTAGAGCTTAAAAGTTTTTCTGGCAGATCTGGCAATTATTATTCATTCTGCTCAGTTCTTCTATATCAGTTGGAAATAACTTAATATATTTCAATCTTGCTTTACAAGTCTGCAGTAATCAAGTTTGATATAGCATTCTAAATTCCAAAGAAATTGCTTGCAGTTTGTTAACTTACTGTCTGCATGCAGTTAGCATTGTGTCCTTAGAGGAATCTCAGGTAAGATTCTAACTGTTGACTGTTTTTGTCCCATAATATAAATATAATCTTAAGCATAGCTCATAGGGAGCATTGAACTTGGGGCAGTTTGGACTAAACAGGCTTAGTACTGACAGTCTGATCTAAGATCTTATCTTTCTACTTCATCATAAGCTTACCATAGAATACAGGGCTCATCTTTTTTGGTGCAGCTGATGTGACTGGGTAAATGGTTAATTCAACTGCTGAATATAATGTGACAGGACTGATAATTGGCAAAATTACCAATTTTGGTTTTATAACTCATTGAGCCTGACTTATTACATAATTGGCTTTCATTTTTCTTTAAAAAGCTATAAACTAATAGTAAAGTCAGTCTTTCAGCAAGCTGTAAGATATATTTAAAACATTTTGTACTCTGCCTTTTGATTAAACATGTTTAATACAGCTTAAAAATAAATTAAACAGTTCAATACAGACACTATAAAAATAGTAAAACATTGAGAAGTGAAACCAACACCAGGATTTTAAAAACTAGCAACTTAATAAGGTTTAATCTGGTGATAATTTAGTTCCAGGTAAGCCTGTTAAGATATCCCTTAACTTACACATCCCCTAACACATAGCTTTGCTTGTACAAGATGCATTTTGACTCAACAGAAAATTCAAATTTAGTTTTGAGAAGTCTTGGGAAATATGCATATAAAATATACAGCTTATTTTTTAAAAAAAAATGTATGGAGACAAGGGAGCAGCAAGACATTAACTGCAGTTAAAATGCCCAAACAGTTGGCAAGGTTCTCAATATGTGCAGGTGTTTACATGCAACACCTACCCATATCTGAGGGTTGCACACAAGCGATCGTCAGGAATGAGGAGCCTGCGTCTGTCGGCTCCCATCAGTCTCAGTCAATATGACTAATGATCAGGGAGATGGGAATTGGAGCCCAACAACATCTGGAGGGCAACAAGTTCTTAATCCCCTGGTTTATGCAATATGTGAGCATCTCAGTGCTGTGTCAACAGCTTTTGAATAGCTATTTGCCTCAGGTTGTGAATATGCCCCATTGAAACAAGTGGTTGTTTTGGTGTAGGGTTGTTCGACCTGACACGGAGGTAATCTGAAATGATTATTGAATGAAATAGTCTTAAATCACATGTTCATAAGTTTCAGTAGCATTTAAGTGAACACAGTCTAGTTACGGCCATGTAGTTAAAAGGTACTGTATTTACATGAATCTAATGTGCCATCAAATCAATTTTCAAAACATTGAAACCAGAAAAGTATTTGCTGGTGAATGTAAATGTGCCATCAAATCTTACGCACGCCCTAAATTTTGGAACTTATTTTAGTAAAAAAGTGTGCATAAATACAATAAAATATCTCTGGTATTATCATTTGGCATCTGTACCACTTTTCCTTCTTCAATAAAGTAGATAAAAATAATTTCCTTTGCTAAAAATATATATGTGTGTTCAGTTAGATTATCTAGCTTGATTGGAGTCTCTTAATTGGCTTATCAGTACGTAACTTGAGTGCTAGGGTCCCAAAACCAAGTCCACATCCATCATTACTCCTGCTGTGGTACCAGCACAGATGTGCTGCCAAAGGTGGAGAAAATATATGGTTCTCATCCATTTCTTCCTTACAGAGCTTGTGATAGCCCTGTAAAGCCTGTTGGTGGTCAGTGACACCCTTCATTAGCTAATATTGGGGGGAAACCCTATTTACAGTGCAGCAGCTAAAGCATATTTGTAGGATCAGGTTGACTGTTATACCTTGTGGTTTTGAAGTACATCACTGGCAGTGTATTTGACATAGATTCTGATTCATTGTATGTAAAGCTTCACTTGGTCCTGTCACAGCTTTTCTCCTTTGATTACTATCTGGATAAATGGGTCTGGCATGAACATTATTAAGTTAACTCTTGTGTAGGCCATATGTTCTCTTGTTGGCACTAGAGTTTTACATTATAAAATGCCCAGATTATTAACATTCCTTAAAATATAGGGTCAAAACCAAGTAGTCTAAATTATTCACTTTCCTTACCTTATTTAATTCAATGTATAAGTTGCCAAATATTTTCTAGGTGACTGAAGTTCATGAATGCAACTCTACACCCTCTTGGCACTTGTGTGGTCCTCAGAAACGTAATAAAAACCTGGATATTTTATAGTGTAATCCTATGTACAGTGGTACTTCAGGTTACAGACCCGCTAACCCAGAAATATTACCTCAGGTTAAGAACTTTGCTTCAGGATGAGAACAGAAATCGTGTGGCAGCAGCTGGCAGCCCCATTAGCTAAAGTGGTGCTTCAGGTTAAGAACAGTTTCAGGTTAAGAACGGACCTCCGGAACGAATTAAGTACTTAACCCGAAGTACCACTGTATTTTTATTCAGAAGTAAGTCTTTAAGTGTTCAGTAGACCTTTTACCTGGGCAAGTGCTTAGGAATGTAGCTATTGGTTCAGCTATTGGGAGACTGCTGCCTCAGGAGAGTGAGGAAAATTCTTAGGGATACCCTGGCCAGCACTTCTTTAATCTCCTACCTTCAGGCAGGAGATACAGAAGTATAGTCAGCCGCACCAACAGGTTAAAGAACAGTTTTTATCCGTGGGCTGTTGAATGGAAAAAAATAGTGGTGTAATTGACTTCTGACAAGCACACAGAGCGCAAACAAGATTGAGTGTATGTGGGGGGGGGGGCTCGTTTAATTTCAGTGCACACAGGTGGTGTAGGGACAATAAAGGTTTATTATTATTATTATTATTATTATTATTATTATTATTATTATAGCTTGTGAAAAGAGTTTCTAGCTTTCAAGATTCCCAGAAGCTCTTTGTGCAAACTTATTTTGATTTGAGTATTATAGCACACAACTAAAGTCAGCTTGTTTGTGAGCAATATTTTTAATCCTGAAAAGTGTGTATAATCTAAAACATTTAGTTTCAGGATTTGAAACATCCTAGAAAATATGTGAAAAAATACACAAATCAGTGTAATTTGCATTAAAAAAATTCCGATGTCCCAAAGAGACATCTAATTGAGCATGTTTATTTCACTTGCATTTGGTGAACAAAATAAAAAACTTTGAAACTGCCAGACTTACCTAATAGAATTTGTAGTTGTCAACTACATTTTGTTACTATTCTAATGAATTTATAAAACATAACACTTTCTAGAAAATTTTCCGTCCCACACCTCTGAGATGTATTAAAATGAAAAACTCCATATCGGCCTGTTCACACCTGTGTTTGCAAACCACTTAACAGCTTTACATGGTCCTTCTTATGCATGAGACGATTTGAATGTGCTTCTCTGTGAACTAGGCTTCATGTAGATACAGCCAATAGCTGTCATTCTAATTACAGTAGCAATTCTGGGACTACCTTAATAATGCTGGCCACTGCAAGTTGTATCCATTCATCATCTGTTCACATGAACAGATCTTCATATGATCTTGCATGTAGAAAATAGCTGCTGGTTCATTTTTATTAATATCAGGCATGTATGACATTTAAAATTTGTAAATCACCTCTTACCATTTGGTAAAGGATGGTATAAAAATCCCCCCCCCCAAATAAATTAAATAAACTAGGATTGTAGCCCTAATTAGATTTAGTTAAAAATGTACGGTATTTAAAAGTATGCTTAGAATTGTGGCCCAATAGCTTGTATACTCTACATATTGGCATATTTAAAAGCAATTTAGAGTCTTTTGGTTCTTTTAAATTTCCTTCTTGCACTTGTTTTAACAGAGAATGACCTGAAGAACAAAATTGCATTCTAAATATTCCATCAAGACTGCATTTTTTTGAATTTATAGAAGACCTATAATTACATTTTTTACCTCAACAACCATGTATTATCAACAGTGGTGATAAGATAGGATTTTAAAAGCTCTTCTCCTTTCAGCTGACATGTTCAGCAGTAGATCTAGTTCATGTTTTTATTTCTTATTTAGGCTGGAGGCAAGGCTGGCAAGGACAGTGGAAAGGCTAAGGCAAAGGCAGTGTCTCGCTCACAAAGAGCTGGACTTCAGGTAAGTTCATTTATTGTAATAACTATTGCAAATGCCCAAAGATCTACCAAAGCTAATATGAGGTTTTTCTATGGAAAAGGGGGCCAATATATTCCGGCAGCCTCCCAGGTCTTTGCTGCAAAAATATTAACACAGCTGACATATGGCTCTCAGATCTGCAGCTTCTTAAACCTTGCTCCCTTAGAATCATTCCAAACTAAGTTCTATCGCTATCCCTTCTTGTGTGTCTAACATAGCTGTCCGCCTGAAGGTCCGGCAAATCCCTGTTAGCGCTCGGATATGGATTCTGAAGATCCATTATTGGTTAAAACTTATCTTTTTCCCTGTTGGGTTGGCACCCTTAACCCTGCTGGATTTCTACCAATCCAAATGGAAAGCTACACTGCATGAAAAGCTAAGAGGCTTGGGGTTTTCCCCACAGGCCCTGATAGCTGTAGGTTATGAGAAAGCTAGAGCAATAATCTGCCAACGAATTTGGGATGTGGAACTGCAATGCCACGTGAGCAAGATGAATAAACACCCAGTAATAAAAGATAATGGAAGAGGATTTCCCCCAGCAAATTATTTGTCAAAATTACAAATACCTAAATACAGACGGTCATTTACCCTCACTAGATTCAACATGCTGCCATCTGCCTTATTGCAGGGCAGATTCAAGGGTAAACCATATGCTGGACGAGTCTGCCCCTGCGGCTTGATGGAGGTGGAAACTGTCTCTCATGCCTTGTTACGCTGCCATTTTTATGGGGATATACGCTCAGTATTTATTACCCCTGCTATGCAAAAATCTCCAAATGAATCTGAACTTCAGTGTCTAAAATCCCTGGTAGAGGACAAGGATCCTGAGATCATGTTAAAGGTAGCCAAATTCTGTGTGATTGCCATAAAACTTAGGGAACAAGCTATGCTATCATAATGATTAAGGCCTTAAATGATAATTTTAGGTTATATGTTAGTGACTAAGTTTTAATTTATATATATTTTTAACTGTATTGTCCCTGTTATACCTAATTGCAAATTCAAATGTATTCCTATCATGTTTTATGACTTCCTTGATATTGTATGTGGGCTGGAACTGGTTTGTGACTGAAATAATAAATTGGTCATTCGAAATAACTATGATGTATACTGTACTAGCAATCTTCAACTAGTCCAGACCCAAGACCCACCTTAGACTCCCCACCAGGAACATGGGACCCACTTTCACAATTTTGTGTTTTAATATTATAAACTGCCTTGTGATCCTTGGATGAAAGGCAGTATTATTATTATTGTTGTTGTTATTATTATTTGTTTCATTCTCGATACTTAATAGTGCTAGCGTCTCACCACATACCATGCACCAATCTGCTTCATTTTCTTTCTGCTTATGCCTTCTTCCACATTTTCTTCTCAGAATTTTTTATACTTTCCTTTTCTCACCTTCTGTATCATTTCACCTCCCATTTCTTCCCCCTCCATCTCATCTCACCTTACCTTGCTTTCTTCCACCTTGTATCATCTTTAATTCAATTCTGCATGATTCTTGCTCCCTCCTAATATCAACTTGCCTGAAATAAAAATGGATAGGATTTCTGGGAAAGCTTTACCATACTTAGAACCTAATATAGGTGGCAGCTGTTATCTGTTGCCCCTTGGTTGTATGATAAAGTTTGAGGAACCTCCCTAGATTCTCCCACACTGAAGAAACATACAGTTTTAGTTGTAAAGGAAAACAAAAAGGGTTCCTGAGAGTTAGCAAAAGTTTTGTCATTTTATAAGTCTTTTAAAAATTCAATTAAATAAAACTAATTTTCATTCCAAATCAACCCTGAAATATTAAAGTTGTAGTCCTGTGCATGCTATTTGAGGGTAAGTTCCTTTAAATTAAGTGGGCTTTACTTCTCAGTACACATGCATATGATTTGTACATTACTTTAATTAAAATTAACTTAGCTCCCCAGGGAAGGAGGAACCGAGTCTCCCCTCCCGTTACTGCATTTTTTTCTGTCACCTTTCACGATTGCCTTTCTTTCCCTCTCTCACAACCACCTGTCTCTCTGCTCTCTCCTTGTGCACGTTTCCCTGAAATCAGAAATCAGGGTCGTAAGGCAGTTCCATCTCTTATAAGAGGAGGAAACACAAATCAGACCATCTGCACATTAAGCATTTTCTAGCAGGAGTTACATGATGCCCCCTTACAGTCCATTGACTTTCAGCCTGGAACTTGACACTAGTTCTCTAGTTTCTGACCTATTCAGATTGTTAGGGGCATGCTGTCTAAGCTTTAGCCTAAAAGACTGTCTCTGGTATTTTTAACACCAGGTAGATGTGTTGTAGAATTGAACATGCTTTGAGTAGCTAAAGAGATACTGTGTTTTCCCCTAATCCTTACTGCAAAGTGCTCTGACTACAACCTTTAGCTATCTTTAAACTATCTTTCCTAAGTCAAATGAGCTCTTTACTTCCCCTTTGCCGAGATCCAAAAACTGATAAGGATAGGTCTGGTACATCTTGGATATCTAGAGCATCCTGAAGTTTTGTATTGACCACACCTGGGTTTTGGTGTGGTGTTTTGCAATACTGTATTATTCAGAGATAAATCTTTTGACAAGCTCAGTTTTGGCAAATGGTTCATTGAATGCATTTAAGTATAAGAGTAACAGATACAAGATAATTATCTTAGTAGCCTTCCAGGTAATATTCCTGCCATGGACATCTGTAGAGTAGAAACCATTAGACACCTGAGTTTTGGCAGACACAGCCTTTAATAATAGCTAGTGATACTGCCATCCATGAGAATCTCTCATCAGAGCTGCTATTTCAGTTCAAAATGTCTTATTGCTCCTGACTAATATGTGGAAATCTTGTTCACTTACCTATAAATCTTGTTAGGAGCAAGACCTAACCCACCAATATCTCATTTGGAGGCCATGGGAACCAATTGAGTCTAGCTTTGTAAAATGCTAAGTGAGCTCTTGGGGGCTGTCATCTTTTTGGTCATGTTTTGCCTGTTTGTTTAAATCATGTTTTCCCTTCTCCAGCTTGTTTGCCATTTTGACTCTTTTTTGACTTGTTTGAGGTTTTCCATGTGCTTCCTCTGGCTTTGGCAAATAAGCACCCTTCCCTGTGAGGAAGTTACCATTTTTTCCTGCCTCTTCGACCAGAAGAGGCAACTCTTCTGTCTTGTCTCTTTCTTCTGCCCCCAACTTCCCACTCCTGGCAAAAATCTGTTTTTCTGTTGAGTCATGTGTTTATTTAAGGAGAAGTTAAGCTTCTTGTATTAAGGAAAATAATAGTGTGTCTGATTGGTCAGCTGCAGGGACTTCGTTGTCCTTAGCCTTTGCCAGTTATTTGAATGCTTGCCCAATGAACATTTTTAGAATTTTATTAAATTAAGAATATAATACCATATACACAGTGGAAGCTGTTACACTGCCTTAAGAATAAGACACACAGCATACTTTCTAGTGCTGAAAATTTGTTTTTACATTTATGAATGACCTCATGGAGCTCATTACTGGTTTGCAAGCATTCTCAAGAAGCCTGGTGCCAGGCAGTTTGGCCTGTGAAACCTAGCTTGAACTGCAACGCAGACCACATCACTCCCTCCCATTTGCTGTTTAAGATAATGCAGTGCAAGAACTGTGTGTGACTTGGCATTTGATGACCAGTCTGTTAAAAAACAAAACTGCAACTCAAATCCTGACTCTAGTTCGATTAGATGAGGTGCCTGTATTAAATGCACCCTCTCTCTCTCTCTCTGGAAATAGTTCACTGAACCAGATGTCAGAATTAATTACCTTTGGAAGAGCAGTGTTGGCTTTGACCATGTATGCTGAACAGGTCCTTCTGCTTTCAGTTCCCAGTGGGTCGTATCCATAGACACTTGAAGACTCGCACCACAAGCCATGGACGAGTTGGTGCTACTGCTGCTGTGTACAGTGCTGCAATTCTCGAATACCTCACTGCTGAGGTAGGTTCTGAAAATTGATCTTGTTAGACTACATGATCTGAATGTAATCAAAGACCCAGATAATAGATTGGTCTGTGGAGCCTGGCAGGAACCTCCAGAGTAGCATAACCTAGCTGCTCCTGCTCTCTTTAAAAACCTGTGTTTTAGCTGCCCAGATCAAATAATTCTGCAAGAACTTGAATGGCTAACATACTCTATTGATTATGTTTTCTCTCTGGCTTAGTTTTTTGCGTGCTTGAGTTTGGGGTGAGTATGTGTTTCTGCTAAATCCAGAAAAAAAGAATTGCTTTCTTGCCCTACACTTTTAATTTAGTTGTTTACTTTCCATCTAATATATTCCTGAGATGGGGTGGGGGGTGGGGAATATGACACACATTAGAACACTGTGAGGAATAGGTGTGTGTGTGAGAGAGAGTGAGAGTGATAAAAAAATGAACTTGTGTGTTTTTAGGTAAAGGCAGAATCTGACCCAGAGCTTATTTGCAGTTCTGAACACTTGATACATTTGTATCCTGAATATGAAAGCAAAACATTTTATGGGAAAAGCTCACTACCTATGGGGGAAAACATGCAGCAAGGGGTGGGGAACCCTTTTCAGCTCAAGAGCAACCTTCTGTGCCAGTGGTGGGTGGGGGCCAGACAAAAGTGTGCTGTGCAAATAATGTTAATTTTACATGCTGAGACACCCTTCTTCATTTAGACAAAAAAGAAGCATTATCAGAATTCAAGGACATATTCCAGTCAGGCAAAAGCACTTGAGGTATGACACCATGCCTATGAGGGGTGTGGCCCAGGAAGAATTGCAAGGGCCAGATCTCTATCTGGAACTGATGTCCCCCACCCCAACTTAAACTGACTTATTTGTTTAGAATACTGGTCCTACTTTATAGCCCCCAAAGGCTCTTGAAGCGGGTACTGAATTATGTGGAGTCATAAGCATAGAATTGTAGGGTTGGAAGGGACCATGAGGGTCATCTAGTCCAACCCCTTGCAGTGAAGGAATCTTTTGCCCAATGTGGCTCAAGATTATTCAGGCAGCACTGCTGCCCTCATCCTGGACCTTCCCTGATCAAGAAGAGAAATAGTTCCCACCAAACTCATATGAGGCAAGGGAGTAGGGCTGAGCCTGCTGCATCATCTTCAAGGAATAGTAGTAGATGGTCATTTTTAAAAAAAGAAAAAGAAAAGTTAGTTTTAGGTACCTGGGCTTTTGCCTTGAATCTACTAAATGTATGAAAAAAAGTAGTCTGTTGCCGTTTGTAACTTAGTTTTGAGTATTTTCAGTATTTCACTGTTCAGTATTTTCCTAGGAGGCTGGCATACAAAGCTCTGTTTCTTCCAACAGGTTTTGGAATTGGCAGGTAATGCCTCCAAGGATCTCAAGGTAAAACGTATCACTCCTCGTCATTTGCAGCTTGCTATTCGTGGTGATGAGGAATTGGATTCCCTTATTAAAGCTACCATTGCTGGTGGAGGTATGTAGTATTAGAGCTTCTGGAAAGCTTGGATATGAAAAGTATATTTGGAGACAGGGTGGCTGAACTTAGAATCATAGAGTTGGAAGAGACCACAAGGGCCATTGAGTCCAACCCCCTGCCAAGCAGGAAACACCATCAGAGCACTCCTGACATATGGTTGTCAAGCCTCTGCTTAAAGACCTCCAAAGAAGGAGACTCCACCACACTCCTTGGCAGCAAATTCCACTGTCAAACAGCTCTTACTGTCAGGAAGTTCTTCCTAATGTTTAGGTGAAATCTTCTTTCTTGTAGTTTGGATCCATTGCTCCATGTCCGCTTCTCTGGAGCAGCAGAAAACAACCTTTCTCCCTCCTCTATGTGACATCCTTTTATATATTTGAACATGGCTATCATATCACCGCTTAACCTCCTCTTCTCCAGGCTAAACATGCCCAGCTCCCTTAGCCGTATCCCTTTAAGTACTCTGTATCTTAATGTATCCCTTTAAGTACTCTGCAGGATATTATAGATAAGCAGTTTGCCAAGTGATAAGTAGAGTTCGTGATCTGCTTCTTACCTGGATTTCTGATTATGCCAGGGTGTTTGGAAAACTGCTTATTTTGCTTGGCAGAATGTTACACAGTTGATTTACGTTGTAGTTGCATGTACTGCCATGGCAAGTTCTTACCACTGTATGAACCAAATGGGTACTTATCAGTATAGTTTTTAGTTCACTGACTTAGTAGTAGCTTTGATAGTGATGGGTTCTTGTATTTCATCCTGTACTACTGTACTAGGTGAATCTGGTATAGAGTAGGTCTCCTGTAAACTGTGTTTTGCAGCACCTTTTTTTGGGGGGGTGCATTCTAAGTACTCCTCCCCAATCATTTATAACTCTTTAATTGAGGCTCCAAACCAGGCCAGGGAATACAGTTCTGCTTCTCAGTATGTCCCAGTAAATCTTCACATCCATCTTGGTAACATGAGGGAACCTAACCTGAAGAACACAATCCAGATTATTCCCTCCTTCTCCCCACCCCCCACCCCAGAGTATAGTAACTCTGTATGGCACCATTTAGTTGTTTTTGTAACAAGAAAATTAGGCCTTGAGTCAACATTTGATCTAATACAGCTACATAGCTGCATCCCAGTTCTCCTCTTAGTGTGTTCAAGTGGATTTTTATTGAAGGGTTTGGTAAGCATAGTTCTAACAGAGTTAGCAAAATATGTTATTTGAGAATGTATTGATATGAGTGCTGAACTATTGTGTATTCTTCAGTTCTAATCCATTATTCTCTTTACAGGTGTAATTCCTCACATCCACAAGTCTCTGATTGGAAAGAAGGGGCAGCAGAAAACTGCATAGAGAGGAGTTTTAAACAGCCCTCTTCCTCCCTGTCATTGTACTGTAACTGGGACAGAAGAAATATGGGGATATGTGGAATTTTTTTAAAAAAATAGTTAAATGGAAGAGCATAGACAATTGACTGTAGACTTAAAACATTTGTATGTTCTTTAGATTCAAAGTTTGACACAAAAGTACCTTGTTACGTGGCAGCAATTTGTGTGTTGATTGGCTAGGTTTCTCCCATGTGTTTTATACAAAAATGGAACTGATAAAACCATTTTTTACAAAACTTGTTCTTGTGTATCATTCTGGGGTAAAAGGGTCATTGCAGCAAAAAGATCAGTGCCCTAATATCCTATTAGAGATTTTAAAATAAAATCTTTCCAAATTATAGACTTTAATGGTGGCCGTGTTCATAGTTAACTTCTGTGTTCTCTAGCTGATTGATTGTTGTTGATCTAATACAGCTACCACAATTATCTAAGTCCGGCATTTAATTTAAACTTAGTTTATATACAGAGTTTATATACAGAGTTTAATGCAACTGAGGCTGCTCAAGCTCTCCCCCCGGCCCCAGGATAGAAGTACTGTCTGAACATGTGAACGGTGTGATAATGGGAAAGGTGTGGTGATGTGTATAGTAGGAAGAAGCCAAAATGCATCTTTTCTGCTCTCAGCTGGTGATCTGCCCATGGGTTAGTTGCCTTGCGCTGAATTATGCTGTGTCCTTGAGCTAGCACAATCACTTGCTTCAGTGTCAATGCCTTGTTGTGCTATAATGTACAAAATCTTCTGTAACACGGTGCTAAACCAGCAGCGCTGCCATGCTTTTATTAGCAACCTTGTCAGTGTGTGATTTGAGCCCTTTGTGTAGTAGTTCTTGGGCTGGCTGTGCATAAGAGTAAGGTTGGAGAACTAATAAACTACTGTAATGTTTTTAGCTCTTGTTAGGACTGTTTCATGCAGTGCAATTTCAGGCAATATGGTGACAAATAATAACTGGAAGGTCTTCAATCCTATTCTCGTGTATTTGCTTGAGTGCCTTCCAGGTTCTTGGCATACCTGAATCAGTTCTCAATCTGTATCCTGGGATTATTGTTTCAGATTGGGACAAACATTCACACTCACTCTGACATATATATATGTTGTAACCTTTAAGCTAGGGCATTGTAGGAAATGAATGAGGCTCAATTATTCTCAGTTATAGAGGACTCTGATTGTTTATCTATTCCTGTTAGTGATGTGCATGGCTTTCATGAATTTCTGTCCATTGTATCCTGTTCTTTTTTTAAACAATTGTCAAATTGCTGGATAAGGCAAATAATGGTTTAGGTGGGTGATACATAAGGCAAGGCTATCAATGGTTACTAGGCACCATGGCTGTGCTCTGTCTCCATAGCCAGAGATAGTAAAGCTTCTAAATCCCGGTTGCTGGAAACTACAGGAGGCGGGGAGTCTTCTTGTGCTTGTGTCCTGCTTGAAGATACCCTACAGACGTCTGGTTGGCCACTTAGAACAGGATGCTGGACTAGAGGGGCTATTGGCCTGATGCAGCAGGTTCTTACATTCTTCTGCAGTTGTTCATATGAATATTAGATTGGGAGTTTTGGTCATTAGTAATATGGATGGATGTTGGACAAACAAAGCCTAGTTTCTTTTAGCATGCATGTGCCAACAAAAGAAGCCAGTGAATTGGACCTGGTTTTATTTCAGTTGCCCCTTTGGTAGAAGCTGTGCCATAATAGAGTAAGCACAATGGTAGAGGAAAGAAAATAAAGTGGTGCAGCACACTTGGTACTGAAGGCTGTAACTGAGCCAGTTAGTTACATGCAAGTGACATCCTTGGTACTCTTGGCCTACCCTAATCATCACTGTATATTTGACACTTCTCTATATTCCCTCATTGAGCATGCTCATTCTCTCTTGACAGATTATATCTTGTCAGTGAATGCATTGCTATTAGAAAGGACTTTTTCTAAGCAGATAGAGGAGGAAGGAAGACTTATGTATGTGAATCAATGAGAGGAGAGTGGATTGAAATGAAAATTGCCCTTTATTCTAGTTGATGGGCTGACTATAAGGACTTGATATATTTATAATAGATTCAAGATATCCAAATGGGTATATCAGACTTATCTGTCCTGTATTCAGTTACACAAGTCAGATCTTACGGAGTACAGTACTGTACTTCAGGAACTCTTGTCTTTGGAAGTGCTGCCCTATGTTGAACAGAAAAGGAATTACTTGGCTTTCAGGTGTTGGGCATTAAGTGGATGGAACAAAAGTTCCTGCAGCTGGTTGTGTTGTGTGGGAATATTGGAGAGGCAGTAAACGCTGAGAACAGATGGCTTTTCACCCTTTTCACCCTTTTTTCACACAATTGCTGGGAATAGATGCCAAACAAGATGTGGATTATATTTTGGACTGCAATTCCCACTAGCCTCAGCCAGCAGGGCTAGCAGTGAGGGATAATAGGAGTTGTAGTTCAAAGCATCTGGAGGGCACCAGCTTGGGGAAGGCTGGCCTAGAATATAGCATTTCCTGGGCACACAGCTGCAGAGGATATAGCTCCACTTGCTGTGAATTTTTTTTGTCAAAGCTCTCTTTCCAGTCTCCAGTGTGAAAGCTACTTCTGTTGTGCTGTTTTCCTCTAAACATGTGTACCACTGAGCAAAGCCCATATTGATAGAGCTCTTTTCCCAGCCCAGTCAAAAGAAGAGAGTACAGACCTCTACCACAAAAAACTTTTTCTAAACATCTGGAGGCCATTCTCTGATCCCTGTAAGCCCCAAAGCAGAACTTAGCACCAGTTGAACGTTCGACCCACCATGGCAAAGAAGTTCTCGTTGTGCTCACTGAAGTAGGTGCAGAGTTGCTCAAGCAGTACTTCATCAACAGTGGGATGAGGTCGTCCTTTGGATTGGTCTAGGCAGTGCTGATACCCCTTTGCTTGTAGGCAGTAGAAGCCCTTGGTCTGGTTGAAGTAAAAGTTGTCTGGGCCAAGGTAAGGCTCCAGTCCCAAGAAGTGCTCTACGTGGCGCATCTCTGAGAGAGGCTCCCGGATCAGGGTGCCTCCATCCACCACGTGAATCTGTGACCGGGGAAAGAACTCCAGCCACCGAGCCAGGTGTAAGGCATATAGGCTGCGCTGCATGGCTTTGTACCGGGTGTTAAGTTCCTGGCCCTGCCTCAAGAGAATCTGCTCTAGAGCTTGGTAGGGCTTGTGCCGTGCCTTGCGGTTGTGAAGGATTTGTGTGTAATCAGACACCAACCTTTCCACAGGGTCCCGTACAATCAGCAGGAGCTTCATTGAGTTGTCCATAGCATGGATCCTTTCCGGGGCTTTGAGAGACGAAAAATAGCCTGGTGTCTTTTCCACGGTGATTTGAGTGGGGTGTGAAATAGGCATCTGCTGACTGTACCAACCAAGTCCTTTGCGGTAATTCTCCTCCACATTGAAGAAATGCACCTCGGAATGGGCAGCTGCCACCTGGGGATGCAGACTCAGCATCTCCAGCAGGGCTCGCGTGCCTCCTTTCCGCACTCCAATAATTATGCTTTGGGGCAGTCGTTGCTTCCAATCTTCACTTGAGATCTGAGTGTTGTTTCTTTTCCATGGGGCTTTCCAACCCCAGGGGATCTTTGTTTCCTCCTCCGTGTTGATTCCACACATCTTCAGAAGCAGGAGCAGTAAGCAGGCTCTAGCCATCTCTAAGTCCGCTGAGTGAACGTGTGCTGAGGAAAATTGTGTGTTGTTTTTCCTATCTGAGCTATTCCATCTCCAGGCTTATTAACTGGGATTTCACTGCAGGCAGGCAGTTGTGCTCTTACCTAGGCATCTTCTGTCTTCACAATGGCCTCTGCTTTTGTTCTAGTTCTGGATTCCGCTGCCAGGAGCTTCCTGCAATGTGGATCTCCAAAATCACTTCAACAAAAGGTGATTTGCTTACGAACAGCCTAGCTCAGGGAAGTTGCTGCCACCTGAGAAAATGAGAATATCATTGTGGGTGGCTCAAAAGGTGCTGAGCAAAGCAAAACATAACAGGCCTTGTTTGGAAACTTTCATAATTTAAGCACACACACACACACATGTGAATGAATAAAATCCAGGTACCCATTAGCCACTTCTTCCTAGAATGGGTTTGTATCTAGTCCCTGGTAGGTACCATCTTTTTCTAATGGAAGAGGAGGGACACAGTTTGGCAGGTGGGACACAATATGGAAGGTTACAAATGTTAGTAAGGAGGGAGTAGCCAGCTGCGGTTTATTTAAATGCATTTAACCTACAAATAAGCCTGCTTCACCAGATTAAGGTTCCAGTGTTGCTTCCAGTGCCCCACTACTGGGGCTTGAAGGCAACACGGTCTTCTTCTGTTTCTATCCAGCATTCAGGGTTTGGCTGCCTCTGAAGATGGGAGTCCTAATTAGCAGTTGTGGCTCATAGCTGTTGATAGTGGCTTCTCGGTTAGGAATTTGCCTAATCCCCTAAAAGTCATCTAAGCTAGTGGCCATTCTACATCTTATGTCTACAAATTATGTGTTCAGTAAAATAAAATGCCATGCTGGTAGCAAGCATGAACTACCAGAAAGTTGGGGAGAATATCCTGTGCCCAGGTTTTTATTTATTTTTTCTTCCATTGAGATAGAGCCCAGATTTTGAGATTTACAGCTGGCCCCCCAAAATCATTGGCACACTGCAGCTGTCAGATATGCACAAAAGTCACAATCCAGAGAATCATGCACGTGAAAATTGGCACAGTGTGCAGAATTTGGCACACATTTCTTAGCATAATGGAGGGCGTTGCAAAACCAATGCACGCATCTACTGGGACAGCTGTATTTGCATGCTTATTTGTATCTTTATACAACCAGTACAGTAAGTCACCCCAAATCACCCAAGTCTTGCACTTTTCATACCCTGTCATATGTTTGAATTGCAGCTGTGGTGCATTTATGGCACAGACTTGTTATGCTGGAATTGCCCACAGTTTCCTCTGTCTTTGGCACCCCGCCGTCAGATGAGTATACGGAGCACAGAGATGTGCACTTTTTGGGGTCTGGATGCAGAACACACACAGCAGTGCTGGCTAACTGGAGGAGAGTAAACTGCTGCTATGGCACACGTAATTAAGTATATACCAGAGAGTGGGATGCCTGAGAATTTCAATATTATTTTGAATGAAAAGAAAAGCAGGTCTTGTTTGTGTTTATCCATGAGAAGAAAAAGCAGATCTGAGGGTGTGCAGGCTCTGTAAAAGGCTGTGTTTCTCTTGGGGTGGAGTGTCTCTTTTCTGCACAAGCACTTGTCCCTTATCACAGCCCTGGGTTTCTATGCCCAAAGCCCCGTATCATGGTTAGATGACCTGCACCTCAGTGCTAAAATTCTGCAGTCTACAAATTAAACAATTTTGCACAATTTCTCTTATTTTGCATGTGCTGCATAGTAATGTAAAACAGCTTGAACATGTTTATTTCTGATATGTTGTGAGGAAGGGAGGCAGCCTAAACCCTTGGAAATCTCGCAAGGGGCCTTTCTGGCTCCTGAACTTGGACTAGGCATTGTGCACGTTTCTCCCAGATCTTTGCTATGGCCGGGCCTAGAAACTAGAGTCACCATCCAAGCCAAAGTTTTAGCACCATTCAGGGTCATGCTGCTTGGAAGTCTGAGCTAAAAAACTTTAAGTCAGAAGTGAGACATGGTTCGGGGTGGGGGGTTCCCCTGGTGGGTTTTCTGCTTAAAATCTCCCCTGCCCTGCAAAAATAAAAAAAATAAAAAATCACCCTAGAATGAGGAAGTCTATAGGTGCCTATGACTTTTCCTTAAGCAGCTGGGGTGGGAGGGTGTGTGTCTCATTACCACATGAACTTTCCACCTTTTAGACAATTGCGCTCTGGTTTCATTTTTTAAAATAAATTTTAAATTCTGTCTTTGTGAAGGATGGCAGAATATGTAGTTAGTTAGTTGGCTGGGGAAACCCACCAAGATGGGTGGTGTATAAATATTATTATTAGTTAGTTTAGTTAGACAATTAATGCATGCATACATGCCTGCTTCATATGCCCATGGTTGATCTTTGACCATCCTCTTGATTTATATAGAGGAGTCATGCCTATAACTCAAAAGGTACTTACGGTATCTTGAGTTGGTTTAAATGCAAACAGATTTTCAGGATGCTGAATTCTGGGAGAGGGAGCTGCTGTTGCATGGAATTGTAGCTCGCAGGCACCCCTTGCTGGTTTCTAGGCAAAGGGGAATCTGCTGATCTCCACCAATCCTATTTATCTCCCTAGTTTTGAACCTTTGCTCGGTCTGAAGCTCTTTGGGTGACTGTCAGTCATATTCAGCCTTGTTTACCTCACAAGAGTGCTGGGAACATGGAGGAAGGGAAGGTCTTCTATTACACCATGACTACAAACACACACACATCCTAGGCTGGCGTGTACTGAGCTGATCGTGGAGATAATGGACCTGCCTTCTCCCCACCTCATAAGAATGTTTCAGCTCTCCTTCCTCCTAAATGAGACTCAGGAGGCTGGAGCTCAGGATTCTTGGTGTGTGCATCTGTCTAAATTCCTCTCCAGGGCCTGACGTGGCGTCACTTGGTGCCATCCTGCTGCTCTAAACAGTTTGATGAACTCTCCTGGAAGACTCCAGGGGCAACTCCAGTTCCCTGCACATGTTTAACTGAGCTCTGGCAAATTTCGCACTGCGGCTGCCAAGTGGCTGCTTCCTGGGGCTCTTGCAAGTGAAGGCAAGATTACTGCCTGCTGCTAATCAACGGGTGCAAATGGCTGTGCTCATACACTGTGGTCATACAGTTCAATGCATGTCAACAGGTCTTTTGCAGGAGGCCAGATCCGAATCCTACTCTGCTGCACTCAGCCCACACCCCAGCTTTCCTGCCTGACATGGTTGCCTCACCTTGCTTAAAAGGAGGACTGTGGGTTTCTGCAATTTCCCTGTGACAGGGCTTGGCCAGAAGAGCCTCTCCACGTGTCATCCCCACAAAGGCAATCTCTCAGTCTCTCGCTCTGCCATCCCCTAAAAGAATCAAGCAGCCTGAGGTGGCTGTCTTGCCTTTGCTTCATAAGCAGGGCTGCAGCTCAGTGGTAGACCATACACTTGGCATGCAAAATGCCCCAGATTCGACCCTGTCTTCAGATCACAGGATCTCCAAGAGCAGCATAGAGGGAGGAGGTCTTTGAGGTCTGCCACCAGTCAGGCAATTTTACTGTGTTGGAGAGACCAACAGGTCAACTTGCTGGAAACCTGCAGCAGGCAGGAGGAACCTTTGGCCCTCCAATGTGTTGTGGAACTCCAGTTCCCATCATCCCGGGCTGTTGGCCACACTTGGTGGGGCTGTTGGGAGTCGAAGTTCCTCAACATTTGGAGGGCGACAGGTTCCCCACACCCATTCTACAGTGTTACTTGCGTTGACTGGAAGAAGTTGCCAGGTTGTCAAGATGAGGCTGGCAATGAGCTTGGGACATTCTGCATGTGACAATGTGCTCAGCCATTGAGAGATGGCTTTTTCCACGCAGCAGGGATAGCGAAAATGTGGCCCTCTAATATTGTTGGTCTACAACTCCCCCATCTTCCCTAACCATTGGCCATGACTGACAGCAGCTGGAATCCAGCCCCACCTGGAGGGCAGCAGTTTCCTACTCTCTGCCCTATAGGAACATATGAAGTTGCCTTATGCTGTTAGACCACTGACACAGCTAGCTCAGTGCTGTCTTCGCTACACCAGGTGGAAGTGGCTCCCTTGGGCTTCAGACATGGAGTCTTTCCAAGCCCTCTCTGGAGATGCTGAGGACCTAAAGCACATGCTCTACCACCAAGCTACAGCTTTTGCCTGTATATTCATGTGGGTCCTTGTGGCTGCCAACTATGCACTCTCACTACAGGGGCACACAAGCCAGTCCTGTTGGATGTCATGACCTGTTGCTGCTACTGCTACCTGCCCCTGCAGGTGGGCAGTAAGGTGGAGTGACTGATGGCAATGGACACTGTTTGGAAGTTGTTTTCCTGGCACCTTGCTTTTCTGTAATGAGAAAGATCCCTCCAGTGGGGAATGATTTCCACTTCCTAAGACTTGCTAATGATAGAGTATGACATGTTTGGGGTCCCTGGGGCAGGCAGCTGGCGTACCAGGGGTTGCCAGGGCAACCAGAGCTGCAAAAAGGTGTAAGGGGACACCGAGAGGAAGGCAGGCGAGAAAAGGAGGGGAGTGTTTCTGAGGGAGATCTTTGCAGAAGAAGGAAGAAGGATTTGAAGGATGGCTGATGGACAGGGAGGGCAGCACTTCCTAAACACCAGAAGGCCGGTGTGACATAACAGGCCACCAGGAAGAGGCAAGCCAGGTGTAAAGGAGGACAGGTGAGCATGCAGCATTTCTGCAGGCCTCAGCTCAGTGGCAGAGCATCTGCTCTGCACGCTGAGATCCCAGGTTCAATCCCCAGCATCTCAGGTAGGGCGGGAAAGACCCTTGCCTGAAACCCTGGAGAGTCCCTCCCAGTCAGTGTAGACAATACTGAGCCACATGGCCTGGCTTGGGCATAAGGCAGATTCCCATGTTCCAGCTGTCCCCCCCCCCCCCTTGAACCTGCCAACATCTCTGGACTCATCTCCCAGTTTGATGGGATCCTGGCAAAGGAGCTTCGGATCCCATCCCCCAACTCTGTCTGTAAGACATCTTTGGGCATATCTGGCAGCAGTGCTCTGAGCAAGAGGAGAGGCAGGCTGAATTTTAATTTCCCACCATACAATGTCAGACCACGGCAGGACATTGCTCCAATGGCAGGCTGTTCTTTCCCCCCATAACGGGTCTCAGGAGCCCTGCTGGGCCCTGAGAGTTGCCCAACAATGCCTGGCCCTGAGGACTCCCTGGAAGCTAACTCTTCTCAGCAAACTTTAATGGTTTTGCACCTGGACACCCTAGAGTAAGAAACCTGCAATGTTGCTCCACATGTGGCTGGACCTCAACATCCGTCATGCTGGCTGGGACTCGGAACGAGTAGCCAACTTTGGCAGGCTCGCCTATGAGCAGCACAAAGGATATAGAGGATGGTTCTTTGCTGTGAAAGCAAGAGATCCCAATGCACCCAGAGAGAGCAGCAGCTCTTGCCTAGACCCCTGACCAACACAAAAAGCAGCTCCACTTGCAAGGACCAGCGATCCTCTGTGCCCTTCAGCCCACTTCTGGTGATATATAAGCTCCAGGACATCAGAAAAACTGAAGAGGAAGGAGCAAGCGGAATTTGCAGTGTTTGAGGGGGAAGTGGGATAGCTCTGTCAGTGGATCATGAGACTCTTAATCTCAGGGCCATGGGTTCAAGCCCCACATTGGGCAAAAAGATTCTTGCATTGTAGGGGGTTGGACTGGATGACCCTCGTGGTCCCATCCAACTCTACAATTCAGTGATTCAATGGGGAAGATACGGTGTTAAATGTTTATACCGACTGTACCTCTGCTGGCAGTGATGGGTGAGCCCAAGGTTGCTGATTCTATGTGCAGCATCAGAATACAGCAGAGGCATCAGTTCCTAAAAATTGAGACAGGAGGAAAAGGTTAAAACAAAAAGGTTCAGTCAAGCCATGCAATTCTGCAATTCAGATTTTTAAAGAAATGCACTTTTTGAGAATCTAATTAGCATGTGGATTTGTTATTAGGAGTTGGCTAATTTGGCTGCCAGTCCATTCCTAAATGAGCTCTTGCTACAGCTTTATCATCATTTATTCTATGATTCTATGATCAGTACCTGATAGATGGCTTTCATTTCGTTTCCAGAATGCATATAAGCATGAGCAACAGGGAGGGGAATTGTATTACAATTATTTTTTGTTTTTGTAGTAAGGGTGGGGAGTGCTGCTTAATGTTTTTCTATATTATCTCTTACAAAAATTCAGTAAAGTTTAAGTTACAGAAACACAGACATAATGCTGGGCAAATATTCAAAGCACTGCCAAAATACTAACTGTGCCAGAAAGGAGGCATTAGTTTTAGATGTTGTCAAAAAGAGAACTTGAAAGTTAAATTAAAGCTTCCTGTGATTGTGGCGCATGTCAGGCAGCACCAGTCATTTAGGGGTTGCCAACCCCCCCCCCCTTCTCTTTGCTCCATTGCCTTTAACAGCAGCTTTATCTGTACAAGTTTGCAGGTGATGATATTTATCCCCATGGTGATAAAAGCATTACCAGCTTATTACAGCAGATCAAGCTGCTGGTGACAGATAGGTTCAGCTAAATCGACAAAGGGTCTTGGGGCACTTTACCGACGACAGTCCAATTTCTGCCTTGGGCCGGCCCTGAAACCTTGACCTGAAGATCCCAAGTGAGTTGTGGACTGCAAGTTCAGCCCGAGGTTCCTTCCTCAGGCAATACAGCCTTTTATCTGAGACACTGAAGCAGCAACAGCTCAGTGTTTTCCCTGCTTAAAAGGGAAAATTGGAGAAGAGCCTTTGATACCACAATTTCTCTGCATTTATTATAGGGTGGAGCAGTAGGTCATTGTGTCCGGCTGTTAAACAAAAGGTTGGTGGTTCGAGCCCACCCAGGAATGGCTGTGGGCAGGATTAGTACCCTAGGATGCAGCTCACCAGGCCCTGGAGATTTGAGTTTTTAAATGAATTCAATCCTGGCATGAGTTGATGGCAGTTGTAGTCCAAAACATCTGGAGAGGACCAGGTTGGTGAAGGCTGTCATTATCATAACCACTACCATTGCTATCAAGCAAGCTAGTACATCAGGTGGAATATGAGCCAGAAGCCCTGTTGGAAGGTTTGTGACCCAAGTAACTAGGCACACAGGAGAAGACCCAATGTGGTGTAGTGGTTAGGCTAGGACCTGGGAAACCCTGGTTCAAATCCCCACTCAACCATGACGTTCACTGGGTGACCTTGGGCCAATCGCTGTCTCTTACCCTAGCCTACCCCACAGGGATGTTTTGATAAAAAGAGTGGAGGAAGAACCATATACTGCCCATGCCCCTATGAGCTCCTTGGACAAAAGATAGGATATCAATGCAGGAATAAATAAATAAGGGGGCAGAGGTCTGAGGTCTGTTGCGAAGGGGCAAGGTGTGTGTACATTTTGTAAATAAGGGAAAACATCAGTGCAAAGTGTGGGGGGGGGGATGACAATAAGCCAAGAGACCAGGAGGAGCAAGGGAATGGAGGATGCAATTTCACATTTGTGGAGGCGAAATAGAGGAACACAAGAAGTTGCCTTATGCTGAGTTAGACCCTTGGTTCATCCAGCTGAGTGCTGGCTGCTGTGGCTGGCCTTGGCTCACCAGGATTTCAGGCAGAAGTCTCTCCCAGCCCCACCTGAAGGGCATTGGGCATTGAACCTGAGGCCATGCAAGAGAAGGAAGATGTTTGGAAGTGAAAAGAAGTTGGCATAGATTATGAGAAGTGCTAGGCTGCATTTCTGCAGGAGTATCACGCCCTCTGCAATGCCAAACACAGAGGAACACAGAAGACAACAAGTGTTCCTCTCCCAGGTGTTGTTTTGCCCTCAGAAGTATAATAATTGGATTTCCATCCAAGAGACCAAGCAGGTGCTCTGAGACCACTGTGCTAAGAACCCCAAGTCTACACCCCAAAATGCTATGGCCCACATCAGCATCTAAGACTTGTTTAGGAGAGGGGACAGAGCATAGGCAGCAGTGCCAGATAATTACAGTACAAAATAAATCAACTCCAAACCCACACCAAAGCAAGATCTTTATTAGGACCAACTAAAATGCCTTGAAATAATGAGCACACTTTTGCGTTCTCCCACTCGGTTAATCAAGGATATTAAAACTGGGGTAGTGTACAGGGTACCCCAAGTTTGCAATTCATAACAATTTTGAACTACAATACAAGAAGAAAGGTTTTGCAGACATAACTGGATTTAGCCTCTCCAGGAGGATTAGCCCCCTTTGAAAGATGCATCCAGGTCAGTGGGACCAAAAATGACGGTAATGCCCTCTCTCATTTTCAATAATATAAAAACTAGTATTTATTCATTTTTCTCTCCTAATTGAAACACACAGAGACCCCTTGAGAGGGGAAAAAATAGATAGCAAAATTATGTTTTTTATACAGTATTAGCAAAACTGGAGATCAATGTGCATTAGCTAAAACTAAAGAGAAGCCAATTTGGCAGCATTGCCCACCAGGTCTTCCCCTGCACAGGCTGGTCTATCGCCTCCATCTCCCCATAATCAAATTCTTACCTGTCCAGTTCCAAGCCAAGGGCTCCAGAGGAAGCAGCGGTCTCCATCAGCCTCTGCGCTCAGGCTGCCTCTGCCTCCCTCCAGCTCCTCTGCCCAGGGACAGCCTCTTTGTACTGTGTCTCTTGCCCGCCCACAAGCACATGGTGCTCTCTCTGAGCAGAAATCCTGTCCTGCCCTCTTTCCTTGGAGAGGGAGAGAAAGAGAGAGCATTGCAGTCTTCAGGGGACCGTGTTAGAGAGAATAACAAGCAATGCAATGGTCTGTGCAGCTGAGGAGAGGTGGATGTTCTGCTTGCGGCAGAAAGATGAAAGATGGAGGGAGTCAGGGAGCTGGATAGGCCAACCGTGAGCCTGTCAAAATCCCTGGCACAGTCTGGTGCCTGTGGGGCCCAGCTAAGCCCCTCCTGGGGAATGGGGGAGGGGGGGGTTAAGCCCCATGCCACCCTTAAGTGTACAACTATGCTGAGGGAGTTTGGCTCCTGAAGAGCTTCAAAAGAAGGAACTAAACGGAAGCACCTCAGAAACTGACCTGCATCTCAGAACATTTTTTAAATTGTATTGTGTCACCTCTATTTAGGTGGAATCTTCTTTCTCCACCTCTGTTTAGGTGGAATCTTCTTTCTTGTAGTTTGGATCCATTGCTCCGTGTCCGCTTCTCTGGAGCAGCAGAAAACAACCTTTCTCCCTCCTCTATGTGACATCCTTTTATATATTTGAACATGGCTATTATATCACCCCTTAACCTCCTCTTCTCCAGGCTAAACATGCCCAGCTCCCTTAGTCGTTCCTCATAAGGCATCGTTTCCAGGCCTTTGACCATTTTGGTTGCCCTCCTCTGGACACGTTCCAGTTTGTCAGTGTCCTTCTTGAACTGTGGTGCCCAGAACTGGACACAGTACTCCAGGTGAGGTCTGACCAGAGCAGAATACAGTGGCACTATTACTTCCCTTGATCTAGATGCTATACTCCTATTGATGCAGCCCAGAATTGCATTGGCTTTTTTAGCTGCCGCGTCACACTGTTGGCTCATGTCAAGTTTGTGGTCAACCAAGACTCCTAGATCCTTTTCACTTGTACTGCTCTCAAGCCAGGTGTCACCCATCTTGTATTTGTGCCTCTCATTTTTTTGCCCAAGTGCAGTACTTTACATTTCTCCCTGTTAAAATTCATCTTGTTTGTTTTGGCCCAGTTCTCTAATCTGTCAAGGTCGTTTTGAAGTGTGATCCTGTCCTCTGGGGTGTTAGCCACCCCTCCCAGTTTGGTGTCATCTGCAGATTTGATCAGGATGCCCTTGAGTCCATCATCCAAGTCGTTGATAAAGATGTTGAATAAGACCGGGCCCAAGACAGAACCCTGTGGCACCCCACTAGTCACTCTTCTCCAGGATGAAGAGGAACCATTGATGAGCACCCTTTGGGTTCGGTCAGTCAGCCAGTTACAAATCCACTGAGTGGTAGCATAGTCAAGACCGCATTTTACCAGCTTCTTTACAAGAATATCATGGGGCACCTTGTCAAATGCCTTGCTGAAATCAAGGTAGGCTACACCCACTGCGTTCCCTTCATCTACCAGGCTTGTAATTCTGTCAAAAACGAGATCAGGTTAGTCTGACATGACTTATTTTTCAGAAATCCATGCTGACTATTGGTGATCACAGCATTCCTTTCTAGGTGCTCACAGACTGTTTGCTTAATGATCTGCTCCAGAATCTTCCCTGGTATTGATGTCAGACTGACTGGGCAGTAATTATTTGGGTCCTCTCTTTTCCCCTTTTTGAAAATTGGGACAACATTTGCCCTCCTCCAGTCTGCCGGGACTTCGCCTGTTCTCCAGGAATTCTCAAAGTTGACTGCCAGTGGTTCTGAGATCACATCTGCCAGTTCTTTTAATACTCTTGGATGCAGTTCATCTGGCCCTGGAGACTTGAATACATCTAAACTAGCCAAGTATTCTTGTACTATCTCCTTAGTTATTCTGGGCTGTGTTTCCTTTGCTGAATCATTTGCTCCAAATTCTTCAGGTCGGGCATTGTTTTCTTTATCGGAGAAGACTGAGGCAAAGAAGGCATTGAGGAGTTCAGCTCTTTCTGTGTCCCCTGTTTGCATTTCACCATCTTCTCCTCTGTTTCTTTGTTCTTCCTTTTGCTACGAACATACCCATAAAAGCCTTTTTTGTTGCTTTTAACCTCTCTAGCAAGCCTGAGTTCATTCTGTGCTTTAGCTTTTCTGACTTTGTGTCTACACGTGCTGGCTATTTGTTTGAATTCCTCTTTGGTGGTTTTCCCCCTTTTCCATTTTTGTACACATCCTTTTTTAATCTTAACTCAGTTAAAAGTTCTTTAGATAGCCACCCTGGCTTCTTTAGGCACCTTCCATGTTTCCGTCTCATTGGTATTGCCTGACGTTGTGCTTTTACTATCTCCCTCTTAACAAACTCCCAGCCATCATGAACTCCCTTTCCTTTTAGTATCCATGGGATCTCACCCAGCACTTCCCTAAGTTTTTTGAAGTCGGCTTTCTTAAAGTCAAGAAATTGAGTCCTAGTATGCTTGGCTGCTCCTTTCCGCTGTATAGGAAACTTCAGAAGAGCATGATCACTCGCGCCTAATGATCCTTCCACTTCTACCCCACTAACCAGGTCAGTGGGGTAGTGTTAGTCTAGGGCACGGGTCAGCAAACCTTTTCAGCAGGGGGCCAGTCCACCGTCCCTCAGACCTTGTGGGGGCCAGACTATATTTTGGGGAAAGAAATGAATAAATTCCTATGCCCCACAAATAACCCAGAGATGCATTTTAAATAAAAGCACACATTCTACTCATGTAAAAACACGATGATTCCTGCACCGTCTGTGGGCCGGATTTAGAAGGTGATTGGGCCGGATCTGGCCCCTGGGCCTTTGTCTGCCTACCCATGGTGCAGGGGTTATGCCAGCATCACATGGGTAGGCCCTTATGGTATAGAGAGGTATAGAGATATAGAGAGACATTGTGAGAGGTTAGTGGGTCCCAAGTTTGGTTGGTTGTGTTCAGTTGGTTGCAGTGTAGCATGTTTGTATGTGTGTGGGGGGAGGGGTTGTTGGATCAGGTTAGTCATACTGATTCAAATGCTGTTGGGGGGGGGATAGGTCATTGTCCTGTTGTGCTGTGTATGTGATAAAGGGGAACCACACTGGGGTGAAGGCATCATCCTTTGCTTGTCCTCATGCTAATTTAAGTTTGTTAGTTATCTCTTCTAGTAGGGCAGTTTCCCATACATTTTGGTAATAGTGGTTTATGTTCACTCCTCATAGGTCCACATGTGGAGGTATGTGCCTATGGAGGTGCAGTCTCTCCAGCATTTGGATGAGGTTTCTGAGTGTATTAGTGACAATTTCCTTGGTGTTAGGTACCATCTGTAGATAGGTTTCATAGGAAGTTCTCTTTTTTTGCTTGAGATGGATTTAAGTGGTAGTTTAGACCACATTTTGACCATTGGGTAGGGTTTATTTCAAATCCTATGTCATGTTCCCAGTAATTTTTAATTGTGGTGTGGGGTTTTGTAGTTTGATACCATCCCTCTACTGTGTCCCTCCCTCTGTTGTTAGCAGGAGTTTTTCCAAACTAGTCAGCGGCCTGGTAGCTGCTGTCCAGTGGGGCCTCCTGGCCCACCAGTTGAGGACCCATAGAATTGTAGAGTTGGAAGGGACCCCAAGGGTCATCTAGTCCAACCCCCTGCAATGCAGGAATCCTGATACCGGCGAGCAGCTGCTTGCTCTTGTGTTTTCACTGTTCAGAATCATGGATAGATTGGCAAAGGGGAGCAGGTGTATGTTTGTTTGTCCAGCAGGGCAGGGGAACCTGTTGTTCTCCAGCAGTTGTTGGACTACAACTCCCATCACACCTGGCTGCTGGAGCCCAACAACACCTGGAGGGCCACCCCTTTTGCCAGGCCTGGCCTACTGCACTCGCACACCATGGGTTGAGCTCACAATGAGTCTGGATTGTTGCCCTTGTCAGCTGGATTGTCTGCCTTAGGCGCCAAACGGTCCTGAGCGATGCAGCACGCAGATGACAGGAACAGGTTCAACCACAGTTCATAATCCACTGACCTCCCCCTCACCCTCCCAGAGGTGGTTGCCATTTCACCAGAAGGGCATTAAATAATTAAGGAAGGTTTTACAAATCAGCGTGTTACAATCGTGACATAATCTGGGTAATTCCATGAACCTTTTGCCCCCTCTGCACAAGCACATGAGGAGAAGGATCTGCTCCTTTCCTCTAGTCTCCGCTCAGCATTCCTTAATGTGCTGTTCCAGGGGTCCAGTTCTTCCTAGGTAGGGATGGGCAAATCTGGTAATTTCTGGGTCCCTCAGTTTCTTCTGTTTTCAATATTAAATTCAGTTTTCCACATTTCTGCAGCAATTTATGGTTAAACATATATATATATTCTTCAGTATTTTAGTGCAAATTTATGCAACTAAACATGTTTTAGAATGCAGTTTTGACTAATGCACTCATTCTTTTGCAAGCAATTTTTTCTAATGTGCATTTCTATACAGTGATACCTCAGGTTACAGATTTTCAGGTTACAGACTCCGCTAACCCAGAAATATTACCTCGGGTTAAGAACTTTGCTTCAGGATGAGAACAGAAATTGCGCAGCAGCAGTGTGGCAGCAGTGGGAGGCCCCATTAGCTAAAGTGGTGTCTCAGGTTAAGAACAGTTTCAGGTTAAGAACAGACCTCCGGAACGAATTAAGCTCTTAACCCGAGGTACCACTGTATGTTATTTTCAGTCATATATGCAAGTTTGTACACAGTGGTTGGAGAACTGTACTGCAAAAATTCAGAGAAGTGTGAAGTTTGAAGGATAGCTGTATATTGGATTGAATATTGGTTCAAGAAGTGCAAATGTAGAGATCTTCTCATTAAAATGCAGACAAAATTGAATCTTGCCCTCCTTCTCTCTGGGAGCTCTGTTGGATCCAGGATCTTATTTATTTATGGCATTTAATACCCTTCAGTCAAAAAGGCTTTTGGAGCAGCTTACAAAAATTGGTATAAAGGAGGGAGAAACAAACTCAAGCCCAAGTTCTTAAAACTGCAGCTCATCAAACATCCACTTAGTCCAGCATCTTCCTTTTGGCAGCAGCAGGCAAGCCAGACGCCCCCAGGTCTGTCACAAAGAGGTCACAGATGCAAGAGCCGTTTCTTGACGTTTGTCTGCTTTTCAGCAAGTAGTGCCCAGAGGTTCAGTGCCTCTAAATGTGAAGATCAGATTTCATCACCATAGTAAATAGACAACTTCCTGGAGGACTTCTATAACTCCCCTTTAAAGCCTTCTCTGTTAGCACCCATTGCCACATCTTGTGGCAACTAGGACTGGCTCAAGGCAAAGGACAAGATTCTCTCTTCCTCCATAACAGGTTCTAAAGCTGAGACCAAGGGCAGCCAACTGCCCCTTCTCCTCTGGCATTGGGGCAGCCAGCCTCTCCTGCACCCAAGGGCAGCAGGCTAGTTTAGGGAGTGCAGGTCATAGTACCCACAGCCCTGTCCATTCTCCACGCCCACCTGCCCCCCAGCATTTGCTGCCTGAGGCTGATGCTCACTCCTCCTCATGGTAGGGCCGGCTCTGGTGGCAGCAGATTCTGTAAGGCACAAACGGTGCTGAAATTAATTGCCTGCCTCACTCCTGTTCGTGTCACTTCCCAAAGTGGGGAGGGCAGCCCACACACTAGACCCTTGAAGCACTTTCAAAGCACATCTTCCCTGCCCCCTCAGAAAATTATGTTTAGGGTTGCTGGCAATTGTAGCTCTGTGACGGGTAAACTATAGTGCTTAGAAATGTTTAAGAAGAAGACAGTGTGCTCTCAATGTGCTTTAAAGGTAATATGTACATAGCAGGTTGAGGGGAAGTCTATTATTATTATTATTATTATTATTATTATTATTATTATTATTGAGCCCCCTTCACCATAAGGTCCCTGGGCAAGTCACAACAAATACATTAAAAACAGCTTAGTGAAATTACAGTCACTAGAAGGGGGTGCGTTTTTTCTAGAAATACACATCTCATGCAGGGCAGAGGGTGCATCTTCAGCATTCACCAAAAGGTGTACAGAGAAGGTTCCAGGCACACCTCTGTCCAGACCAAATTCGGCAGCTTAGGTGCCACCACAGAGAAGGCGCTTTGTCCCTGGAGGGGGACAATTTGGACTGTAGTGGTAAGATTTGTCATTAATCTGCTTCTGTTGTTGTTGTTGTTTAGTTGTTTAGTCGTGTCCAACTCTTCGTGACCCCATGGACCAGAGCACGCCAGGCTCTCCTGTCTTCCACTGCCTCCCGCAGCTTGGTCAAACTCATGCTGGTAGCTTTGAGAACACTGTCCAACCATCTCGTTCTCTGTCGTCCCCTTCTCCTTGTGCCCTCAATCTTTCCCAACATCAGGGTCTTTTCCAGGGAGTCTTCTCTTCTCATGAGATGGCCAAAGTACTGGAGCCTCAGCTTCAGGATCTGTCCTTCCAGTGAGCACTCAGGGCTGATTTCCTTCAGAATGGATAGGTTTGATCTTCTTGCAGTCCATGGGACTCTCAAGTGTCTCCTCCAGCACCAAAATTCTTCGGCGATCAGCCTTCTTTATGGTCCAACTCTCACTTCCATACATCACTACTGGGAAAACCATAGCTTTAACTATACAGACCTTTGTTGGCAAGGTGATGTCTCTGCTTTTTAAGATGCTGTCTAGGTTTGTCATCGCTTTTCTCCCAAGAAGCAGGCGTCTTTTAATTTCATGGCTCCTGTCACCATCTGCAGTGATCATGGAGCCCAATAATCTCTCACTGCCTCCATTTCTTCCCCTTTTATTTGCCAGGAGGTGATGGGCCCAATAGCCATGATCTTCGTTTTTTTGATGTTGAGCTTCAGACCATATTTTGCGCTCTCCTCTTTCACCCTCATTAAAAGGTTCTTTAATTCCTCCTCGCTTTCTGCCATCAAGGTTGTGTCATCTGCATATCTGAGGTTGTTGATATTTCTTCCGGCAATCTTAATTCCGGCTAGGGATTCATCCAGCCCAGCCTGTCGCATGATGAATTCTGCATATAAATTAAATAAGCAGAGAGACAATATACAGCCTTGTCATACGCCTTTCCCAATTTTGAACCAATCAGTTGTTCCATATCCAGTTCTAACTGTAGCTTCTTGTCCCACATAGAGATTTCTCAGGAGACAGATGAGGTGATCAGGCACTCCCATTTCTTTAAGAACTTGCCATAGTTTGCTGTGGTCGACACAGTCAAAGGCTTTTGCATAGTCAATGAAGCAGAAGTAGATGTCTTTCTGGAACTCTCTAGCTTTCTCCATAATCCAGCGCATGTTTGCAATTTGGCCTCTGTTTCCTCTGCCTCTTCTAAATCCAGCTTGCACTTCTGGGAGTTCTCGGTCCACATACTGCTTGAGCCTTCCTTGTAGAATTTTAAGCATAACCTTGCTAGCGTGTGAAATGAGTGCAATTGTGCAGTAGTTGGAGCATTCTTTGGCACTGCCCTTCTTTGGGATTGGGATGTAGACTGATCTTCTCCAATCCTCTGGCCACTGCTGAATTTTCCAAACTTGCTGGCATATTGAGTGTAGCACCTTAACAGCATCATCTTTTAAAATTTTAAATAGTTCAGCTGGAATATCATCACTTCCACTGGCCTTGTTATTAGCAGTGCTTTCTAAGGCCCATTTGACTTCACTCTCCAGGATGTCTGGCTCAAGGTCAGCAACCACACTACCTGGGTATACGAGACATCCATTTCTTTCTGGTATAGTTCCTCTGTGTATTCTTACCACCTCTTCTTGATGTCTTCTGCTTCTGTTAGGTCCTTTCCACTTTTGTCCTTTATTATGGTAATCTTTGTACGAAATGTTCCTTTCATATCTCCAATTTTCTTGAACAGATCTCTGGTTTTTCCCATTCTATTGTTTTCCTCTATTTCTTTGCATTGCTCGTTTAAGAAGACCTTTTTTTTAAAAAAAAATAATATTTATTAAAGTTTCAAAAAAATACATGAAAATACAGAATAAAGAAAAAAGTATAAAGAAAAACATACAAAATAAAACAATTAAAAACACATTAATTTTCCATAGCCTATCTTCCTTACACTTATTTCCCCGAACCTCCTCATACCTCCCTTCTTTGTATTCCAGTTCAGTTTGGCAAATCCTTACCATTAAACTTTTACCCAATTGTTAACCTTTTTTTTTTCCATATCTCTTAAAGCATTACAGCTAAAAACCTCTTAGTTTCTATCCAACATCCTTCTAAGATTCCTTAATTTTGCAATATTTCTGTAAATAGTCTTTAAATTTCTTCCAGTCTTCTTTCACCGACTCTTCTCCCTGGTCTCGGATTCTGCCAGTCATTTCCGCCAATTCCATGTAGTCAATCACCTTCATCTGCCATTCTTCCAGAGTGGGTAGATCTTGTGTCTTCCAATACTTTGCAATAAGTATTCTTGCTGCTGTTGTGGCATACATAAAGAAAGTTCTGTCCTTCTTTGGCACCAATTGGCCGACAATGCCCAAAAGAAAGGCCTCTGGTTTCTTCAGAAAGGTATATTTAAATACCTTTTTCAGTTCATTATATATCATTTCCCAGAAAGCCTTGATCTTTGGGCACGTCCACCAAAGGTGAAAGAATGTACCTTCAGTTTCTTTACATTTCCAACATTTATTATCGGGCAAATGATAAATTTTTGCAAGCTTAACTGGGGTCATGTACCACCTGTATATCATTTTCATAATATTCTCTCTTAAGGCATTACATGCCGTAAACTTCATACCTGTGGTCCATAACTGTTCCCAGTCAGCAAACATAATATTATGTCCAACATCTTGTGCCCATTTAATCATAGCAGATTTCACCGTTTCATCCTGAGTATTCCATTTCAACAGCAAGTTATACATTCTTGACAGATTTTTAGTTTTGGGTTCTAACAATTCTGTTTCTGTTTGGCAGGGCAAATCCACCTCTTTCCTTAGCATCAGTTAATATCTTACATTTTATTCTGGGCTTCTTGCCCTGCCAGATAAATCTAGAAATATCTCTCTGCCACTTCTTGAAACAGTCCATCTTATCTACAATTTGTAATGTCTGAAACAAAAACAACATTCTAGGCAATACATTCATCTTTATCACAGCAATACGGCCCAGCAGTGAGAGTTTCAAATTTGACCAAATTTCTAAATCTTTTTTCACTTCCGTCCAACATTTTTCGTAATTATCTTTAAATAAGTTCCCATTTTTGGCTGTCATATTAATCCCCACGTATTTCACTTTCTTTACCACATTCAATCCTGTCTCATTCTGAAACCTCTCTCTTTCAATTGGTGTTAAATTTTTCTCTAAAACCTTAGTTTTTAGCTTGTTCAATTTAAAACCTGCCACCTGACCAAATTCCTGAATTAATTCTAAAACTCTTTTAGTGCTAAATTCTGGCTCCTGTAGCGTCAATACTAGGTCATCTGCAAATGCTCTCAGTTTGTACTGTTTAGCTCCGACCTGTATACCCTTAACCAACCGGTCCTTTCTAATCATATTTAGCAGAACCTCCAGGACCGATATAAAAAGCAGTGGGGAAATTGGGCACCCCTGTCGTGTCCCTTTTTCTATCTTGAATTCTTCCGTGACCACATTATTTACAATTAATTTAGCCTTTTGTTCAGAGTATATTGCACCTATACCATTTTCAAAGCCTTGGCCTACCCCCATCCCATGTAAGTTCTTCTTCATAAAACTCCAAGAGATATTATCAAAAGCTTTCTCCAGCGTCCACAAATATCAAAACTGCTTTAGTGTTTATGTTCACTTCTAATTTTTCCAAAATATCAATTATATTCCTCAAATTATCGGACAGGTGTCTTCCCGGGAGAAAGCCCGCTTGGTCTTTATGAATCTCTTCCATCAATACTTTTTTCAATCTCTTGGCCAAAATGTCTGCAAAAATTTTGTAATCCACATTAAGTAACGATATAGGGCGGTAGTTCTTAAGCTGAGTCTTTTCAGTCTCTGTTTTCGGTATGAGTGTAATATACGCCTCTTTCCACGATTCTGGTGCCCTTTTCCCCTCCAATATTTCATTGCAGACTTCCTTCAAAGGTTGCAATAGCCACTCTTTCAGAGATCTATAGTATCTGGAAGTCAGCCCATCCGGTCCTGGAGATTTTCCCTCGTTTAAGAAGACCTTCTTGTCTCTCCTTGCTATTTTTTGGAAATCTGCATTCAATTTCCTGTATCTTTCTCTATCTCCCTCGCATTTTGCTTGCCTTCTCTCCCCCGCTATTTGTAAGGCCTCGTTGGACAGCCACTTTGCTTTCTTGCATTTCCTTTTCATTGGGGTGGTTTTCATTGCTGCCTCCTGTATAATGTTACGAGCCTCCATCCATAGTTCTTCAGGCACTCTGTCCACCAAATCTAAATCCTTAAACCTGTTCCTCGCTTCCACTGTGTATTCATAAGGGATTTGATTTAGATTGTATCTTACCGGCCCAGTGGTTTTTCCTACTTTCTTCAGTTTAAGCTTGAATTTTGCTATAAGAAGCTGATGATCTGAGCCAAAGTCAGCTCCAGGTCTTGTTTTTGCTGACTGTATAGAGCTTCTCCATCTTTGGCTGCAGAGAATATAGTCAATCTGATTACGATGCTGCCCATCTGGTGATGTCCATGTGTAGAGCATTCCCCTTTCCCTTCCTCTCCCACAACAAACACTCTGTGAGGTGAGTGAGGCTGAGAGACTTCAGAGAAGTGTGACTAGCCCAAGGTCACCCAGCAGCTGCATGTGGAGGAGCGAGGAAGCGAACTCGGTTCCCCAGATTACGTGACTACCGCGCTTAACCACTACACCACACTGGCTCTAACTTTAGCATTCCAATCCCCTATAATGAGAAGAACATCCTTCTTTGGTGTCATTTCTATAAGGTGTTGTAAGTCTTCATAGAATTGGTCAATTTCAGTTTCTTCAGCACCAGTAGTTGGTGCATAAACTTGGATTACTGTGATGTTAAAAGGTCTGCCATGGATTCGTATCAAGATCATTCTATCATTTTTGAAATTGAATCCCAGTACAGCTTTCGCCACTCTTTTGTTGACTATGAGGGCCACTCCATTTCTTTTACGGGATTCTTGCCCACAGTAGTAGATGGTCATCCGAACTGAATTCACCCATTCCCGTCCATTTTAGTTCACTGATGCCCAGGATGTCAATATTTATTCTTGCCATCTCATTTTTGACCACATCCAACTTACCCAGGTTCATGGTTCTTACATTCCAGGTTCCTATGCAATATTTTTCTTTACAGCATTGGACTTTCCTTTCGCTTCCAGGCATATCCGCAACTGAGCGTCCTTTCGGCTTTGGCCCAGACGCTTCATCAGCTCTGAATCAACTTTTACTTGTCCTCCGCTCTTCCCCAGTAGCATGTTGGACGCCTTCCGACCTGAGGGGCTCATCTTCCAGCGTCATAACTTTTATATGCCTGTTGTCTTTGTCCATGGAGTTTTCTTGGCAGGGATACTGGAGTGGCTTGCCGGTTCCTGCTCCAGGTAGATCACGTTTGGTCAAAACTCTCCACTATGACCTGTCCATCTTGGGTGGCCCTGCACGGCATAGCTCATAGCTTCTCTGAGTTATTCAAGCCCCTTCGCCACGGCAAGGCAGTGATCCATGAAGGGGAATCTGCTTCTAGCATTGATTAACTTCCTATTGCTTTGAGCTATGAGACCGGATTCATAGCTAGGTAAATTCTGCTTAAGAAGGCATCCTTTCCCATTTTGGTCTGAACAGGTAATTTTGAGCAACAGGTTTAACACGCTTGATGCAACTCTCTCTCTCTCTCTCTCTCTCTCTCTCTCTCTCTCTCTCATAGCATCAGATCCAAACAGCAGCATTGCTGTCTGTTGCTCACCCATTGCAGGGCAAAATGTCACACTATAGGGCTTGGGAGCTGGTACTGCCCCATGACCACGCACCTCACCAGTCCTGTCCCACGCCCTCCCATCAGTGTGCCCCTCACTTGCCAGAATGAACGATGGAGCGCTGTGTATGCCTTTTGGGCAGCTGAAAGGTAGCCTATGGTGAGCATCCCACCTTTTTCTCCACCACTTTTGACTCCTGGCCCTGCCCACCATTGGCCCCTGGAAGGCTCTCCATGAGGGAGTGCGGCCCTTTGGCTGAAAAAGGTTCCACACCTCTGATCTAAGTGGCAAAGCAAGCGGGGATGGGGGGGCAATTTGTTCTCTTAACCTCCCTGTCAAAGAGGAAATGGACTTAAGGGACAAAGGGAAAGCAGGACTTGCCAAGGCAGGCTCCCCCGGCAAACAGTCGTCCTCCTGCTCACGAGGGAGTGGATCCAGCACACCAGCCCAGCCCCCTCTGTGCATTTTCATTCTGGATTTTCTGAACACCTGGATGAACCTCTGCTTTAACCAGCCTGGCACCACCAGCCATGCCCCCATGCGCCCCAGCACTATGTGATCATGCTGATTGGGGCCGATGGGAGTTGTGGTCCAAAACAACTAGAGAGCACCGCATTGGAGGAGACTGGGGAGGATGCTTCAAGGAAGCAAAGTGCACTAACTGCCAGGGTTAGAACTCCTGCCAAAAATGGTTGTGTATACAAAGCCCTAGAGAGGAGGACAAAAGGACCGTGACCAAAGTCACATATTTCACATGGCAAAAAATGTTTTGCGACCCTTTGTTGCAAACAGGTGTTATGCCCTGGAACTTCTCACACTGGTGACTCCAACAGGAAAAACACTGCTTAAAAATGCTACCCAACCAGACTTTCATCCACCATCTACATAGGTAGCCCACCTTTCAAGGAAGGAAGTTGAACTCTGCCTGATCTCCTGGAGCACATTTTGCAGTCAGGAGGAGTGGGAGATTGAGAAGTAAAAGCCCTTGTTCATCCACCCAAGCACTGTAGCGGAAAACCCGTTGCTTCCCCATTAAGTTGAGGGTACACTGCCATAAATAATCCATTTGGGAGGAGGGTAGCAGATTATGGCAAGGAGTCGTGGGTCCAGGGTCACAGCAAGAACCACCATGAAATATGCAAGACCCCCCTCAAAGTCCATGCAGCGGGAGAGTGGTGAACGCTTATTGGATCTGACTGGGCAGAGTCCCTAGCGGTGGGGAGAGCTGGGCACGGTGCAAAGACTCTGGTCCCCCTCACGGAAGCCGTGCCACTGGGGTGGGGGAGTCACGCAACCATGCAGATCTTCAGCTAACTGGAACAGGGAAGGAGGCAGGTGGGCTCACCCGAGAGCAACGCCCAACCATGCCGCCTAGTCCAACCTGCTTGACCTTTTCCACCACTGGGCCTCCTGCTTGACCTGTTAAGGCCTCCTGCTTGACCTGTTTCCACCACGGGGGGTGGGGGTGGTCAGCAACTGCCGCAGTCAGAGAGAAGGTGGTGGTGTGATATTTGTAACCTCTCTATCCCAACTCTTCTTTTAGGTGTGGGGTGGGAGACTTCAGAAACATGTTCAGGGGCAGAATCAGTTTACATTGAAGCATGCACCTTGCTGGATCAGCCGCAAAGTCCACCTGGTCCAGCATCATGTTCTCCCAGTGGCCACCCACTGCCTCTGAGAAGCCCACAAGCAGGACCAAGGGCACGAGCCCTCTCCTCAATTGTGACCCATAGCAAGTTGCATTCAGAAGGCATGCTGCCTCCAGCAGTGGTGTCAGAGCGCACGCAGAGCCTTATCCTCCAGATGTATCACAGCAAAAAAAATCCCAGTGAAAAGCAGCAGGAGCAGACCAAACTCCGGTCAGCTCCGGCGCAGCAGTTGTTCTCCAGGACAAGAGGGCAAGTGGTTTATTATTATTATTCAAGGTTCTTAACAGCTCTGAGAAATAATGCTCAGGAAGACTCTTCTTCAGGGATGGCTCAAGACATTTTGCTGCCTGAGCAGGACGATAAAATGGGTTCCCTACCCTGCCTTGCCCAAAATCTGATCAGCCTGGGAGTTGCATCTCAGTGAAGACTAGTGGCAGGAGAGCATCACCCACAAGGGCGGCGGCAGCAGCAGAAGCAGCAAGCTTACACAGAACTGGCTGGATGCAGAGGAGTGGTGGGAGGCAGCAGGTGGGGAACCCCCAGGGGAAGAAGACTCAGAGCCAGGGGGTTGGTGGTGGGACACCAATGAGTGGTCAGAGGGAAAAGGCAACTGGGTTTAGTGAGCAGGAAGAGGCTGTGGCAGAGAGCAGTCCAGAGGCTGCAGAGGAGGGGGGTCAAGAGGCAGAGATCAAGTAGCCAGCTGGCCTCCCCCTCCTGCTGCAAGCAGCTCTCTTCCCCCCTGGTCTCACAGAACATGAAGCAAAATGAAGAGACAGGTGAAGGAGCCTCAGGTTGCTGGGGAAGGACTCAGAGGAAGAGGGAATTTGGGGAACTGTGGGAAGCTGGGATCTTCAGTCCTCACAACGGCCTCATTGGGGCAAGACCTACTGGGAAGAGTTGCTGGGATCACTAGGCCTGCACTCTTTTGGTTTCCTGAAATAGTTAACTTCACTGACACCAGGTGTCTTATTACTGACTTGCCCTTGGCTGCTGACACTTGGGGGCACACACAGCTCTGTCCTCCAGGACCCCCCAGCTACTCCAGCACCTGCTGCCTAGTGGTTGGAGAGGCCCAGTCCCACTTCCCTACAAACGAGGGGAGCCTGGCCTGTTCCACTCCCACTGCAACCAGCTCAGGAGCCCTGCACTGTGCCCCACTGGGAATGTCTGCCTGCCTGCCAGTCCCCAATACAGAAGCAAAATATGAGGCATCCCCTTGTACTTGCAAGGCTCACCAAGACCTTTGGGCCTGTGGGCAGATTTGCAAAGCAGTCAAACTGTGACAGGAACCATGCAAACACACAGGCTACCTCCACCATTTGCTGTGCTAGGAAAAATTCAAGACAGAAACTGAGGCAGCACAGACACAGAAAAAAGTGCTTGTTTATTTCCTTAAAATCCATGAACATAGAATAGGACACCCAGGCGCACGTGCATGCGCACACACACACACACACACACACACACACACAGAGTTTCTGATCCAACAGGTCTATTTCTGAAATCAGTGTAAAAAGGCAAGAGGTTCTCCTGTTCCAACAGCAAGAGTGCCAGGCAATTCAGAGGAGCTGGAATGTGTTCCCATTTCACTTGGATGGGCCAGTGATTTCCGTGGGATGAAGTAGGTGATTTGCATGGCAGAAATCAGGAGTTTCTCTCTTCTGGGGGTATATACTCCAAGTCTAAATGCTGGAAAATCTCTTCTTCAGAGGCAGCGGTCAAAAAAATTTTCTGAAGGGGGTTTAAAAGACACACACATAAACAAATAACGGAGGCTGAAATGATTTCCTCCACATCCTACTTTCTCCCTACGCCCATTAAGTAGGGCTCTGCAGACTCCATTCTGAAAAAAACAAAACCACCACAAAAATTTTGCACCAAACTTTGTAAGCTGCACAAATTATGCATCTTAAAGAGATTGCATGCAAACATCCTTGTTTTGCAGAATTTGTGTCACTCCTGTCTCAGGAACTGTAAGAAAGGGCAATGCTTCTACTTCGGACACTTAATGGTAAAGGACTAGGATGCGGCAGCCCAGGAGCCCAACAGCCAGAGAGTCTTCTCCACCCCTCGCCTCGTCTAAGTGTGTGAGAAGTGCCTTCCTGGATCAGGCCAGGGGCCCACCTAGTCCAGCACCCTCTTCTCACAGGGCCAACCAGGTGCCTGTCTGAACCCCACAAGCAGCATCTGAGCACAAGAGCCTGCCGCCCTCTAGTGGTTTCCAGAAGCATTGCTGCCACCGACCGTGGAGGCAGAGGGCAAACAACCCAGCTGGTGACATTTCACAAGCTGTTGAAAAGGCCTGGAAACCGGCCTTTTTGGGGAAAAAAAAAGGAAACTTCTGCAGCAATGCCAGTGTTGTCTCAAGAGACAATGGAGTGTGCCTCCAGGGGTGAAGTCAAGCTGCACTGAAGTGACCTCTGCAGGGCACAAGCCTGGGCAGTATGTCTGGAGGTCCTGGGCTGCCCACACAGCAAGACCCGCCCCCCCCCCCGCCTCTCTGATGCCATCCAAAGGAAAGCAGAGCAAAACCTTTGGCACCAGCCGGAAGGAGGCTTCCAAGGCGCCATCCAACCCTCTTAGGGACTCCACTCCAGATCTGTGCAGGGTTCGCTCCTCAGCCTTTTCTTCTCCCAAAGATTTCCTGCAGGGCAGCAGGTACAGATTTTTCCTCAGGACTGACTCCTGAAAAATGGGGAGGGGTAATTTTCCACAATCCCCGCTCACTGTCCCACCAGCTGATACCATGGGAAGGAAGAAAGGGTTTCAATTCTGCCTTTGCTGCAGAAACAGGCACTTGCAGCCAAAACGATTTAGCAGGGGCTACATCCTGCTCAGTTTGGCTGCATGCACCACTTCCCTACTGGGACGGAAAGGCAAGCAGAAAGAAAGGTGCCTTCTGCAAGCATCAGCAAAGCACAAGGAGTCCCCTTGCAAAAGGCCCTTCCTCGCTCCCTTCCCTCCCTGCCAGCGTAAGGGTTGGGGGAGAAATCAGAGGGGTGTTTTGCAAGTCAAGGCAAAGCACAAGATCCACTGCCTCTGCTCCTTTCTTTGGCCCTCCCCCCCCCCCTTTGGCAATCCCTGCACAAGCCTGTCAATCATGTGGCATCATGTGATTTGACAGACAGGTTGCCCCACCCACCTGTTGATGTTGGCCCATGAGGAAGGGCCACAAACAGAAGACCCCCAAATCTTCTGTTCTATAAAAGAGCCCCAAATGCCCCCCTCCCCAGTTCTATAAGGATAAACCAGGCGCAAAGCCACAGGCAACCCAGGTGGAAAGACCCTTCCTTCTTTGATGCTCCTCTGTCAAAAGCCGTGTACCTGCTCCAGGTGATAAAGGACATGATTGTTGAGAGCCATCTTCTTCTCGTGCTTGGAGTAGCGCCTGAGGTCGCGCTCAAAATTCTGGGACGGAGCCAAGGGGAGAGAAGAAAGGAGATGGGTTGTTAAGGCAGTCCCTGCCAAATGGCTTGCATGAGAATTTCATTCATTCTGTAATTAAAGGCTCTTAAACCTGAAGCACATACCCACCAAAAGTGTGTCTGCAGGGTCTCTGAAAGATTAACTGTTCTCACCTCCTTTTAATTCACATCTGCTTTATGTGGGGAGCATGCAATTCTACTAGATCTCTTGCAACCGGTGGCAAGTGGACTACACAGTCCCTTTCCGATGTAAAGATTACCCAGAATTAGGGAGAAATGTTACGTATCTAGGAGCCTTTTTGGCTAAACAGTGGGGTATAAATGCCTTGTATAAAATGCTAAGAAATGGCTCCCTAAAGCAGGAGGTGGTGATTCCAATGCAGTTCCTAGTGCTGGCCTGAGACATTTACTAACTGCTGTAAGGATTCTTTACAGTGTGTTATGGCCTTCCAAGTTTTGAAAAAGAAAGGAAGATGCAAATTGAAATACAGAACCAGGATCCATGATGGAAAACTCCAATCCCAGGCAAGATACCTGTTGAACTCACCTTTGAGCCTGTCCAGCCAAGCAAAGCAAATGGAAACTGACTGAAGGGAGTCACAACCAAGTCCACCCTCACAGCTTTCCAGAAACTGGACACTCCAGAACCTGTCACTGCACCACCAGGCTTCTGAGCCCCGGCACTGATCTGAACACCCCCAGGAAGGCGAAGGCGGAAAATGGAGAGACATCGTTCAAAATGGTCCATTCCACTTGCACTGCTGCGGCTCCACAGCTCCGGGTCTTCAAAAGCCTGGAAAGTGTTTCTCCGGCTGCTGTGATAGAGCAAGAAGCCCTACAAAGACAGGGCAGCAGAATGCAAAAGTCACACCACTCAGCATTTATACGGCCAAGGGTTTTCTGAACACCTGATGGCCGAGGCGTGTATCTCACTTGCACCTAGAAAAGGTGAAGATAGGCTTTCGTGTTGCCCTACGCATTCCAGGGGGTCCCTTCCAACTCTACAATTCTGTGATTCTATGCTCCTGCTGAAGCTTCTGATCTGGACACACATGGTCATGCTCAGAACAATGACTCCTGCAGAAATGCAACAAGCAGCCTCTGGGTTGGCAATGCACAACAGAATCGCCCCCCCCTCCACCCACAGTGTGGAAGCTGAGAGAAATAAAGGAATGCTGGAGCAACAGACCCTGCAGAGATGCAAGGGGCCGGCTCTTCTGTAGGGGGGCACTTAGCGCTCACAGCAGTCGTCAATCCCTTAATTTCCCCACTCCCACGCAGTCTCCCATACAGTTTGGGAATTGCCAATATCAAGGCTTTAGGACAGGCATGGGGGGAGCTGCGACCCTCCAGATGCGGTCAGACGCCAGCTCCCAGCCAGCATGGCCAATGGTTTGGGATGATGGGAGTTGTGATCTAGAGGGTCACTGTGCTACCTCTGCTTTGAGAGTGTCTGAAATGTTCCATGTACCGCTTTCCCAGTAATCCTTATGATTCCCCACCATATTCCCCCCTGGGCTACCCAACTCTGCTCCAACCTGCTTATCCAGCCAGCTGATGACTTTCTTCAGCAGTCCCACTTCTTGGCCTTCCGTAGGGTGTGTGAGAAGCAAGTCAACATCATGGCCGGTTTGTTTCCCTCTGTAAGGGAAGACACTGAGTCACGGGACGGCAGGCAGAAGGAAGCCGCCTCTCTCACGGGAGGAAGCCCCTGCAAAACAGGCTGTGCTCTCTTGTTCCGTCCAGTCCAGCTCTGGACAATGACTCCAGTTTATTTTCTTGCTGTGCGCATCATCTAAGCCTAGACTTAATCCAAGTCAGACCTAGCCTGGTTTGCTCATTGCCATGTGGCAAATCTTTGCTCATTTAATGGATATGTTTACATGTCATCCTAAGACACAGCTTGATGCCATGGGAAGGAGCGCTGGGAGCCTCTTTGCTCACTCTTCTGCTCCTGGGCGGCTTGGAGGGATATGGAAGCTTCGGCTTTTGTTTAACCATAGGCTCACTGTGCCAGTGTTTCTCAAACTTCAGTCTCCAGCTGTTGTTGGACTACAACTCCTATTATTCCTAGCTAGCAGGATCAGGGATGCTCAGGGATGATGGGAGTTGTAGTCCAACAACACAGGTCAACTTCAAACCATGGGCTGTCATTCAAGTATGTTTTGCTCACAGTAGACCCATTTGAACTAATAGACCTAGCTTAGTCACGGTCATGAATTTAAGTGAGTTTATTCTGAGTACAACTTATAGGAATACCACCCAAAGTTAGCAGGTCTGGCTTGTTTAAAATAAATCGCTGTCAAGTTGTCTAGCTGGACCCTGAAGTGTGACTAAATCGCAAGCTGTGGTGGAGGAAAGGCAGATGCTCCTGATCTCCTCCTCCTGGATGTGTGGGAAGCAGGAGGCAGCATGGAAATGGAAGGCTTCCTGCGGTGCATCAACATCACACTGAACTATTATTTAGGACATGCAAAGGCAGCCAGTGTGAGAACAAAAGCAGGTCTGGTTTGCTGGGTTAAATAAATGCTCAACTGAATAAAACGTGATTGCACATCTTCCTCTTTCTGCACACCCCATCTACCTGTTGGCCTCCAAGGAAGAATGGCAGAGGAGGACTTACGCCTGTATTCCTTTCTTCATCGGAATGTGACAGTTGTACTTTGTGCCAGTCTCCCCTGGCCCACTGCAAACATCATTTCCTGAATTGTTCCTCATCAGAAGCAAAGGCAAGGCATATCTATGCTACAGGCAACCAGTCCTAGCCTCTCTCAAGATGCCCAGGAAGGACCATCATTTTGAGAGCATGCTTGAAATATCTGTGATAGATCCCTGTCCTGCTTTACTGGGCAATTTCCAGAGTTCCCTGCAATGTGGCATTTATAAGCAGATTCTGAAAGTGACTTGTGCTCTACCAGAGGGGCGAATTAGTACTGCAGGAGGAAGTACCTCCTGGGAATGAGAAGAATCAAGCTTGGCACATTCTTGGCACAGGATTTCCAGCATGTTTGTCAAGAGCCCATCATCACCTTCTAAAGCCACCAGCCAACGTCACAGAAGCCCCAGGCAAGCACTGCCCCACTGCGTCTCGCACCACCTGGCTAATGGCCTCTGCGTCGGAGCGCTCCACTGGGGTGTTGAGGTCGTCATAATGAAGGAGCCCTGCGGGGAAAAGAAACCCACCACCAGGTGTGTTCAGGAGCCCCTCAGCACTTGAGAACGAAAAAGCAAGGAGACAGGAAGGCAGCAGATTTCTGTCCATCCAATACAGATAAGGAAAGGACCACAACACAGTGGCAGAGCTGCTGCACTGAATGCAGAACATCCCAGGGAGGGCAGGGAAGGTCCTGTCGGAACCTCTTGGAGTCACTGCCAGTCAGTGCAGACAATACTGAGCTAGATAGACCAAGGGATCAGACTCTGACATGGTATAAGGCATGGTGTTCTGGGCTCTTGCAACTTCTTGCTTCTGCCCTGGAGGCAAGAACCCACGCCAGTGCTGGGCAAAGGGTCCAAGGCAGCCACAAAGCAGGCACATCTGTGACTCTCCACAAAGTACTCAAGCCAGAACTAGAGCTAGGCATCTGACAGCTCAAATAATGGCAAATTAATCTTACAATAATAAAATATATATTTTTTCTTCTGGTTTGATACTTTTGCTAATTAACAAAAACTAGATGAGTGTTATTTTGTGAAATAACAACTGGTATGCAATGCTAGGCATACCCAGGAGACCCACTGAAATTAATTATTGCAACTAACTTCAGTCTATTCATTTCAATGGACCTACTCAGAGTAAAATTTAGTTGGCTACAACCCAAAGAGATTTAATTGTTTAAAAATTGACAAGTTATTATACCACTTTTCAGTAATTTCAATTTTCTGTGAAAACTTATGATTCACTGATAATATATATTTGGCATCTAAAGTGAAACAGGATCAGCTCCAGTTACCTTTTTCTAAAAATAAAATAAAATAAATGAAAATAGAAAAAGCAACTATAGCTATTAAACCACAAAGTCAGTTTCTAAAGCCTGGGTCAAAAAGCATATATAAATAATGTGGATCTTTATGTTAGAGTGCTTATTATATGTTAAAATATTCAAACTATGAATACTTTAGGGCAAAATGTGTACAAAAATAATGCATAATTTCATGGGTTTTAAAATGAAATTGCTGATACGATGAGGAAAGCAACATGTGTGTAGATATATTTTTATATACATGCCAACAACATGAAATTGATGAGAAATGGGATGGGACAGGGCAGACCTCTGAATGAACACATGCCAAGCTAACATGCCAAGGACATAGACAGAGGCAGCCTCCTGCCCCCCCCCCCCCGGCCACCATAGTATCAGTCCACGTTGTTCTCTTGCTCCTTTTACCCTTACCCCGCTTTAACCCCCAAGTCCCTCTTCTTACTGCATGGATACTTACCAAATTCCTGTTCCTTGCTCAGCTTTGCTCGATGTGCCTGCAGGTCGGCCAGCGTCCTCAGTCCTTCCTGATACCACCGGCTGGCCGTCTTCACCCCAACCCCAAAGATCTTTGTGAAAACCTGCCGAGTGAAAGTTTGTTGATGGAAGGATTCTGGAGCAAATTCAAGGGCATCTATTCTGTTCAATGCACAGGGCAAAGGCCTAAGGATGTGCCTTAGCATTGCCCTGCCACGTACAAAGAGACTTGCATTGTGGTAGCACCTCCTCTGGCTGCTACCTGACCTACGCCGACTTGTGACAGGGCCTTCTCAGTGGTGGCTCCATGTTAGTGCAATGCGCACCCTGCTGTATCTCCCTCATTGCTATCTTTCAGAAATTTAAAAATATTCCCGTTTACCGAGGCACTTGATGGCAGATACTGGTTATGGCAACCATGTCATTAATAACTGTGAGGATTGATTTAAATGTTTTTAGATGGTCTAGATGGGTTCATCACTGACTGAGGTTTTTCAGGAACAACTTGCTTTCTTAATGCTGGCCATTGACTACGACAATAAAGATTTGATTTGGAATTCCCCCGAGAAGAGACGAAGAGTCTTTCATGTATTAAAAAAGGAACAATTGGACTTGATTTGCTTACAAGAAACACATGTGATAAGGCTACATAGGAAATTACTGGTAAATAAAAGATTGGGACAAGAATTTATTTCATCAGACAAAGTAAAAAAGAGGAGTAGTACTTTATGCAAAGGAGAGCCTATCACCGAAATTTCTTTTTAAAGATGATCAAGGAAGATTTGTAGCAATTGAAATCCAATCGCAAGGAGAGAAGTTTTTGATATTAGGTATTTATGCACCAAACGAGGGAAAATCGGAATTCTTTAAGAAGCTACATGAGACTCTGATGGACTATATGGATTATAATATGATCTTGATGGGATATGAATGGTGTAGTGTCTACAAATATGGATAAAGCACAGAGACAGGTAGTTACTAAGGATGGCAGATTGCCAAAGACTTTCTTTGATATGACTGACAATATGGACTTAGTTGACATTTGGAGAATTAAAAACCCTTTGGGAAGAGAGGAACCTTCTTCTCCGAGGCCAAAATGACATGGACAAGAATTGACCAAATTTGGGTAACTAGAGGACTGGCTCCAAAAACTAGAAAGGTGGAAATATGCCCGAAAACCTGCTCCGACCATAATGCTGTAAAGATGGAATTGAAACTAACATCAACTGGTTCCTTCAGATGGAGGATGAATGACATATTGTTTAGGAACGAAGAAGTGACTAAGAAGGCCCAAAAAACTCTGAGAGACTATTTTGAGATAAATATGAACACCACTGTAGAAAAAAAGAGTAATCTGGGTCGCAAGCAAAGCGGTTATGAGAGGGTTTTTGATACAACAGAATGCGATTCAAAGAGAGTCCTAAATGAGAAAAAGATAAAATATTGGAGAAAATAAAGGAAGGAGAGAAGAAACTGAGAGTGAAACCAAAGTCGCAGGAGATTTTGAAAGAGATAAAGTTATACCAAGTACAATATATGAAAATGATGAACCAGGAAATAGAATGGAAAATTAAACAGATGAGACAAAAGACATTTGAATCGGCAAACAAATGTGGAAAACTGCTGGCTGGGCAAATGAAAAAAGACAAAAACTTAACACTATCACAAATTTGGAAGTAGAAGGGGAAATATACAGAATCCAGTGGAGATTAGAAAGTGTTTTCAGAGGTATTTTAAACAACTATATACACAGGAAACTCAGAAACAAATGGACATTGATTGTTTTTTGAAAACAAATGGATTACAAAAAATCTCTCAAGAAAATAACCTAATGTTGAACTACAAAATAATGGAGCAAGAGATAAAAGGGGCCATCCAGAATATGCAATTGGGTAAATCTCCAGGTCTGGATGGACTAACTTCAAGATACTATAGATCCCTGAAAGAATGGATAATACAGCCATTAAAAGAAGTTTGTAATGGAATATTGGAAGGGGAAAAGGCGCCAGAGTCGTGGAAGGAAGCTTACATTACACTTATACCGAAAGTAGAGTCTGAGAAGACACAGCTTAAGAACTACCGCCCATATCTTTGCTTAATGTGGATTACAAAATTTTTGCAGATATTTTGGCTAAAAGATTAAAAGGTACTAGTAGAAGAAATCCATAAAGACCAAGCCGGTTTTCTCCCGGGCAGACACTTGTCTGACAACATGAGGAATATAATTAACATTCTAGAAAAGTTACAAGTGAATATTAATACTGAAGCAGTTTTTATTGTTGTGGACGCGGACAAAGCCTTTGACAATATTTCTTGGAGTTTTATGAAGAAAAATCTACAGGGGATGGGGGTTGGTCAAGGTTTTGAAAATGGTATAGGTGCAATTTATTCAGAACAAAAGGCTAAATTGTGAACAATGTAGTGACGGAAGAATTTAAGATAGAGAAAGGAATACGACAAGGTTGCCCAATCTCTCCATTGCTTTTTATATCGGTCCTGGAAGTTCTTTTAAACATGATTAGGAGGGAACAAACAGTTAAAGGTATACAAGTTGGAGCTAAACAGTACAAACTGAAAGCATTTGCTGATGATCTGGTATTGGCATTACAGGAGCCAGAATCTAGTACCAAAAGAGTACTGGAACTGATCCAAGAATTTGGACAAGTAGCGGGATTTAAATTGAATAAGATGAAAACTAAAGTTTTAGAGAAAAAATTAACAGTGACGGAGAGAGAAAGGTTTCAGAAGGAGACAGGATTAACATTGGTTAAGAAAGTGAAATACTTAGGGGTTAACATGACTGCTAAGAATGTGAATCTGTTTAAGGATAACTATGAAAAATGTTGGACGGACGTGAAAAAGGATCTAGAAATATGGTCAAATCTGAAGTTATCACTGCTAGGCCGAATTGCTGTGATAAAGATGAATGTATTGCCAAGGATGTTGTTTTTGTTTCAAACATTGCAAATATTGGATAAAATGGAGTGTTTCAAGAAGTGGCAGAGAGATATCTCTAGATTTGTCTGGCAGGGCAAGAAACCTCGAATAAAATTTAAGATATTAACTGACGCTAAGGAAAGAGGTGGATTTGCCCTGCCAGACTTAAAACTTTATTATGAATCAGCCGCTTTTTGCTGGCTGAGAGAATGGATGCTTCTTGAGAACACTGATGTGTTGGACTTAGAAGGCTTTAATAATGTCTTTGGGTGGCATGCATATCTGTGGTATGATAAGGTCAAAGCACATAAAGCGTTTAAAAACCATATTGTCAGAAAAGCACTGTTTAATGTTTGGATAAGATATAAGGATTTGCTTGAGAATAAAACCCCAAGGTGGTTGTCACCAATGGAAGCGAAGGCTCAGAAAAAGCTCAATATGGAGGCTAAATGGCCGAAATATTGGGAAATTTTGGAACAAGAGGGAGACAGATTAAAACTGCAGAGTTTTGAAAAATTAAAAAATAGAGTGCGAGATTGGCTTCATTGTTATCAGATAATGGAGGCATATAATTTGGATTAAAAAAATGGCTTCCAGGTGGAAAAATCAAAATTGGAAATAGAACTGTTAGATTCCAAAACTAAGAATTTGTCAAGAATGTATAATTTGCTGTTGAAATGGAATACTCAGGATGAAACGGTAAAATCTGTTATGATTAAATGGGCACAAGATGTTGGACATAACATTATGATGGCTGACTGGGAACAGTTATGGACCACAGGTATGAAGTTCATGGCATGTAATGCCTTAAGCGTGAATATAATGAAAATGATATACAGGTGGTACATGACACCAGTCAAGCTTGCGAAAATTTATCACTTGCCCGATAATAAATGCTGGAAATGTAAAGAGACGGAAGGTACATTCTTTCACCTTTGGTGGACATGCCCAAGGATTAAGGCTTTCTGGGAGATGATCTATAACGAAATGAAAAAGGTATTTAAATATACCTTTCTGAAGAAACCAGAGGCCTTTCTCCTAGGCATGGTCGGCCAATTGGTGCCAAAGAAGGACAGAACTTTCTTTATGTATGCCACAACAGCAACAAGAATACTTATTGCAAAGTATTGGAAGACACAAGATCTACCCACTCTGGAAGAATGGCAGATGAAGGTGATAGACTATATGGAACTGGCGGAAATGACTGGCAGAATCCAAGACCAGGGAGAAGAGTCAGTGGAGGAAGATTGGAAGAAATTTAAAGACTATTTACAGAAACATTGTAAAATTAATGAATGTTAGAATGATGTTGGAATGAATCTAGGTGATTTTAGCAAAAATGTATCAAAGATTTAAGAAAAATAGACTGTTAATTGGTGAAAAGAGGGAAAGTAAACTTATATCAAGATTAAGATAAATTTTCAGGATAAAAATTTTGAAGAGAGGGAAAGGATTTGCTGAAATGGATAATTGACTTAGAATACAAAAAAGGGAGGTGTGAGGAGGTCAGGGAAACAAGCAAATGAAAGATAAGTTATGGGAAGGTTCGATTTGTTTTTTTCTTTTTTGTTTTTTCTTTTGTTTTTAATTGTTTCTATCTTTCTGTTTTTTATTGTGATGTGTTGGTTTTGTTATTGTTTAATTTGGTGTTTTTACTTTTGCCTTTTTGTAAACTTAAAACTTTAATAAATACTATTTAAAAAATAAAAAATAAAATAAAGATTTGATTTGATTTGTGAAGAGCCTGCAGGATCAGGCCCAAGGCCAGCTAGCCTAACATCCTGTTCTCACAGTGGCCAACCAAATGTCTATGGAAATCCAAAAAGCAGGACCTGAGCACAACAGCACTCTTCCCACCACAGGGAACATTTCCTCTCTACTCTCACATAACTGAGACAGACAAAGCCCTGATCCAGGGGCACAGAACACGTGCCCAAGGGCCACTGCATGTTCCCCTATACCCACCCATAACCACTAGGCCAGTGATTGCTAACCTGTGGCCTCCCAGATGTCGGTGGACTACAAATCCCATCATCCCTAACCACAGGGCCATACTGGCTGGCAGGAGCTCTAGGCCAGCATCCTCTGGTGGGCCACAGGTTACCCACACCAGGCCAAAAGCCATTCAGTAACAGCCATCGCACCTTCATTGCCTGGTATCTCTCAGAATGCTTGACTCGCTCCACCTCCGCAGACGCGCCGTCTTCCAGTACCTCCTGGTCAGGGGAGACAAAGGCAAAGCTGTCCCCATCCACAGAACTGCTAAAAGATGCACGGAGCTCTGACATTCTGGAAGAGAGCAGGGCTCAGTTGCAGTGCCCAGGCTGGCGTGTGGAAGGTTCCACTCCAGACACTTCCGGTTAAAAGAAGGAGATTGGGATTGGGCAGGAGTTGATGGGAAAGATGGACTGCTTTCTGCTCAAGACATCAGAAGAGACATTATTCAAAGAATAATGAACTACCAGCTGCAACTCAAGGTGAAATATACCAGTATTGTGTCTAGGAAAAAGATTATCCAAAGACCTGTGTCCTGGTAATGGCAAAAACTAGTTGCTGTAGCAGGCTAAACAACGGTGCTTCCTGGAGGTGTACAAGGGCATCAGAACAGACACTATTTCGGCTCCGTCAGGGCTGGGATAACCTTCCCTTCCACTCCGGGAGGTCTGCATTCCTTTAGGGAACAGGGGCGGAGTAGAAGTGGAGAGGTTTTATCAGCCTGAAGGTCACATTTCCTTCTGGGTGCAAAGTCAGCAAGGAAACCTTCTGGTGGCATGTAGAGCGTGGCAGAAGAGAGAAGCCAAGGCTGTGGAGGAAAGAGAGGAAGATTCAGAGAGCGCCATCACCTGGATGATTCTCCTGGAGTGCTCTCCTAGGCAGGGAAGGGAGCGCAGCTCCTGCACTCTTCTGACTGTCCAGGGTAAGGACTTGAGGACAGAGGCAGCCCTGGAGAAGGCCAGGCTGCGGGCTTCGCTGCCACAAAAGTGTGCCTCCTCTGCCATCGTTTGCAGAACTTCCTGTCAAGGGAAAGGCAATTAAGGATCATTCTCAAAGGGCAAAAGCAAGTTCAAACACTCAAAAGAGGATCTGACCATCTCACCAACTGCATATGCAAAGTATCATGCTTCTGAATGCAGCCGCATATTCATCAAGGCAGACTCTCCCCGCATGGGTAAAGCCAGCACATCAGGGAGAAGGACAGAGCAGAAGGGTTTGCCCTGACCTGCTAGCTTTGAACACAGCGATACTCTGACTTAGGGGTGCCATCTTTACCATTCCTGTGCCCCCAACAACAGCCTGACATGCAAAAGGTTTAGCACCTGAACCTTTCCCGACCACTTATTTCTGAACAGAATTGATACCCTCGGCCCAGTATACCTGAAGGGGCATCTCCACTCCCATCATTCAGCATGGACACTGAGGTCCAGCTCCGAGGGTCTTCTGGCTGTTCCCTCATTTCAAGAAGTGGGGTTACAGGGGACCAGGCAGAGGGCCTTCTCGGCAGGGGCACCCACCCCGTGGAATGCCCTCCCATCAGATATCAAGGAGATAAAGAACTACTCAACCTTTAGAAGACATCTGAAGGCAGCCCTGGAAAGGGAAGTTTTTAATGTGTGATGTTCTGTTGTGTTTTTATATTATGTTGGAAGCTGCCCAGAGTGGCTGGGGCAAGCTAGTCAGATGGTCAGGGTACAAATAATAGAATTATTACTATTACTCCCTTTTTAAGACACATGCCACTTCAAGACAAGTTTTTTTAAAAAATACATAAACAAATCAGCAACACACACAATAAGCAGAAGCATTGGAAAAATTTTAAAGGTGATTTAAAAACAGGCAGAGGGGGAGGTAGATGCAAGATTTGCTGTTTGCCTCCGCCCTAGGAAACTCTTCACCTGTTTTGTGGCTGTCAGGCTGCTCGTCAAGGCTGGTAAAGCGGTGGAACCATTATTTCTATCCTGGGGGTGTCCTCAATACCTGAGCTATGCAATTTAGTGAGGTTGCACCATATGGCCTCCTCAGTGTTTGAGCTGGGTAAGCAAGGAAGAAATCCAGAGCTTCTCCCACATTATGATTTGCCATGTTTAGGTTGAGCTGCTTTTCTTCCATCCCTTATTGTTCATCCATTCCAATGGGCTCAAAATGTTTTCCATGTGCCTCTGGTTTCCTGCTTCTGCATTTATCTGCAATAATTTTTGTAAGTATTAAATAATATGCCACGAGTGTGACAGAGACACTCTCTGTCCCTGCAGCCTTGTTCTCCGCTCAATCACTCCAAGGGGATGCCCAAACTATTTCTGTCCCTAGAAACAGATTATTACCGTGAGTGTCTGGTTCCTGTGCGCCAGCAGAGTTCGGCGCTGGCAAGCATAAACTGGCACCTGGCACCTGGCCTCCAGCGTCTCTGCATGGGCAGCCACCTGAAAGACAGAACGTTTAGCTCCCCTGCATTGAAGGGCTCAGAGTCAGTAACTAAAAATAGTTTTTAAACTTTACATCCTCCTTCTGTATAAGTGTCAGTTCCCCAAACGCTTTCTCTTAGTCACACTCTAGTAGTGTCACAACAGAGCACGAGCAAGAAATGGGGGGGGGGGGGGGAGGAAGAGAGAAATTGGGAAACTGTGTTTGCAGAGAGAGAAACAGAGAAATTGCATTAGAGAGGCACCCTCCACCCTGTTTTTCTGGTAAGGAATTACTAATTGCACAAAAAATGACAGTACTCAAGCCACTCCTAGGCCACTTTCATTTAAAGTGCTATAATACTGCCTTAAACAACCATGGCTTCCCCCAAATAATTCTGAGAGCTGTGGTTAAGGGTGCCAAGAGTTGTCACCAGTTTCCCTGGAAAGAGGGATTGATTGTTAAACCACTCTGGGAATGGGGCTGGGCAGACTTTGTCTACCTCCCTGTTTAACTTACAGATCACCCCCCTCCCCCAAAAAAACCACCACACAGCTATTCTAGACAAACGCCGTTAAGAGCAAGTGTTAAAGAATGCAGGGCCTTGCCTGACCTTGTTCCTCTGCGGGACTCACAATGAAATGTTGCAGTAGAGAGAGCTCCTGTTCAGGGTTGCCATCAGCCAGCCCTATCACTATGGGTTTGGGGGATTAGCCTGTCATGACATCGATGGGTCCCTTCCAGACCTGTTCCTTGGCTGGCCTCCTCAGCACCTCAAAGAAGAGATGGGTTGCCATAGTGACAACTGAAGAGGCTTCCAGCAGAGGGGAGGCATTCCCCCCCCCACCTGGCTGGGTGGTCATCCTACAAAGGAGAACAACAGGCCAGGGGGAGTTAGTTTTGGGTGTCTCAGTTTTGGCTGATGCTGGAGACCCAGAGGCAAGGAGGTCTTTGGAGGTCTTTAAGCAGAGGCTTGACAACCATATGTCAGGAGTGCTCTGATGGTGTTTCCTGCTTGGCAGGGGGTTGGACTCGATGGCCCTTGTGGTCTCTTCCAACTCTATGATTCTGTGATTCTATGATTCTAAGCCTGCCTGCCCTGAGCTTGACTCAAAGTTATGACTGGGAGCTCCCCTGGAACCCAAGAGGAAAAAAGCATCATCAGTTGGAGTTTTCATGCTGTGAACCCCTCCATCCTTTGCTCAGGTTGCATATATGTGTAAATAAAGGCACGTAGCCTAAGGACACCACCGTCTCCATCAACCTACATTCATGGAGTTGTAGACTTGGAAGGGACCATGAGGATCATCTAGTCCAACCCCCTACAATGCAGGAATCTTTTGCCCAACGTGGGGCTCGAACCTACAACCCCGGGATTAAGGGTCTCATACTCTACCAAACCCAGGGGAGCGCTGGCACCCATGGAGTGTCTTGCCTCTCAGAGACTGCAGCACACACAACAAAACTCTAGTCTTCACAGGCAGGTTTGATGGGGGCGGGGTTGCTCTCCTAGGTGACTTTTTCCTAAATACCATTTGTACTCCTCTATACTTCGGACCCCCCCACACCCTGCCAGGTATGCTGAGAACCCCACCTCCACTTTCTCAGCAGTCCTGTTGCGACTACACAGTCACTGGAACTCAGCATCTGACTGATAGGAGCAGGGCGGTTTTATTGTTGTGAGGTCCATTGGGGGCCTAGAAAGGCATTTCCGTAAGTAATCAATACAGTGGAACCTCGTTACGCACCGTCCTCCTTACGTACGCTTCGGATTACGAGCTCTGCTAGCCTGGAAGTAGATGCTCCCGGTTGCGAACTTTGCCCCAGGATGCGAGCGGAAGTCGCGCACCAGCAGCGGGAGGAGCCATTAGCAAAAGCGCTCCTCATGTTAAAAGCAGTTTTGGGTTACAAACAGACCTCCGGAATGAATTAAGTCTGCAACCGGAGGTACCACTGTAAAGCTTACAATGGCAATCCTGGTGTACCTGCATCTGGCTGGAACCCAGGACAAGGCTCTGCAAGGTTCCTTCCTCACCTGGAGACGGTGCCTGGGCTCAATCTCCGCAGGCCGCCCCGCACTCATGCTCTCTGTGAACCAGCTGGTGTTCAGCAGCGCTGGGCAGCCACCCAAGACATCGATGCCGCGGCTCCCGTTCTTCAGCAGCCACTCAACCACCTCATCTCCAGAGTTGCCCTCTGACACCACGTGGGTAACTCTGTCACTGGAAAGCACCACATGGAGGGGGGGAGGAAGGGGGAAAGAAGACTCTGAGCAACATTGTTGTGCAAACCCAACCCAGTCAATCCAGCCCAGCAAGCAGAGGGCCCCTCCAGACTGCAGCGGCGTAGCTAGCCACTCGGGTGCCGGGTGCGTCGCAGGTGTCCTGAAGCTGGGCGCGGGGCATGGGGGCGGGGCAAGACACCCATGGGGGTGGGGCAAGCTGCGTGGAACCTCTCCGCTGCCTTCCCCCTCAGCTGTAGGGAGGCAAGTGCTGGCCCTGGCAATGTGGTGCCCAGTGCCAGATGCATTTTGTTACGTTTGTTGACTGAACTAAAAAGTTTTGTGAGCTCATTTTTTAAAAAAAACATATTATTATCATTTTGTCACCCCCTTCAATGATGTCACCCGGGGCAGTCCGCACCTCTTCCTCCACCACTGCCGGACTGTAGGCTTTGGGGGGGGCAGGGGTGTCCTGCAACATGTCACTGTCCTAGAAGGGCCATTCACACATCACTCCACTTTATCAGGTGTTTGGCCTCTTCATGCTACCACGTTATTGCTCTTTGGAGCGCTACTCTTGCACCATAGCAGAACAAAATGTGCCCAGGAAATTTGTGGCCTGAAAATCCAGGATGGGCTGTCCCCTTTTACCTCTTCCTTCTTCAGAGGGAGAGCCTGGCCCACCTCCTTTGTTACCTGTTGGCATCCTCCACGCAGAAACCCCTTTGGCGGGCCAGAGTGGTAAGGAAAGCCTTGCGCGTGGCTCCCATCCTTTTCTCCACCAGGCACAGCACCACTTTGGGGAAGCGCACAGGATGCGCCAGGGGAGCTGGCGGGCCGGGCAGGCGCAAGCGCTGCTGCTGCTTCTTCTTCTTCACTGGAAACTGCGACATCATTGGCTTAGCGAAGGAAGGCCCTTCCCCAAAAGAAAGAAAGCAGTCAAGATCGAGAGACGGGGCAGAGAGGGCGGGGGCCTTCCCTGCACCATTTGCAGTGCCTGCTAGAATCATTCTTGTTTAAGCAAGCCTATCCAGACGCTAAGAAAGCTGAGGTAATTTTAATCTGCTTTAGTATTTCATCTTTTGTATGTTTTATTTTTCTTTTTAGATTTTTTAAATTAAATTCGTATTCTGCCCATTTGAAGATCTCAGGGAGGTTCACGGATTGTTTTAAAGTAGGGTTGTGATTTTTTCTGGATTTTACTGTTTTTTCTTTTGTAAACAGCTCTGAGGTTTTTATGAACAGGCGGTGTATAAATTTTATGAAATAAGATATAATAGATATTGAATAAATAAACTGCAGGGAGAGGAATTATTTTGACAGGCCAACCTTCTATCAACAAAATAGTAGTTAAAAATGGAATCCCTGCCACATAGTATTTAATCTAACGGTTATGTCAAAAGAAGCCCCTCACCTGCCTGCACAATATTTAATCCCAGCTGTCCAGCAAGAGGACAAGAGAAATCCTAATTTTCCTGCTGGTGCAAGTTTGCAAAATGGATATGCTCAGGATGACAGCTTTCCTATCCATGAAAAGCAGGGAAAATTGTACAAAAGGGCAGAGCAGTAGGCTGCAATCCTAGACACTCTTTCCTACAAGTAAGACCTATCAGACTCAATGGGGGTTTACTTCTGAGTAGACAGGTATAGCGTTGCTCTTTTGGGCTGCCTGTCAGAAGAGACAACTCTGGATGAGGGAGACGAATAGCGTCACATCGCATGATGCCATTTCCTACGTTCCCAGTGAATAATAAGATTCATATATGCCAGGCATATATTGCTTTTTACCTGCCTTTCTCTTGCATCTTGAATAGTAGTCTTAGCTAAAACTTTTTATCTCTTAGAATGTTGCTGGAGATAGTTAAGCAGAGGACGCTTTTCCTTGCAACTGAAACCCGAGTCTCAGGCTGCTACTAAGAGATGAAGAGCAGAGGCAGTAAGGAAAACACAGCAATGTCCTATCCAAGACTGAGCAAAGGAATTGAGAATGATTCTGCAGCAGAGTTCTGCCCATCCTAACACTCCTCATGCAGAGTCTGTCTCTGGCTGGAACATGTTCCTGAATGCCCAGGGCAACAGGCCTGTGCTTGGCTGGGATGGAGAAGGGTGTGTCAGTGAGGAGGCTGGTCTTTCTGTACAAAGGGAAATTCCCAGGATTCGTTGCTCCACCCACTATTATGGTCCCGCCCACCACTGGCCCCGGCCCAGAAGTTGGCTAGCAGGGAATGTGGCCCTGGGCCCTCGAGGAAGCCAGGATGGGCATGGGGGCCAGTGGGCAGTTCCTGGAAAGACCTCGTGGAGGGAGGAGGGCAAGGAGAACCCCCGCTCAGCTGGAGAAGCCTCTATTATTGCATTCACTCGCTTTTAGTTATTTCATAAAGTTTAGATACTGCTTGAATGTATTTTGAAAAAACTCAAAGTGGCTTACAAAAAGAATAAAACCATCAGTCAAAACAGGCACAGGATGCAGTAACACTGAAAAACAATTTAAGATCAATAAAAAGCTAAAAACAGATTAAAATAATATCAACATTCTACATATCTGGGAGGCTTGTCGGAAAAAGTACAGCAAAGGCTCCTGCCCAACGTCACCCTGTTCCAGACGGTGGGTGCTGCTGCCCCTCTAAAAGATGCGCGGATCCAGCGAGCGAACGCGTCCCCACGAGCCTCCAGTGCGTGCTTCTCCCCCCTCCCGGTTCATCCGCGCAAGGGGAGCTCGGCGGGCCAAGGGGGGCAGCGGGAGTCCCGGGTCCCGCCGCCTGGCCAGAGGCAGCCCAGGGGGACTCACCGCGGAACCAGGCGCAGATCCGGAGGCAGCGCGGGCGCAGCGCGGCTTCCCGGCTCCTGCGCGCCCGCGTATCCTCCCCTGGCCCCGCCCCCTTCCGGCAAAGCTCCCGCGGCCCCGCCCCTCCCGCTGAAAGGGGAACCGAAAGGGGCGCGCCGGGCGGAAGAGACGCCGCGCAGCCTTCTCATGGGGGGGCCCCTGGGCGCCCTGCTGGCCGCCTGGCTTCTCCTGGCCGCGGGGAGCGGGGGCGCCAAGGACAACATCCTGCTCGTCCTGACCGATGACCAGGACCGAGAGATGGGCGGCATGGTAAGGGCCGGGCGGGGTCCGCCTCTCCGCGTTCCTCCCAAGCACAGCAGTGGCAGGGGGGACCCGAAATGCACGCGCGGCTCCGGGCTGCTCAGCTGGGGGGGGGCGGCCTAGCGGAGTGCGTGGAGGGCAAGGCGGCTTCAGTGGATCAGGGGGCCTGGCTGTTAACCAGAAGGGTGCTGGTTCGAGGCCACCCAGGGACAGTTGAGGGCAGGAGTCCCGCATTGCGGGGGGGGGGTGGACTAGATGACCCTCGGGTCCCTTCCAGCTCCATGATTCTCCGAGGCCTCAAAGCACACCTGAGCCACAAACCGGTATACATTAAAGGAATGTATATACCCGATAGTATAAAGGCTTTCTAGTCTAAAGGTAGGTAGGTAGGTAGGTGGGGTTTTTTACTGTTCTGCTGTGAAGGGATCAATTGCCAAAGTCTAAGCCAGCCAGGGCTATTTGGCTGCAAACCCATATATAGAACAGGCCCCATTTATTTCAGGGGGGCTTTGTTGCATCCAGGTGTACATTGGACTGCCATCCCTGTGCATGCTTTACTTCGAAGTAAGTTCCTCTGAGCTGAGTTTAAGCCCAAGTGACAGCACAGGATTTCCACACAGCCTTCCTTCTTGTTGGTCTGTAAGGACAAAAGGGTCCTGATCCAAGGGTCCTGTTTGCTGAGAGGGACAGACATGTGCAGCAGCCCTTCCAGCTTCTTTCCTTGTGTCAGCAACCCTCAGTGGTACTTCCTGGTGAAGAAGCAGGGAATTGTGGGACTTGGGCACTGGGGTTCCAAACATGATACCTGAGGCTGTGGCAGCCCTTTTGGGACCAGTTCTGATAAGCATGGCACACGGCGATGTTCACTTGTTCTACACTTCAGTCCCAGCCCTTTGCTACCTGAAGGAAGGAGCAAGATGGCACCCCTCATATGGCTCCACATATGGGCATCAAGAGGACGGGGGTGAAGTCAGACCGCTGGAGAGCGGCAGCTGCTGCTGGGGCTGCAGGGACTGCTGTGGGAGGGACATGTCCTGTTGCATCTGGGGCAGATGCGGGCGCCCGGTTGTGCTGGGGCAGATGCACCATGATGTCTCGTTCCTCCTCTGGTCACTGCGGTGGGTGGATGTTCAGTCTCTGATATCTCCAGGCAGGCGCTTTGTGTGAGAACCGGGAAGACCACTGCTCTGCGTCAAGATAAGGCCCTTACTTTGTTAACTGACTCCAGAAACTGTGCCTTGCTGGTCCTGGCCTTGGAGAGCACCATTATCCTGTCTGGTGACATGCAGGAAGCCAGTCATGTGACAAAGTCCCACGTGAATGCCGGTGGTTCTCTATGCTTCCAGATCATGTTTGGTTGCTGGAATGAGAGCAGGGTTCAGTTTGCCTTGTCTTCAAGTAGTGTGGAGTCTGAGCAAGTGAAAATCTGAAACCACCACACATTGTAACATTTACCTGGAACTGAAGTGTAGAACAAGTGACCATCGCCGTGTGCCATGCTTATCAGAACTGGTCCCAAAAGGGCTGCCACAGCCTCAGGTATCATTTCTCTGTGGAGGTTCCCTAGCCAGAATTGTTGCTTCCCATCGTACATTCTGGCTTCTTCTCCCACATGCATCTTCGAGATGCAGAAACAAGCCCACGCAACATGCTGCCCACTTGATGGCACCCTCATGTGCAGAATGGGGGTTGGACCCATAAAAGCTGAGCTTCCTTCCAGAGGTTGCGCTTTCTGACACCCCGTTCGGTACTTCAGTTTATAGTTCTCCTTAAAATGAATTACACAAATGGTGTAACAAATGTAATTAATATGTCTGATGGCTTTTGTGTGTGACAAATATTTCCATGGATTTAGAGCAGGAAATTAAGTATCCATCTTGCAAACCTCAGGTTACCACTAACTTCTTGAACAGTTTCCCTTCATGTTTGAAAGAAATTAAATAATTCTGGGCAGCTGTAGCAGGCAGGTAGCATCCCCACAGCAACGCTGAGGCCAGTCCCCTCGGAAAGCTTGAACACGGATACAATGACAGGTGCTGTGATAACACCTGTGTAGCTAACATAACATGTTGCTTAGCCTTGAGAAATGGTTCACAAAGGAGACCTGTGGGGTCTGGGGCTGATGGGAGTTGTAGTCCAACAACATCTGGAGGGCGCCAGGTTGGTGAAGGCTGATGTAAGGGAAGGCACGTTTATGACATATCTCCATCTGGCTCATTTTCTTTCACTCGCTCTTACTCTCTTCTCGTAAAATAAAAAATGTTAAAAGTGGCGGAGGTCTTGACCTCTTGGTTCAAGACCTGTATTTTCGGCTACCATTATGCTACAATGGACAAAGCATGCCATTTTGCCTTTATTGATGAGGTGCAAAGGTATTTTAGGGAGTGGATGTGTGTATTGAGCCAGACTCAAAGGGTTGCTTTGAAGATTAAATTGCAGAAAAAGAAAATTACCCCCAAACACTCATATGAACATTTTGTGGCAGGTGTTCCTGAAAATGATTGTAGGCTGCAGAATGTGGAAAGGAGAAGGCCATTCTGCCCTCATCCCAACCATCTTCTGTATCAGGGTTTCGGGGAACCTGTAGCCTTTTGTTTGATTCCAACTCCTGTCCCTTGCAGCCAGCATGACCAGCGGCAGCGATGAGGAACATGAGAGTTTGTTGGTTAGGTGATCAGCTGTGTGTTCGCAGGCTTATTTTCAGGCCTGTGGCCCAGATGTGACTGTTTTGTTCTATCTTTCAGACCCCCATGAAGAAGACAACATCCCTGATCGGTCAGTTAGGTGCCACTTTTGCCAATGCAGTAAGTATCTGGACAATGCCACTGAGAATTGCTCTGGGAAGTTTAAACTGATTGTAATCCTAGATGCATTGGGAATAGGAAACAGCCCTGAAGCAGAGAGGGAGTGGTTTCCTCTTTCTCCCCTCTCCATTCTGTTTTTTATTATATATAAACTGCTAGCTTGTGTCCACTTCAGGTTTTTTCCTAAGCTAAAACACCCCAGCTGCTAGACTGGGAACTGGGAACAGCTGCTGGAACCGCATAACACCAGTCCAGAAAGATTGACTCCCAGTACATTTCTGAGCACAATTCAAAGTGCTGGTGCTGACCTTTAAATGGCCTTGGCCCTGTAGACCTGAAGGCATGCCACATGGGTGGGGCACGATAAATAAATTATTAATATTAATATTAAGCCTTTCTTGGTAGAGAGCGGCTGCAAACGACCCCTGCCTGGATGCTGGTGGCGCCCCTGCTGAGTTTGGGGAGATGCTTGGGACAGTACCCAGATTGGGGAGGGAGGGATGCTAATTTGTAGGGCAGAGGCTGACCTCCTGAATGGACATGTCGCCCTCCAGTTTGCAGTCACTCCTCTGTGCTGTCCGAGCCGCAGCAGCATCCTGACCGGCAGATACCCTCACAACCACCTGGTGAGGAACAATTCCTTGGAGGGCAACTGCAGCAGCCCAGCCTGGCAGAAGTTTCAGGAGCCATTCACCTTCCCGGTTTACCTACAGAGGCAGGGCTACCAGACCTTCTATGCTGGCAAATATCTCAACCAGGTAAAGTCCTCTGCAGACAAATGCCACCGATGCCCAAATATTATACGCAGATGATGGGCGTTCTGTGGGCATCCGCATCACCTCTCCTTGCCTTTAAAAGCCGTGTGCATGCCTGTTGCGTCTGACTTGGCGACTCTCCTCTATTACAGTATGGGGACCCCAAAGCAGGAGGCATTCAATATATGCCACCAGGCTGGAGCTACTGGTTAGGTCTGGTGAGTAGGTGCCCTTCTCTCTCTCTCTCTCTCTCTCTCTCCTAAGTTCACAGCAGGCAAGGTGACCCAGTGAGATCCATGGGGCAGAGTGCTGGACTTTGATGTGCAGCATGCAGATTCACACCTGTGCTCAGAACTGAAGTTTGCCAGGTGGCCTTTGCTCAGAGACAATAAGCTGCTGAATCTACATTCTTGTAGATCTTAGAGGTATCTCATACAACCATAGAGTTGGAAGGGACCCTGAGGATCATCTAGTCCAGGGGTCAGCAAACTTTTTCAGGAGGAGGCTGGTCCACTATCCCTCAGACCTTGTAGGGGGCCAGACTATATTTGAAGGGGGAAAAAAGAACGAATTCCTTTTCCCCACAAATAACCCAGAGATGCATTTTAATTAAAAGGACACAGTCTACTCATGTAAAAACACGCTGATTCCCAGACCATCTGCGGGCCAGATTTAGAAGGCGATTGGGCTGGATCCGGCCCCCAGGTCTTAGTTTGCCAGCCATGATCTAGTCCAACCTTCAATGCAGGAATACGCAGCTCTCTCTCCCTTACGGGGATCAAACCTGTAACCTTGGCGTTGTCAGCACCACGCTCAAACCAACAGAGCTATCCAGCCATTCTCTCAGAGTTCTTGCAGCAGAGCAGTGGCCTTGCATGCAAAAGGTCCCTGGGTTCAATCCTTGGTGCCTCCAGGTAGGATTGGCAGAGAACCCTGCCTGAAATCCTTGAGATTTGCTGGAGACCAAGGTTTCATGTCGTTGGTCAGGACACACCAGGGGAGCCTCATTCCCACAGCCCTGCCCCCTAGCCAGGCCATAGCCTTTTGGGTGGACCAATGCCAGCACATCGGTGCGTGGTGAGTAAAAGTGACCAGGAGAAAGGGAAGGTCAAGGTGGCGGAGGGGGGAAAGAGGTCCCCCTCCTCTGAGGGGAATGGGAGTGGGAGGGAAAGGAGTAATATTTATTAATAACAAATAAACTGGGGTTCTTCCTGTGTTCCTAGTGAATAGGAGAAAGAAGAAGCAGACAAAGCTAGATTAGTATTGCAATACTGTGAGACTATGGGAACAGAGTGAGCAGCTATAAAAATGCAGATTTGGAAGTTAGGATCATCAGTAGCTCCTCAGACAATTGCTGTGTCTCCCACGGTGATGACAGTTCTCCAGGGTGTCTCAGGCAGAGAGGCCTTCTCCATCATCTGCTGCATTGTCTTTTAACTGGAGATGCCAGGGGTGAAGCAGGGACTGTCAGCCTGCAAAACATGGGCTCTGCCGTCCTTTGTTTGGAGGGGGGTTTCCTTTGGGTTTTTCCCCCTAGGCACCAAAATATCCTAGGCTGGCTTCCATCTGTAATACTGTTCCTCCTTATTGTGGGGTGGCCCAGTGCCAAGATCCTGGTGTTCAGAACAGTTTCCAGAGCTGACTCTTTGGTGACTCAATTCATCATCACTTTGTGCCTCTTTCCATAGGTGGGGAATTCCAAGTACTATAACTACACTCTTTCAGCCAATGGACATGAGGAGAAGCACGGGGAGCACTATGAAGAAGACTATCTCACGGACATCATTGTGAGTTGTCCCTCCATGTCACCTTCGTTTCTGGCTTCCCAGATCCCCCTGCGATCAAGAAGCTAGACCACTGGAAGGGCAGCCCAATTCGACAGTCAGAATGCTTTTTTTCGGTGTCATCAATTAGTCTAAAAAACAGTCGTATTGCATTGGCTCACTTATGTCTGTCAAGGAAAGAACTAAAGTGAGAAAGAGAACATTGAAGCTGGAAGACGGCCTGCCAAGTCTCTGACGTTCATCTCTTTCCTCCAGAAACTCTCCCTTCGTGGAAAGGATCTGTAGTCCTCCCTGCCTGCCTCTTTTTCTCCCACTTCTCCACTCTTGGCTTTCAGGAGAAGAGCTTTTCCAAGCAAACAAGAGGCCTCCACCTCTGCCTCTGCTTCTCTGTTGCAGCAGCCAGACACCCAAGTCAGTGACTCAGTTGATGTCTGTAATAGGTGGGGCACTGAGGCCTAGAGCAGCGGTGGGCAGCCTCAGGCTGCGGGGGCCAAAGGCACCCTTCTAGGCCTCTCTGGCCCAGCCTTCCTTCACATCCTCCTTGGGTGTTTTTGCCTAGCTAGAGCGGGTGCTTAAATCATGACTCTCATTTGCCTGGATGGTGGGTGGAGAGGGGTTTGTGTAGAAACTAGCTGGCAGATAAAATTTACAGTGGTACCTTGGGTTACAGACTCTTCAGGTTACAGACTCTGCTAACCCAGAAATAGTACCTCGGGTTAAGAACTTTGCTTCAGGATGAGAACAGAAATCGCACAGTAGCGGTGCAGTGGTAGCGGGAGGCCCCATGAGCTAAAGTGGTGTCTCAGGTTAAGAACAGTTTCAGGTTAAGAACAGACCTCTGGAACGAATTAAGTACTTAACCCGAGGTACCGCTGTATATTCATTGCCCCCCACTTTTTGCCTCTGGCCCTGCCCCCCACAGGCATGTGGTTCCCCAAAAGATTGCCCAGGGAGGGAGGAAGGCATCTCTTGGAAAGCGTTTCCCCAGCCCTGATTCAGTGAGGTGGGTGGAGTGTTTTCATGTGCACTTTTGCAGGACAAGCAAAACAGTTTCCCTGCTGTTGGTTGCAAGTCAGGAAAACGCACATGTCTACCAGCACCTGGAAACGAAGCACGATAGAGAGAGAAAGATTGTATATGACTGCATGATAAGCTGGCACTTTAGAATCCCATGAATCATAGAATCATAGAGTTGGAAGAGACCACAAGGGCCATCGAGTCCAACCCCCTGCCAAGCAGGAAACACCATCAGAGCACTCCTGACATATGGTTGTCAAGCCTCTGCTTAAAGACCTCCAAAGAAGGAGACTCCACCACACTCCTTGGCAGCAAATTCCACTGTCAAACAGCTCTTACTGTCAGGAAGTTCTTCCTAATGTTTAGGTGGAATCTTCTTTCTTGTAGTTTGGATCCATTGCTCCGTGTCCGCTTCTCTGGAGCAGCAGAAAACAACCTTTCTCCCTCCTCTATGTGACATCCTTTTATATAGTTGAACATGGCTATCATATCACCCCTTAACCTCCTCTTCTCCAGGCTAAACATGCCCAGCTCCCTTAGCCGTTCCTCATAAGGCATCGTTTCCAGGCCTTTGACCATTTTGGTTGCCCTCCTCTGGACACGTTCCAGTTTGTCAGTGTCCTTCTTGAACTGTGGTGCCCAGAACTGGACACAGTACTCCAGGTGAGGTCTGAGCAGAGCAGAATACAGTGGCACTATTACTTCCCTTGATCTAGATGCTATACGCCTATTGATGCAGCCCAGAATTGCATTGGCTTTTTAGCTGCCGCGTCACACTGTTGGCTCATGTCAAGTTTGTGGTCAACCAAGACTCCTAGATCCTTTTCACATGTACTGCTCTCAAGCCAGGTGTCACCCATCTTGTATTTGTGCCTCTCATTTTTTTGCCCAAGTGCAATACTTTACATTTCTCCCTGTTAAAATTCATCTTGTTTGTTTTGGCCCAGTTCTCTAATCTGGCAAGGTCGTTTTGAAGTGTGATCCTGTCCTCTGGGGTGTTAGCCACCCCTCCCAGTTTGGTGTCATCTGCAAATTTGATCAGGATGCCCTTGAGTCCATCATCCAAGTCGTTGATAAAGATGTTGAATAAGACCAGGCCCAAGACAAAACCCTGTGGCACCCCACTAGTCACTCTTCTCCAGGATGAAGAGGAACCATTGATGAGCACCCTTTGGGTTCGGTCAGTCAGCCAGTTACAAATCCACTGAGTGGTAGCATAGTCAAGACCGCATTTTACCAGCTTCTTTACAAGAATATCATGGGGCACCTTGTCAAATGCCTTGCTGAAATCAAGGTAGGCTACATCCACTGTGTTCCCTTCATCTACCAGGCTTGTAATTCTGTCAAAAACGAGATCAGGTTAGTCTGACATGACTTATTCTTCAGAAATCCATGCTGACTATTGGTGATCACAGCATTCCTTTCTAGGTGCTCACAGACTGTTTGCTTAATGATCTGCTCCAGAATCTTCCCTGGTATTGATGTCAGACTGACTGGGCAGTAATTATTTGGGTCCTCTCTTTTCCCCTTTTTGAAAATAGGGACAACATTTGCCCTCCTCCAGTCTGCCGGGACTTCGCCTGTTCTCCAGGAATTCTCAAAGATGACTGCCAGTGGTTCTGAGATCACATCTGCCAGTTCTTTTAATACTCTTGGATGCAGTTCCTCTGGCCCTGGAGACTTGAATACATCTAAACTAGCCAAGTATTCTTGTACTATCTCCTTAGTTATTCTGGGCTGTGTTTCCTCTGCTGAATCATTTGCTCCAAATTCTTCAGGTCGGGCGTTGTTTTCTTTATCGGAGAAGACTGAGGCAAAGAAGGCATTGAGGAGTTCAGCCCTTTCTGTGTCCCCTGTTTGCATTTCACCTCTCACCTTCTTCTCCTCTGAGTGACCCCACTGTTTCTTTGTTCTTCCTTTTGCTACGAACATACCCATAAAAGCCTTTTTTGTTGCTTTTAACCTCTCTAGCAAGCCTGAGTTCATTCTGTGCTTTAGCTTTTCTGACTTTGTGTCTACACGTGCTGGCTATTTGTTTGAATTCCTCTTTGGTGGTTTCCCCCCTTTTCCATTTTTTGTACACATCCTTTTTTAATCTTAACTCAGTTTAAAGTTCTTTAGATAGCCACCCTCGCTTCTTTAGGCAGTTGTGCTTTTACTATCTCCCTCTTAACAAACTCCCAGCCATCATGAACTCCTTTTCCTTTTAGTATTACTGTCCATGGGATCTCACCTAGCACTTCCCTAAGTTTTATGAAGTCGGCTTTCTTAAAGTCAAGAAATTGAGTCCTAGTATGCTTGGCTGCTCCTTTCCGCTGTATAGTAAACTTCAGAAGAGCATGATCACTCACGCCTAATGATCCTTCCACTTCTACCCCACTAATCAGGTCATCAACATTGGTTAGGACCAGATCTAAAATGGCTGTTCCTCTTGTTGCTTCTCCCACTTTCTGGACAATGAAGTTGTCTGCAAGGCCAGTGAGGAATCTGTTTGACCTTATGCTCTTGGCTGAGTTTGACATCCTACAAATATCCAGGTAATTGAAGTCCCCCATTACTACTATCTCCCTTCCTTTTGCATGCTTGGCCATCTGTTCCAGGAAGGCATCATCTATGTCCTCCGTTTGGCTTGGGGATCTATAGTAAACTCCCACAATGAGGTCACTGTTATTCTTCTCTCCCTTAATTTTGACCCAAATGCTCTCACTTTGGCTTTGAGGTTCTAAATCTTGGATCTCTTCACAGGTATACACATCCCTGACATATAACGCCACTCCTCCTCCTTTCTTGTCTGGTCTGTTTCTCTGAAATAGATTGTATCCCTCCATTATTACATTCCAATCATGGGACTTATCCCACCAGGTTTCAGTGATGCCTATTATGTCATATTTAGTTTGCTGTACCAAGAGCTCAAGCTCATCTTGTTTATTTCCCATGCTTTGCGCATTAGTGTACAGACATTGAAGTCCATTAATCATTCCCCGGTGTCTCTTATTTAAGGATTTTTTCCTCCCACCACTAGGTCTGCGTGCTGTTTGCTCCATTTGGTCTATGACATTTGGATGATCATCTTCATCAATTGATAGACTCCTACCTTCAGGAGCACTGTCTCCCTCCCCCACATTAGTCAGTTTAAAGCCCTCCTGATGAGGTTTCTGAGATTTTTGGCAAAAACATTCCTCCCAACCGTTGTGAGGTGCAGCCCATCGCTTGCCAGAAGTCCATCTTCAAGAAACTGCAGTCCGTGATCTAAGAATCCAAACCGTTCCTGTTTACACCATTTGCGAAGCCAGCTGTTCACTTCCACTATTTTCTCTCTCTCCCTGGGCCACGTCGTTCAACTGGGAGGACAGATGAGATGACAATTTGTGCATTTAATTGCTTCAACTTCCTGCCCAGAGCCTCGTAGTCTCTTTTGATCTTCTGGAGGCTATTGCTTGCAGTGTCATTGGTTCCCACATGAACCAAAAGGAGGGGGTATTTGTCAGTGGGTTTTATGATTCCTTGCAGTCGTTCAGTTACATCTTGGATCTTAGCCCCGGAGAGACAGCACACTTCCCGAGACATCTTGTCAGACCCACAGATCACTGCTTCTGTTCCCCTCAGTAGGGAATCCCCTATCACCACTACACGCCTCCTCTTAGGTTTGGTCGGGGTTCTTCCGTGAGCTGTCCGTTCCAAGGTCGCCTGCACATTCCCTGAGGACTGACTTTGCTGCTCGTCTTCATATACCTGATCGACTGTAATGAGGAGAGATCCTCAAATGGAGTCTGCTCTTCGTCTTCCATGCTAGGGAGAGGACCTCAAAGCGATTGTGTATTTCTAAACAATCAGAGCGAACCCTGGGCCTCCTACTTCTTTGAGTCACGTTTCTCCATATATCTGGCTCCTGTGTTGGTGAACTAGCCTCCTTCTCAGGGGAGTCCCCTGTCTCCTCCTTGGTGGAGACGGTGTGCTCTGTTGCTTCCAAGAAGAGCTCCAGCTCTCTAATTCTTTGGAGCGTAGCTACACGTTCCTCCAGTTGCTGTTCACTCCCTCAAAATCCTTAGGACAGGGTGGATCTTGTTGGCCATGGACTGTGCTGGCTGAGCTGATGGCAGCTGGAGTCCGCACAACATCTGGAGGGCCACAGTTTCCACATCCGTGAAAATGGGACTTCAGAGAAAAGACATGGGAAATATGCTATCTATTTCTCTTTCAAAACCCTTAACCTGTGGAGCAAGGTACAGTCGTACTTGGAAATCAAACAGAATCTGTTCTGGAAGTTTGTTCGACTTCCTAAACGTTTGGGAAGCAAAGCACAGTGTCTGATTGGCTGCAGGATGTTCGGCTTCCAAAAATAGTTCACAAACCGGAACACTCACTTCCGGGTGCCAAAATGTTCAAGAACTAAGCTGTTTGAAAACCAAGGTACAGCTGTATTTTACCCCTTCCATGCCTCCCTAGGATTCCCTCCCATGGCACCATGGCTTGAGCCATTCGTCTCTTTCTCTCCTTCCCTGCTGCAGACCAACCGGAGCCTCCAATTCCTGGAGAAGCTTTCCCACCCTCCTTTTCTCATGGTTCTGGCTCCACCTGCTGCACACTCCCCCTGGACAGCAGCCCCCCACTACAAGTCAGCATACAGCAGCATCAAAGCGCCACGCAATGGAAGCTTCAACGTCCACGGAAAGGTGAGTTCACAGGCCTGATGTGGGCAGCGGGCTTGAAGGGCTCATGGGCAGCTCCATAGGCTTCTCTCTCTCTCTGCTCCTCTCAGGGCAAGATGCTTCTCAGGTAGCCCTCTGGTGGCAGCTGGGAACAGGGAGGTCACTTCAACAGGAACACCAGGATCTAATGGTGGGCATCTTGCCAGGCTCTTCTGCCTTGGAAGATGCCTTCTTAAGTGGCAAGTTGCTGCCACTGCTGGAGTCATAATCAGTACACAGCAGAGGACAAGTGAGGAAGCAGGAGCTTTCATTCCGTGGTCCCAGAGAACTGCAAGGACAATAATAATCAAAGAATTGTGGCACTTATGTGTGTTTCTTACTGTATTTTGTTTTTTAAAAAGTAAATCAGAATTTTAAAATGGCAAGTGTTAAATACATGGGGGAGGGGGAAGAGCACAAGGGTGATGGTGTCATCAGGTGAGGGTCCGAGTCTTTTCTCCAAATATTTGCCATCTGGATTCTGTTGATAAAGTCTCCATAATCTTCTTCCCTTTATAGGACAAGCACTGGTTGATAAGGCAAGCAAAGACTCCCATGTCAAACACATCCATTGAGTTCCTGGACAACGTCTACAGGGAACGGTAAGAAAGGGTCCAGAACGCCACTCGTAGGAGCTGGGGGAAACCACTTTTCTGTAGAAGCTTGAAAGGAGTGAGGCCATGGGGGGAAGACATTTGTGGGGGCTTTTATCCAAAGTCACTGGGAGACCCTGATGGAGACAGACGTTTGAGAGGCAGTGAGACTCAGGTGTTGTGCATCTTCCCTCAACCTGACATCCTTCAGATGCTTTGGACTACAACTCCCACCAGCCATTGCTGGTGTAGATGTGATGTGAGATGTGATGTATAGTGAAGCTGTGAAGTGAGAAGTACCTGGTCAAAGAGTAATGGGCACAATTCCACGTTGCCTAACTGTAGTACTGAGTCTTCAGGAATGGGAAATGTGTGGGCCTCTGGATGTTGCTGGACTCCATCTGGCAGGCAGGAGGCCCCTGAAGCACACCCCACATCTCCAGGACCCATTGAACTAGAGCCAAAGCCCTCCCAGGCCCCCTTCCCCTGGGTCTGATCAACTGAGTGCCTCCCAAACCGGTGCAGGGAGTGCACTAAGCGGGAGGCATGGAGCCCAGGAGAAGGGTCCTCCTTCAGACAGGGTTGGCCCTTTAAGACCTGCCCACTTGGACCTCCTTTCTGGGCATCTTCATGGAACCAGAACAGGACAGTCCCTTTCAGGACCCTGGCTGCAAGCTTTCCAGATGCATCTGCCTAGCTGCTGTTGGAAAGTGAACATTGGACTATGGACCCTGACCCAGCAGGACTCTTTGAAGATTGCCTGTTTGTGCAGGGTCAACAGTAGAGGCACAGACTCTTCCCTCATACACTGAGTGGCTTCCCTGCTGCTTCAATAATGCAGTTTATTGCGATAGCTTGATCTGTTGCACCAAAATGCATTTGAACTACAACTCCCATCTTCCTGTTTCTGACTGAGACTGATGGAAGTCGTAGTCTACAACATCTGGAGGGTACCACATTGCTACCTCTGCAATATATAGTATGTTCTCATATTCTTGCAGGTGGCAGACTCTGTTGTCTGTGGATGACATGGTGGAGAAGATTTTTGAAAAATTGAAGACCCTTCACCTGTTGGACAGCACATACGTGTTCTATACTTCAGATCATGGTTACCACACAGGTGAGTTGAGGCCTGCTTTTGCCACAGAACCTTTGGGGGGGGACTTGTGGGGTGGTGGGGGAATAGCTCCAATGTCTCTTTCAGTGGCAAACTGGTGGAATGTGTAGGGATGAATCAGGCCAACAGGATGGGTGATGTCCGTGGAGCTGCCCTTGAAGACAACTTGGGAACTTTCCTTGGTCCAAAATGCAGTGGCCAGATTGCTGACTGGAGTTGCTTTTAGAACTCATGTAACCCCTGTTTCTAAAACATTGGCTGGCGGTTTGTTTGTGGGCCAAATTCAAGGTGCTCACATTAATGGTTAAAGCCCTAAACTTTGACTCCGGGTATCTGAAAAGACAGCCTCCTTCCTTGAAGAACATCTGGAATACTAAGATCAGCAGGGGGTGGCGCCCTCTTGGCCATTCCACCACCCTCAGCAGCTGGGCGAGGGAGGCCTGGGAGAGAGCGTTCCCAGGCAGCCCTAAGGCTCTGTGCATCCTCCTCCTCCTCCTCCTCACAGAGCTGGGCCTGGCAACTTAGCTACGGTCTTTGGAAAATGCCGAAAGCGAACCTCTTTACCTTGCCCTCGGAGAAGGACCCACCCTAATTTTGTGATTGTCAGCTGTTTTAAGCTTCTTACAATGTATTTGAGATTATGTACCTCTCCCTAGGGTCTAAAATAATGATGTTGTGAGCTGCTGCTTCAACCAGTCCCAGTCCATGTGGCCAAGGGTCAGGAATCATGGGAGTTGTAGTCCAGCAGCATCTGCTTTCCGCCTCTTGTGTAGGTCTCTAACCAGAACCCCTTTTGTGCTGGGGGTGGAAGCCAAGGGGCTGTTGTCCGTGAGAAATGGCAAAAAACTAAGACTGAGGTCTAGTTTCTCACCACCGGCTATGCACTTAACTCTCTGGCTGACATCCAATGATTTATTTTTTTAAAAAAGTAGTCAATTCCCCACCCCCACCCTGTGGTTTACATTAAAAATTATGCCACATGATCCTAGTGAGGTTAACTGCTTGCATTCTAACATTCAAGTACATTGATATTCACACCTTTTTCTTCATATCTCTGTAAATGTTTAGTGGCTTACTTAGAAAATTAAACTGTAAATGCAGGGAAGGGTGATTTCATGAGGGGGCCCTCAAAGGCCCTGAGGGGGCCAGAGCCCTGATGGCAGCAAGAATGGACCCTTGACCTCTGGGGCTGAATGAGCAGTCAGAGGGGAGCGTGTTGCATTCCCAATGGGGGTTTGTGCCCCCCCCAAGTGCCCCCCCCACCTTCTGTTGTCCTCCAGTGAGAGCTCAATAGCTAAGACTGGTCTTGGCCAGCCTGGTGCCCTCCTGATGGCTGGGCTGATGGGAGTTGCAGTCCAAAGCAGGTTGTCAAAAGCTGGTTAAAAGTGTTGGGCTAGGAATGTGGAGAGCTGGGTTCAAATCCTCACTTAGCCAGTGACCTTGGGACGGTCGTACTCTCTCAGCCTAACCTGCCTCACAGGATGAAGCACTTGAGCTTCTTGAAGGAAATCTGGGGTGCAAATGTAAGAAATAAATAAATAGGTCCTGCTTTTTCTGGGGGGGAACTCCAGTCAGGACTTGTTTTTGCCTCCCCAGGTCAGTTTTCACTGCCCATTGACAAGAGGCAGCTCTATGAGTTCGACATCCGGGTGCCGCTGCTGGTGCGAGGTCCAGGCGTCAAGCCAAATCAGACTCACCTGGTGGGTGTCTTTCTTTCTTTCCCCGACTCAAGTGTTTGAGCTGAAGGAGTCCTTACTCAAGTGCTGCTTTCCTTGCAGAAAACCCCAGGTTCTGCCCTGACCATCTCCAGTTAAAAAGATCTCAGGTTGTGAAGGGGAAAGATTTCTGCCTGAAGCCTCTAGGGACCCTCAATATTAGGCTGTGGCAAAGCCATATCTTCATAAGCTCACAGCATCTGCCTTGTATGCAAATGTCTCAAGTTACCGTATTTTTCGCCATATAGGACACACTTTTTCCCCTCCAAAAATGAAGGGGAAATGTGTGTGCGTCCTATGGGGCAAATGCAGGCTTTCGCTGAAGCCTGGAGAGTGAGGCGTTGGTGTGCACCGACCCCTCTCGCTCTCCAGGCTTCAGGAAGCTATCCGCAAGTCTTGCAAGCCCGGCGGGAGGTCCCGCGGGCTCGCAAGGCTTGCGGGCAGGAGCCTGCAGCCCAAAAGCTCGGGGGGCAGCGGGGAGGCGCAGCGCCGCCACCCCATTATTCCCCGACCTGATCTGGAGGCTGCGGGGGGGGGGAGAAGCAAGCTTGCTTCTCCCCCCGCCAGCCCCACAAACTCGGGGGACAGCGGGGCAAGCTGTCCCTGAAGGCAGAAGAGGGAGACGGAGTGCTCTGTCTCTCTCTTCTAGCTTGGGGATGGCTGCGCAAACCTGGGGGGGGGGAAATAAAAAAATTTCCCTTGATTTCCCCCCCAAAAAACTAGGTGCGTCCTATGGGCCGGTGCGTCCTATAGGGCGAAAAATACGGTAGATCCCTGGCTTCCCACAGTAGGGCTGGGAGAAGACCCCTCCTGAGGTCCGGGAAAGCTTCTGCCAGGCAGCGTACAAAGCAATGCTGAACTGGGTGGGCCGAGGGCCTGAGTTGGTAGAAGGCAGCTTCCTGGGTGTCCCCTAAATTTTCAGCCAGGCCTATTTGCTGGATGGTCATTGCACTCAAAGCCTGAATCTCTGTCCCTGTGGACATTTTGTGGAGTTGGGAACTATAGTCAGTTAACTCACTTCCAAACATGTAGAATTCTAACATTTCCAGAATAAAGCTGAGTTAGAATCTTCCTTCCTGACATACTACTTTTCTACTGTCAAGAGTTTGATTTTTTAGCATCTTTTTATTTTTCAAATTGTAACAACAAAAACAGCCTATTAGATAAAATGAACCATTCTGGTGAATGCACAGGCATGTATCCCATTTTACAATAAATGTCCAGCGTATAATTCCAAGTGGCTTTGTCACATACTGTACAGTCAGGAGGTTTTGATTCTTGTGTCGATCTCTGTGTCTTCTTCTTTCAACTACTATATGTTTTGGGAAACTGTCTGCTGCTATGCATTTGGAAACCTCTTAACCAAATTTTACATGATAGTTCCTGAATCCAACGATGTGGTTTTTGTCTGAATAAAGTTGGGTGTCATTTTGAAATGAGATGGTGGGCTGAACCTTCCAAAAGGGCACTTTTTAGTTTCTTGGCATTCCTAGGCTACTACGAAGAAATAATTGCCTTGAACTGGATAGCTGGATGGCTTCTGTAACTCTGTCCCATGTTGTCTTCCTCTCAGCAACCTGTCCTCAACATCGATCTGGGGCCCACCTTCCTAGATATCGCAGGTATCGATGCATCTCAGACCTCCATGGACGGACAGTCTTTCTTGCCCCTGTTGGTAATAATTTGCCCAGAACCTTCTAGAATAAACAGGGGAATTTTGTGTGTGTGTGTTGAATAAAGGAGTTATCTGGAGTCCTATAGACAAGCAAATTTTCAAACTTTACACAGTATTCTTTCTGCCAAAGGATCCTTTGCTCAGAACTCTTGTCATGTAAGTCCTGAAGGAAACTGCTATGGACAACGATGCGGCTGGAAATAACTCCACATCTTCAGTTTCTGTGCATCATTGGAAGCAAAAGACTCTCAAGCTCCTTTTGCATATTGCTTGCCTTGAGAGTCTTGTTGTGTACAAGGAACTGCGGGACCCGTCCACCGGTCCTGCTCCTGAGACTTCCCTGGCCTCTTCCCTGACAGCTGCATGTTGAGGGTGGATATCTGCAATATATCCCAGCTGGGGCTGATGAGAGTTGGAGTTCAAAATCCCCAGAGGACCCCAGGTTGGCCTAGGTGAAGCCTGCACATCTGCACAGAAGCAGCCCTGTTTTTTTAATAGAATAAAGCCAGAGGTTTTTGCTTGAAGGGGATTCTGGGTTCTGAGGGGGAAGTGTGGGCTGTCATACGCATTTGGTGTCCATGAGCAATAGATGCAGCGTAGGAAGTGCATTTTGAAGCATATGGCAGAAACAACGAACTGTGCTGTAAGAATTGTGGTATGCATGACATTTTGGAAGTGGGACTAGATTGCTGCTGGTGGGCCTCTGGCTGCCGCTCCCTTAGCTGGCTTGTGCCTTTGTCTGTCCTTCCTGCTGCTGCTGTGGGACTTCTGCAGACCCCTTGGAGCTCCCACGCAAACTCTAGAGCTGGAATGGGGAGTGTCGGCCCTTCAGCTGTTGCTGGACCACAACCCCCATCAACTCCCATTGTCCCTTGACCCTGCTGTCTGGGGATGATGAGAGTGGGAGTCCCTACAACTGGAAGGTCACAGGTACCCTATCCCTGCTCCAGAGCACACCTTCACCTTCATCTGTGGCTGTATTCTTGACATGCAACGGTAGAGGGGACAGGCTGCCATTTCAGGGCATTTGCTCTGGATGTCTAGACTGGGCCAGAAAACCCAGAGAGCCCTGTCAGGGATGTGGTCTTGAGAGTTTTTATTTTTATTTGTCACAGCGGGTGATGCTTTCTGAAATGTGTTTCCTTGGCTCCAGGTGAACGAGACGCACAAGAGCAAGTGGCGGTCAGATTTCCTGGTGGAATACACTGGTGAAGGCCACACTCACCAAGACCCCCACTGCCCTGCCTTGGGGCCAGGCGTGTCGGTGAGTGCTTGCTCTGGAGGCACAGAGATGCCTAGAGCACTCTGCATTTCTTACAAATGTCCGAATCTTCTGCTACAAGGGAAACTGGATCCTGCAGACTGCCTAGAAATTATACACAGGATGCAAAGTGGCATAAATCTGCTGATTGTGTCTGGAAGGGAGGATTTCACCCCAAAAATTTACTTGATTTGACCATGGGGTACTCAGTGTGGTTCCCCTTGGTGCCTCCCAATGATTACAGTTTTTTTAAAAACAAGGCGCTGCCCCCCTTCTTGCCCTGCTTTCCCATTCTCCTTTCCTCCTGACCAAGCCCCCTCCCTTTACACCTCCTCCACAGCTTGCCCCACCTCCTTTTAAAGGAGCAGGAGAGCCTACTTCTAAGTAGACATGTTTACACAGCACCTCTCCCCTTCCCCTCATGCCACATGCTCTACTTCCTCATTCACCTGCCTGCTTGCAGCTGTCATGCTGCAGGTGGCAGCGTGATGACAGTCTTACTTTTTATGTATATAGGAAGAAATAAGGTTTTTTTTGTGGAGACAGAAATTGTCTGGGGGGTTTTTTGGTTCTCGCTCTCTCTTTTAGTTATTGCTTTCTCTTCTCCACCCCAGATTTAGAGTGTTGGACTAGACCTGGGTTCAAATCCCCGTCTGCCCTGGCACTCACCAGGTGACCTTAAACTAGCCACTCTCCCACAGGGTTGGTTTTAGAAGGGCAGGATAAAAAATGTAACAAATGAGCTCTGCCTAGCTTTACTCTTCAAGAGAGGGATGCCTTGTGCAGCAGAGGAACAGGTCCTGCTCTGCCACTCCCCCAGAGATGGTGCTAAAGGGATGTGCAGGCTTTGGACTCTGCTGTAGGAAGTTTTGCCCTCAGGCTTGCAGGGCTTGAAATTTGCCTATGCAAAGGGGATTTGCTCACCTTAGTTTACATAAAGTCTGCTTCAGCCTCAGTCCCCCTGCCCACAGCACTGAGGGAAGCCAACACTCTTCTCCTCATTCCTGCATGTGGATCTTGCAGTCCACATTCCCAGCTCCCACCTCATCTCCCACTTAGAGTGTCCAGTTGCTTAGCACAGGTTGGAATTACGCCTTTTGCCCCTCACATTGGGGTTGTTCTCAGATTAGACCCTTTGAAATTAGTGGCCCTAAATTAGGCATGTCCATTGATTTCAGTGGGTTAGAAACAACCCCACGTGTCTGGAGCGGAAGTGTGTCCAAACCTGCTTTCTTTTTTTTTCTTTTTTTTACATGTCCAAAATAAATTTTTATTAAGTTTTGCACAAATATCGCCAAACAAACAATTTCACAAATAACATATTTTCATCTTTTGGACTTCCCTCAGCTTCTCTGACAATCATCCGTATTTAAATTTTTATCTACACATTCCCAAAATTTAGTATTGCCTTTTAAAATACTTTTTCAAACGTATTTACATTCTTGCAATATTCCTTATATTTTCACAAAGCTTCTTTAAAACCCACTAGTGTTGTTTGTTCATCACATACACTCTTCAAATAATCTGTAAATTTTCCCCAGTCCTCAATGAACTTGTGATCTCGTTGATATCTTATTTTTCCAGTTAGTTTGTCCAGTTCTGCATAGTCCATTAACTTCATTCTCCATTCCTCCAGAGTCCAAACCTGCTTTCAAAGGGTTGAAAGAGAGTGGGGGAAGGGCTGGAAGTTGTGTTCTTTGGAAACCACAATGATGCAGTACAGCATGCTTCAGCCACCCTTGCCCTCTTCCATCCCCTCCTCCTGTGGAACAGCCCTCACTAGGCCTGTTTTGAAAAGGGCAGGCTACCTTCTCAGGCCCCCTCCCCACAAAAAAAGTGGGCAAGGGGCATAGCTCAGCGATGGGGACTTCTGCTGTGTGGATAAAAGGCCCCAAGTTTGATCCCTGGCCTCTTGGGGAGCTGCTCCCAGTCCATGTAGACAGTTCTGAAGCAGATGGACCAGTGGTCTCCCTTGGTACCAGGATGCTTCTGATTCTGGGTATATCTGCCCCCTTGTCTCCCTCGTGTTCCTCAGGGGCCCCGTGGGCACTCGCCAGCTGAGTTTGTTGTTGGAGGGAATGTTGCAGTCTTGGGTAGGTGTTAGATTTGAATAAAGCCTCTCTCCCCCTCTCTCCCTTTGGCAGCAATGCTTCCCTGACTGTGTGTGCGAGGATGCCTTCAACAACACCTATGCCTGTGTGCGCACACTAAGCCCCATCAACCTGCAGTACTGTGAGTTTGCGGATGCCCAGGTGAGCACCGTCTGCCCCTCCTGTCCTGAGCGAGGCCCAGAGCGAGGGCCACACCCTTTCCCTGCTGATGGTCAGCAGTGGCCTCCAAGGGAGGCTGCCACACAGCAACCTTTTTCAGAACTTCCCAGCCTCTTCATGCAGACATCATTCACTGAGGAGCCATAGCAGAGGAGTCTGGTGCATATTCTGGGGTGCACGTGTAGGTCACAGAAGGGTGTGCCCAGGACCAGCTAGCCCTCACTCTTGGCCTGGGTCAGGCTTAGGTTTAAAATATTCTGTTGAATTGAATTTGTTTCCAGCCTTTCATCACAAGTTCCCAGGGTGGGGTGCATACATGCAGTAGAACATATGAAATACAATTAAAGCACTGCTTAAAACCATAATTGAAACTCAACAATCATTGCTGTGCAGAAGTGGCAAGGGGAACAAGCTGATCTAAAATAGCTCCCCAAAGCCTGGGAGAAGAGGTGTCTCCCCCCTAAGGGACGCAAAGAGTCCAACGCCGGTGCCAGATGTACTTCTGAGGGGAGGGAGTTCTGTAACTGGAGAGTCACTTCTGATAGCACCTGCCATCACCACCGGCAGGGCCTCCCCTGCTGATCATAACATTCAGGCTGGTCTGTACGGGACAAGGCACTTCTTCAGGTATTTCAAACCCAGCTCATTTAAGGCTTTCTACATTAACATAACCAGCTTAAATTTGGATCAGAAGCAAACTGGTAACCAGTGCAGGTCTTTTAGGACAGGAATAGTAGGTGTCCTGCTGGCTGGATGCTGATCTATTGCAGCAGTTGCAGCTTCTGAACTGTCTTCAAGGGCAGCCCCACATATAGTACATTGTAGTAGTAGAAGTTGTTGAGGATTTTGTCTTCTTTCCTTTAGCAAATTGTGACTTCTGCCCCTCCCCTTGGGGGGAACTCTCTTTCTCCCTGTCTTTTCTCTTGCAGAATTTTGTAGAAGTCTATAACCTGACTTCAGACCCACACCAGCTCTTCAACGTGGTGAAAACTGTGGACCCTTCACAGCTGGAGCAGATGAATCAGAGGCTGATCAAGCTGCAGGCCTGCTCTGGGGTCACCTGCCGCTCCTGAGGGAGCTCTTGCTATGGGTCTGTGCCGAGGGGAACATGGAGCCCACTCTGGGTCTCTCCTTTCTTGCTCTCTCCCTCCCCATTTACTGGCCTCCCCTCTTTTCTCTGCTCTTAAGCCAAAGTTGATGCTGATTTTTCCCTTTCTGGATCCTTTCTTGGAGGGTGTGGTTGGCAGAAGAGAGGGAGAGAGGGATGGGGAGTAAAAGTGCCTGTGCCAGATTTCCCCATCAAAATGCTCCAATATCCCATCCTGCCTCTTGCTGCTCACCTACACCTTGCCTTTGCCACCAGACTTGGCAACTGGCAGGTCAGATTTCACCACCGGGGAGGGGGGCAGGGCTGATACCTAGACTGTCAGTTGCTGACCAGCACCCCCACTCTCAGGGGTTCCCCATGGCCAGCTGGTGAAAGATTGCTTCCCCTCCTCTCCCCTGCCTTGTTGGGGGTGTATGGGATCCTGCCTCTAATCACGAATCAGTATTGCAGATTCTGCCCTGCAGCTGGAGGTGCTGCCTGTCATTTTGTGACTGTCATGTGCCTTGTAACTCCTCCGCTTTGAGAAGTTCTGATTCTGATCAACTCCTGCAGCAGCTCGGGCAGTTGCTGTGTTGTCTCGCCTGTGCCTCTCTGCCTTAAGTGCTGTGAAAAGAAATAGAATGGAATAAAGGACTTGTTTGTTAGAAAAACTGATCTGGACTTTGCATGGACTGTGATGGCTGTTGCTCTATATGTGGAGAGACAGGAGCCGGACCTCAAGAGCCTCACAAAGACCTGCTTTCCTACAGTAAATGTCATTTCCCGCGGTTGTGCTGGTTTAAAAAATCCACGGTGTCAGCTGCGAGTACTGACTGACTTCTGAGAAGAGAGTCATGTACCCAACAGTGTTTGGGGAACCTGTAACATTCATTCTGGGCTGGAACCCCATCCCCTTCCGTAAGGGGAGGTATCCGTGCCATTGTTGCATCATCAGCTTTTACACCAATCCCAAACCACATCTCAGCCCTATTTGCATGTTTCATAACCAACATACCTGGCACTAAGGGAAGGAGGCAGAATTTGGGGCAGGAGGGATGTTCTCTCCAAGGGTTGGGGAATTTTGCTCACTCTTTTTTTTTTTTAAATGATATTTATTGAAAATTTTTAAAATTACAGAAAAAGACAAAGCAGAGAAAGAAAAAAGAAAAAACGGAAAAGAGGAAAAAAAAACCACATCCAACAATACAAATTCAAAAAACAAAAATACACCACAAACAGATAAAAATAAAACCAACATTCTCAAATCTTCAACTTTCATTACCTTCTTTCTTTGACCTCCTCCTCCCTTTTTTTGTATCCCAGTTAATAATTATCGCAGCAAATCCTTTCCATATTTCATAATATTCTGTCATTACATTACCTTAATCTATTTTCATCTTATCTTATAAAAAACCTTAAAACTTAAAACTTAAATCTTATTTTTACCCACTTCTCATAACCATAATATTCTTGCCTAATTCTTTAAACATTTTTGCTAGAGCCAAGTAGTTTCGTTCCAACATTTTTCTAACAGTCATCAATTTTATAAAACAATCCTAGTGATAAAAAAAAGAAATAGAAACAATCCAATCTTCATCCAGCGTCCCTTCCTCCTGGTCCCGGGTTTTGTCAGTCCTTTTTATCCCATCGATCTAGCGCATTAACCTGGTAACCTTATATCCGAGGCCCTTAAGTCCCTTCCATGTCCCTTCCGCAGCTCTTCTTCATATTCACCTTTCACTCGTGGGAACTCCAACTTGGTAATGTTTTTGACCCTTTTCAACAAATCAGCCCCTTTTCCATAGTCCAGACTAAACTCCATGTAGTATTTAGAAACATGTTTCAGAATCCCTCCAAAATTGAGAGCCCCCACAGCTCCAAACATCTCACGGCCCATTGCCAGACTCGGAAAGTCCAAACATCCCTGCATAGGGGGGTCTATCCAACCCCCCATTTCCAAATCAGTCCAAACTTTATCTTTCCTAATCTGGCTTTTTCCAAGTTCATTTGTCAAATCCAAAAGCTCATGTTCCTGCTGGGCCGCAGCTCCCTCCATCTCTGGCGCCCAAGATTCCGCAACATCCTCTTCTCTCATCTGTTCTGTCAGGGCACACTCCTGATTTAATTCCTGGGTGGGCTCCATATAGTTTCCCACTACCTGTTCAAAAATTCTGGCCGCATTAGTCATCAAATCCGTCTTCTCAGTTAACTGTTCCAGTAGAGTATTTATTTTACAGAGAGCACACAACAGAGCTTCTGAATACATTGTCCTACAAGGTCACAAGCCTTTTCCCACGATTGTAATCTGTGACAGCTGCAAGCTCCTGGAATTAGTTACAGTTTCCCAGTCTCCCTCTAGGGGAAAACTTCTAATTGTTCTTGCAACAAAGTTTCCCTTTTTGAGATATTTTGTCAATATTTGTTCCTTTAAAATGCGAAAGGAAACAGTGGAATCACTATGTTTCTCTTCTTTTAGCTATCTGTCAAAAACGTTTGTCTCTGGTCAATGAGCTTCAAACGTCAGTCCTGACACCCCGCTCCAGGATCAGGACGGTGGAAAGTTACTTTACTTTAAACTCACTTCTGCAAATTTAAACAGTCCGAAAAGATCCCCTTCTTCTCCTGCTGCCGAAGGGGGGTTTGAGGATTTTAAATGATGAAAGCCGATCCTTTAGAAGCGATTTTCTGAGCTCTAGTTTACGTTGTCTTTGCTTTGTTCTGTCTACAAAGAAACGGAAGGCTGACTTCCTGTTTAGACCTTCCCGTTTCAGTACCAAATTGAAGTAAATTTTTAAATCCAATTCCTTTCTGCTCGCAAGTCCTTATTTAAAGTCCAATTGTTCAAAGTTTAAGTACTCACGGGTGCTTATTTTAGAAGCCAAATTGTCCCAGGAAAGGCAGCGCTCTCCGGCAACGGCTATGCGGCCTCGCTCCACGGACATAGCAGTTGACTCACAGCACCGCGCCACTTCCCCTCTTCGCTCGGAGCCCGTTAGTGGGTTCCTTTGCGGGTTGGGGGGGGCGCTAAGGGTGCCCGCCGAGTCCCATGGTCACAGGCTTCATCCGCCTGTGATTTTTAAAAGGGTCCCCGCTTCGCCGTAGCGGAAAAGACCCGTTTCGCGCGGAGCTAGTCCCTCCAGTTCAGAGGGAGTCCGCCATTGCCAATGGCGCCACCCCGGAAGTCTGGGAATTTTGCTCACTCTTTAAGGGCTTCCTTATCTCCCCATCACTGTCATATTTCTAATCCTAAAAGACCTTCACACACACACCCCTCCAGCAGCCTCTGGCAAAGGTGTGCATTTGCAAGCCAGATCCTGAGACCTTGGGGTGCAAATGAAAGGTTTTTATTGGGTCCCAATGCATGCCCATGGACTGGGCTTAGCCAGCTGGACACATGTACCAAAGCAGGGTTAGAGAGCCAGTTTCCGGGGCCTCCCATTAGCCGCTTGCCCTGTTCCTCCACAAGCAGTTTTTAGGCTTGGGAGGAAAGCCTTTTCTTGGAGCCAAGAGAGAACTTTTTGCAAGCCAAATTACGGTGCAGGTAGGGGCATTTACCTCTGTGCTAAAGCTTCATGGAGAGCTATACCTGAAAACTGTTAACAAACGGATTTCTTCCTTTGATTTTGTATCCCACCCATAGTTAGGACTGCAAAAGCATTAAGAAACCCAAAGCCTGAAAATCATTCTGTCTTGTAGCGGGGGTGGGGAACCAGCTTCTGCCGGAGAATGACATTTCCTTCTGGACCATCTTCCAGGGCCGCATGTCCACAGTGGTGGGCTGGGCCCGAGACACAAAGAGGCCAGAGCAAGGAATAGAAATGTTACCTCTGTACAGGCTCCATGCGCAGTCTCTCTAACGCCCCCCCCCCCCACCTCAGCAGAAGTAAGGATCAGGGTCCAAGGACACATTCCAGGCGGGCAGAAACCCTCCAGGAGAGCAAGAAGCAGTGCTAGGGAGAAGCGTGTTCTCGAATGAGCCCTGAGGGTCAGATGAGAGAGGTCTGGTCCCTGAGCCTGGAGTCTCCCCATAATCTCATTTCTGGTGTGCCATCATTGCACAGAGCTGGAAGCAAAAAATGTGCCTGAAAGAACTGAAATCATCATTATGGATGAAATTTATGAGTTGCCTTTTATTTAGCCAAAAGTACTGCAAAGCAATTTACAACAATGATTAAATAGCATTTATGTTAAAACTATAAAACAAAACAGAAAAATCTTTCAAATGTACGGTATTTTTAAAAGGCAGAATTAAAGCATCCCATCCACTAAAAGAGGCCATAGATCGTTAAAAGCCAAAGTCCTGGCAGAAGAGAAATGATTATATGGTCAGATAATTTGTTAGGTTGAAATTCTTTAATAAAAATATTTTTTTTAAAAAGAAATGTTTTTGCCTGGTGCATATGGATGTGTAATTATGGGTTGATTGATAGAATTTATGTCCCTCTGTTCTACAAATATGTACTCAAAGTAGCTTTCAGAGTCCTAAAAGCAATACACAATAATGTGCCACATTACAATATCACATGATATATTTAAAAGCAGTGATACAAGTTGCTAGAGGGGCATTTCATGTTTCTTCATTCACTCACGTTTTCATCAAGTTGTTGCCCTGTGTTTTCCCCATTCTGCTTCCATTTCTCCTGCTTGCGTGGAAAGGCTAGCAGAGCAAGGCAGTTTCTCTCAGCTGTGAGGGACCTCAGTGCTGCGATTCCTCTTGTCTTGGCTTTGACGTGTGACAGATCAGGATGGTCCATCTATAGCCACTTGCCATACCATCACAAATACTTTTCTGGTTGGTGCCATTATAACACACACACACACACACTTTTTTAAATCAACACTTTAATTAGCACAAAAAAATGGTTATTTAAAATGTAAAATTTGTGCAATTGCACTAAAATGAAAGAGAATTGTAATCCTATTTTTAAATATATGTATTTTAAACCCGTTTAAACCCTTATATTTATCATTCTAGTGATGTGTGTGTTTCAAATTTACTCTTAACATGCTAGTTAACTTCTTAAAAAATTGTACAAGTCCTGAAGAGTAATTGGGAAATAACATTTAAATAAGCATAAATTAGTACAGAAGGCTGATTCAAACATTATTTTTAAAGGTTGCTTCAGTGGTAGAGTCTCCTTACTTCAACATCTCAGGTAAGGCTGGGAAGATCCCCCTTGGAGCGGACCTTGGGGCTCTTTGGTAGTGGGCGCCCTGAGCAAGGCCACAATTTGGCGCCCCCAAATGGATCTTCTCACTGAGGGATCTTCTCAACTGTGCACCCCCTTGGCTTGGCGCCCTGTATGGGGCAACCTGCCACACCACCCTCAATTTATTGGTGTTGCCAATACCAATGGTCAGCTTAGGTATAAGGCAGCTGCTCTCTGTGGGATCATCCCCACTCTTTTTGTCCCAAAATCTCTTCCATTTGTCCCGTCAGGTTCCCTGGAAAACCCACTGTTTACCGCTGAATCGGAACAATTGTCAGTTTGCAGAAAACCTCACTGATGTTTGCTTTGATTCAGCAGTAGACTGGGACCATGGCTGTCATCTAGTCCCAGCCCCTGCAATGCAGGAATCCCAGCTAAAATGACAGATGACCATCCAACCTCTGCTTGAAAACCTCCAAGGAAGGAGAGTCCATCACCTCTCGTGAGAGTCTGTTCCACCGCTGAACAGCTCTTACTGTCAGAAAGCTTTTCTGAATGTTATGTTGGAATCTTCTTTCTTGCAACTTGAAGCCATTGGTTCGAGTCCTACCCTCCAGAGCAGGAGAAAACAAGCTTGCTCCCTCTTCCATATGGCAGCCCTTCAGGTATTTGAAGATGGCTCTCATATCTCCTCTAAGTCTCCTCTTCTTCAGGCTAAACATACCCAGCTCCTTCAACCATTTCTCATAAGACTTGGTTTCCAGACCCTTGATTATCTTGGTCACCTTCCTCTACACACCTTCCAGCTTGTCAACATCCTTCTTAAATTGTGATGCCCAGAATTGGACCCAGTATTCCAGATGTGGTCTGACCAAGGAAGAATAGAGTGGGACTATGACTTCTCTTGACTGGGACACTAGAGACTTCTGTTGATGCAGCTTAGAATAGCATTAGCTTTTTTTGCTGTTGCATCACACTGTTTACTCATGTTCAGCTTGTGGTCCATCAAGACCCGAGATCCTTTTCACATGTACTGCTAGTAAGCCAGGTGTCCCCCATCCTATATTTGGGCATCTGGTTCTTCCTGCCCAAGTGCAGAACTTTACATTTGTCCCTATTGAAATTCGTTTTGTTAGCTTGCACCCAGTTCTCCAATCTGTTAAAGTAATTTTGAATTCTGATTTTGTTTTCTGCAGCATTAGCTACCCCTCCCTTCTTTTTAAGCTCCCCCCCCTTTTTGTTGCCATTTCTGTGTAAATCTATCCTTTGGAAGGTGTATGCAAATATGAGGCACAGTGGTGTTTTGTGCCTGCTTGGCAAGGCCAGGCCCCCATTTGCATGGCCCCTGGCTGGGCTGAGTGGAGCTCCACTTCTTCCACAATGGTAAGATTGTCGTTTGCTTTCTGCCCAGGTATTTTAGGGTTGGTGTTCGGGAGAGCTTTCTGCTGGGAATCTGGGTCAGCTAAAAGTGAGTCCAACCGTGTGGCTTGTGGGGACTTATTTTTTAAAATGGCAAACTGATAGAGAAATGTGGTAAACAGAAGATTTGAAAAATGAGAAAATGAAATCGACATTCCTAGATGTTACCAAAGCCTAATAAAAATTGTGGTAACCATCTTTACGCTTCTTGTTTCAGAGAAGCTGTCTTCTTTGGGAATAAAATCTCCTAGGTGGTCCTCCTCTGCCCCTCAGTTGTCAGGGGACTGGAACTGTGACTGATTTCATGTCACATCTGTTAAACACTGAGGACTGGCAGCTGCCACTATAATGGGTGGAGAGTACGTGGAAGAAGGACATGCACATTGCAAGGTCTGCCCAGGCTGGGCAGGAATATAATGCACCTCATCATGTGAACGAGGTGCATTACAGACTGTGGGATTCATATGACTGGGTCAGGCCAATCCACAGTTGCTTCTGTATTGCTTTTTACTGCAGGATTGTTATCCTTTGTTCACTCACATTTTACAGAGCATCCGCGCAATGTTGTCATCACGTCATTGCATTCCAGTGTTGTCTGTGTTGTCCTCCTGGGCTTTTTGAGACTTGGTTATTTGTGTTGTCTGTGCGCTTAAAAATGCAACTCTGACATAAGTGTGTACTGGAACTATTTTGGGAGGGGGGTGTTAAATTCCTGGTTTCTTTCCAATATTTCTTTTCTCTTTTTTTCCCATTAAAGCAAAACTGTACTATTTTAGAAGGTGGTATAGAAGGGACAATTAAACACTTGAGTTGCTTAACCTCAAGGAATGCATCCCCATAAGCACCACCACCTCCAAAATACTGTAGTCTCTATTGGGCCACCTTCACCCTGCACCAAAAAAAGCACCCTCAATATTCTGTAGCTTTTTAATGTGAGTCCTTATATGCATCAATCACTACTTAGTTTTTGCACATCTCTATTTTGTTTCCAAGGGACGCGGGTGGCGCTGTGGGTTAAACCACAGAGCCTAGGACTTGCCGATCAGAAGGTCGGCTGTTCAAATCCCCGCGATGGGGTGAGCTCCTGTTGCTCGGTACCAGCTCCTGCCCACCTAGCAATTCAAAAGCACATCAAAGTGCAAGTAGATAAATAGGTACCGCTCCGGCGGGAAGGTAAACGGTGTTTCCGTGCGCTGCTCTGGTTCGCCAGAAGCGGCTTAGTCATGCTGGCCACATGACCTGGAAGCTGTACGCCGGCTCCCTTGGCCAATAAAGCGAGATGAGCACTGCAATCCCAGAGTCGGTCACGACTGGACCTAATGGTCAGGGGTCCCTTTACCTTTACCTTTATTTTGTTTCCAAACAGTTTGGCTCCATACTACCCAAGGGGATTCTTGATTAACAAATATAAGAGGAAGATTTTAATTTTGTTTTCTCTCTATAATTTCCTTTCCTTCTTTTTGCAGAACATATTTGGGAAGAATAAGACTCCGTGAGCAACCTTTTATTGACTTGTGGCTTATACTCAACTGCAAGCAGAAAAGTGGGCTTAGAATCATAGAGCCATAGAATCGTAGAATGGCAGAGTTGGAAGCATAGGTGTAGCCAGGAATTGTGTTGGGGGTAGAACTGAGCTATCTGCTACGTGATTGGTCACTTAGTTACGTATTTTTATTTATTTACTTGATGAGGGGGGGAGCTCTTACCATCAGAAACTTTTCCCTCACATTTAGTCAGAATCTCCTTTCACGTAATTTGAATCCATTTGTTTGGGTCCCACTCTGGAGCAGCAAAAAACCCAAGCTTATTCTATTCAGTATGGCAGTCCTTCAGATATTTGAATAAGGTTATTATATCACTTCTCTTATCCATGCTAAGCAAACCCAACTCCCTCAACCATTCCCCATAAGGCTTGGTTTCCAGACCCTGGATCATCTTAGTCACCCTCCTATGCACACCTTACAGCTTGTCAATATCCTTCTTAAACTGTAGAAATGGGCACAGTATTCCAGGTGTGGTCTAACCAAGGAAGAATAGAGTGGGACTATGGCTTTCCTTGCTTTGGACATTATACTTCTGTTGTTGCAGCCCAGAATTGCATTAGCATTTTTTGCTGCTGCAATCACACTGATGACTCATGTTAAACCTGTGGTCCACCAAAGCCCCTTGATTCTTTTCACATGTACTACAGGCAATCCAGGTGTCCCCCATCTTACATTTGTGCATCTGGTTCTTCCTGCCTAAGTGCAGAACCTGACATTTGTCCCTATTGAAATTCATTTTATTAGTTTTGACTCAGTTCTTTACTTTGGTAAGATCCTCTTGAACCTGGTTCTATCTTAGCTAGGTACCCCTCCTAGTTTAGTGTCATCTTCAGATCTGATGAGCATCCCCTTAATTCCTTCATTCAAGTCATATCCAAAGATGCTGAGCAACACTGGGCCTGTGGAACCCCATTTGTCCTTTTTTCCTCTTCATCCTTTATTCCACTATCACCAGGTTGGGCACTGTTTTCCTTTAGGAAGAAAACAGAGGCAGGTACAGGTTGAACAGTTCTGCCTTCTCTCTGTCATCCAACAGCATTTCTCGGTCTTCTCCATGCAGAGGGGCTGCCACTTGCTTGCTCTTCCTCTTGCTTCAAACATAGTCGAAGAAACCTTTTTATTATCTTGAACCTCCTTGCAAGCTTGAGCTTGTTCTGAGTTTTAGCCCACCTGACCTTCACCCTGCAAGTGTTGGCTACTCATTTATATTCTTCCTTCGTGATTTGCCCCTTCTTCCATTCCTTATACATGCCTCTTTTAAATCTCAGCTCATCTGCAAGCTCCTTATGCAGTCACATGGTTGTTTTTTAGATGTCTCCCACTTTTCTTTCTTGTAAGAAATGTTTGCAATTGTGCCTTCAGTACCTCACCTTTAAGAAACTCCATCCATCACCGACTCCCTTCTCTTTGAGTTTTCAGATCATGGGATTTCACCCAGTAATTCCTTAATCATTTTGAAATCAGCTTTCTTAAAGTGCAGTGTGTGTGTCCAGCTACACTCAGCTTTTCCTTTCCTCTGTCCAGTGGTACCTTGAGTTACATAGGCTTCAGGTTACATGCGCTTCAGGTTACAGACTCTGCTAACCCAGAAATAGTACCTGGGGTTAAGAACTTTGCTTCAGGATGAGAACAGAAATCGTGCTCCGGTGGCACGGCAGAAGCAGGAGGCCCCATTAGCTAAAGTCGTGCTTCAGGTTAAGAACAGTTTCAGGTTAAGTACGGACCTCCGGAACAAATTAAGTACTTAACCCGAGGTACCACTGTATAATGAATCCCAAGAGGACGTTGTCACTTTCTCCCAAGGTTCCCACTACTTCCACCTCATTGATCAGTTCTTAGCTGTTAATAAGGTCCAAAATAGTTGACCCCCTTGCTGCTTTTTCCACCTTCTGGGAAATGAAATAGTGACTGGAGGGTTCACTCTTCAGTGTGTGGAATAAGGGTTAAGGTATAATTGTGATAAAGAGATTGGTATTCTTGTCCTCTTTCCCCCCTTCTTCTTTTCTTTTTCTTTTCTCTCTTTTTTCTTCTCTTCTTTTGTTTCTTTGCTATCTTTCTCTCTTAGATCAGCCTGGCTTTTGTTGTATTTTATCTTGAAAACTTTCAATAGAAATTGATTCTTAAGAAAAAGACATTGTCCATCCCCAGAGGATTATACAAGGCACAGAGGTTCTTCCATAGACAGTTTGCTGGGGAAAGGAGGAGGGTCCTGAGGGAAGACTATGTCTAATGCACTGTTACAGAGCATCTCTAGCAGATACTTGTTCAGTCCTTTTTGGACACAGCTACCCAGAGCCAAGTGGAAGAGGAACAGGGAGATTGCCATCTTATCTCATGATGCTTCTGAATGTCTAATTTTGTTCCTGCCCTTCTTAAAAGGTCCAGAGTCCCACCTGTGCCTCCCAAGCGACCAGGTAAGCAGTGGAGTACATTACACAGGGATGCCTGTGTTGCGTTCATCACAAAGAAGTGGGGTGTGCATGTCCCCTTTTAACTCTCAACCCCTTAACAAACTTCAGCTCCCAGAAATCTTTGGGGAAGCCATGGCTGTGTATCATGATGCTTTAAACATTTGGTGCAAATGTGACCTTAGAATATAAGGAAGCCTCCAAAACTCCTTTATTGCGGTGTCCTTAAGTCCCTGGGCACAAAGGCCATCAGCCCCTTTGAGCTGAGCTGCCCAGTTATGCTTTCAGTGGTGTTTTCCAAAGCCTTGAGAGACTGAATCTGTTTATTAATATGAAGGTTTAAATGGTACCTTATGATTCTTGTTGATTTTGTTGCTGGTGTCTGTTTTTTTGGGAAACACTTTGTGGGAAGTTTTGATAAAAACATGGCTGAGCCAAAGCCCTTTGTGTGTTTCAGAGAAACAGCTGCAGGGGGTAAGTATTCTGCACCACCAGCCAACTCCCAGCACTATCCTTGCCATCTTAACCCCAGAGCCCTCTTGACGTCTGCTCCCTAATGCCAACGTCACCCCTAGATAGCCCCCTAGGGCAGACCATCTTTATGTTCAAGTGAACCTGAATTTCTCTACTTGCTTCCCCCTTTTCCTTGGGGCGGGGGTTGTGTGTGTACTTGCCACCCAGTCATAGCAAAGGCAAAGCCCTGTGTTTTTCTACCGCTTTCTATGGATAGCTCTCAATTCTGCCTTGGGAGAGATTGAGAAAAATCTATGGAAACCAGCCCAATGGTTGTGTGTCCACTCCCCCTGAATCCTGGGAACTATTGTTTGTTAACGATGCCAGGATTGTAGCTCTATTAGTGTTAAACTACAGTTCCCAAGATTCTCTGAGGGAAAGAAGGCACTTTCAATGCAAGCTGCACACTCTCAGGTGGATGTCCTCTGGACCTGGCTATTTGCTGGCTTCGATTTTGTTCATAAGCGGTTTCTTTTGTGGCTGCTCCCTAGCCTTCCATGACTGCAACACAGCCTGGACCACCGCATATTTGAGAATGTGAGGGCCTCACCCAGCTTCCTCCTTCCATTCTTGTAGGTTCCCAGTGATACTCAAGAGGAGGAGGAAGACGATCTGTATACATATGAAGTGCCCCCAAGTAAAGGGCAGAGCAAGCAAATGGTTCCAGCGCTTGCAGAGAACATATATCTTGGTAAGTTGGGAAGGGTGGGTAAGACTCTGGAAACGGGACTCTCCAGAGTATGGGGGGGGATGTGATTTAGTTTACATTGATAGGCAAGCCTGCCTATTTTGAACTTTCTGAAATAATATGTGAACCAAAGCACAGCCCTCCTTTGAAGGCGGCAGTTCAATGCAGTTCTCCAGCCAAGTAATGTGCATAAAAAATGCATATACTGGGGCAAAGTGTCCACAAAATTGCACATACTGGTGGAAATAGCATACAAAAGGGCATATAAGGGGAAATGGCTTTGCAAAAAATGTGTTTATCAGGCAGAATTGCAAACAAAGATGGGGTGGATTAGATGATCCTCGGGTCTACAATTCTATATTAGGAGCAATTAAAAATGAAACATTGCTGGATTTTTATGAGGACTTTTAAAAAAATGGCAAACTGATGTGGGAATGTGGAGAAATAAACTTAAGAGTGGAAATATGAGGAAACAGAATTAATTGAGAGATTCCCCCATCCATACTCTGGAGCCATCATCACAACCAGCAAAGTTCCCTGTGCCATTTTGATTAACAAACTGGTTAATTGCAGGTTAAATGACAGTACTGCCAGGTAGGCTTATTCCAAGTTGGAAAACTGTACGCAGAGAGTGCTCATCAGTGAATCTTAACAGTGTGTCCGTAGGTGACTGTGGAGGCCAATTCTGGATCCACACATCCTTTCACAGTGGGGACATAGGTTTTCAGGCGGGAGTTGATCATGGCGAGAGTTTGCCAAGCATGCCTTCCTCTTCACACACCTCTTCCCCTTTCTTCCTGAGTTTGAGCATCTTCAAAGTCCATGACACCTTTGGTAAAGGCTGTTCTCCAATTGGAGCGCTCGAGGGCAGTGTTTCCCAGTCGTCAGTGTTTATACTACTTTTTTTTAAGATTTGCCTTGAGAAAGTCTTTAAACCTCTTTTGTTGACCTTCAGCATTACACTTTCCATTTTTAAGTTCAGAATAGAGTAGTTGCTTTGGAAGTTGATGTTGAAGAATCACTGCTTTGACACTGGTGGTCTCTGCTTTCTCCAGTACACTGGCATTAGGATTCTTAACAAATGTGCAAATGACACACAACTGCTTTGCAGATGGCTGGGGACATGGAGGGGAAGGGCTGAAGGAACTGGATATGGACAGCCTAGAGAAGAGAGAGCTAAGAGGGCACAATGATGTTACAAGTATCTGCCTGTCATACAGAAGAGAGCAAGGACTTCTTCTCTTCTGCCACCCAGAGGGCAGAACTAGATGGGTTTGAGCTGCAGGTGGATTTTGGCTGAACATTAGAAGAACTTTCTTGACAATAAGGATAGGGGACAGTTCAGTTCAGTTCATATCTATAAAGAAGCCTACCTAATTTGAACTTTCCTAAACACTATGCAGACACAAACACAGCCATTCGAAATTGCAGTTGTCCAGCCAAGTAACATGTACACAAATACATACACTGGGATTAAGTTTCCATAAAAATGCATATATTTGTGAAAATGATGCAGAAAAATGTATTATATTAGGGGAAATTGCATTGCAAAATGTGCATATTAGGCAAAAGTACATAAAAACATGTGTTTATGAGGAGAAAATTGTACTAAATAGCTAATGAATTTTCATGAGGATCCAAAATAGCAATAATTACAAACTGATGTGGAAATGTAGAGAACTGAATAGAAGAGTAGAAAACTGAGAAACTGAAAGAAACTGAAATTGGCAGATTTGCCCATCGCTACTTGATAAGAAGATCTGTTTGTCAATGGGATCAGTTACCTAGATGGGTCGAGGTCTCCCTCACTGGAGGTCTTTAAGCAGAGGCTGCACAGGTGTCTGCTGAAGAAGCTCTGTCTCTGGAATACCTGCCTTGAGCAAGGTGACTGCAATCACCTGCAAGCCCCACCCCCCCGGATTCTAGAGGGAAGAGGGTGGGTGGGTGGAGTGAGCCATGTTGACCAGGAAGAGGAAGGGGAGAAGTGAAAGGTGCTTGTGGGGGCGCAAGAGTTATAGCTGGGACTTGTGATCTCCAGTTCCCTCTCAGGTTGTCTCTCTGTCCTTAGATCGCCCGGCCTTGAGGCGCTTCTCTGAGCCACACAACCTCCTCCAGCCCAAGTCCCTTCCGGTGAGTGATGTGCTGCTTGCACAGGCAGGACAGCTGGGCTCTCCAGACAGCCAAGTATCATCTCTCTGGCTAACTTGCAGGGCATTAAAACTGCAGGGAGAAATTGTATGTTCAGCATTTTTAATCATTTTCCTACTTTTTATAAGCTTTAAGTTAAGAAATGAAATCTTTTGGATTTGGGATGTGTCCTTTTTTTGAAAAGCAAAATTTCTTTTGCACAAGGGCTCAAGACACACAAGGACCTTCTCCAGGTTGGTGTTTTTCTGCAGCATCATTGGCCCAAAAACAGTGTATTAGTGGTGGATTTATACTGGACCGTCCACACTCCCTTCTGTTTTCTTAGTTGTTCTGTGTTGCTTTCCTGGTATTACTGTGTGGGTGTCCCTCCAGATGGCAATAGAGCCCTATAAATACCAGGATAATACCCCACCGTAAATGCATGGCATGAAAAGTTACAGGGCATGTACTGACGGGATGCAAAACTGTATGTCTGTCCACTCCAAAACTTTCACAAGCACAAGCAGTGTTGAAAGCGGGATCTTATCTAGCCCTACCAATACCACCAGGAGCAGAAATCATCACGAATACAGAATAAAAAGAATGTCTGGAGCGCCCCCATTTCAACGTGAAGCGCAATTCAGTTCTCTTTCATGCCTTGCAGTTCCTGTCCAAGCCTGGAGCAGATGGTGATGACTCCAGTGACGGGACATTCAACTTCCTGGCCATAGAAAGAGGTCAGAGGAAGGGGCTGGGCGGAGAAGGGGAGCAGGTGGAAGGGGGGATGATGCCTTCCTGGGGACTGAGGATGTCTGAAGAACCTGCGGGATCAGGCCCATGGCCCATCTAGGCAGAGGGCCTTCTCAGTAGTGGCGCCCACCCTGTGGAACGCCCTCCCATCAGATGTCAAAGAAATAAACAACTATCTGACGTTTAGAAGACATCTGAAGGCAACCCTGTTTAGGGAAGTTTTTAATGACTGATGTTTTAATGTATTTTTAATCTTTTGTTGGAAGCTGCCCAGAGTGGTTGGGGAAACCCAGCCAGATTAATAAATTATTATTATTATTATTATTATTATTATTATTATGCCATTCCGTTCTCACAATGGTCAGCCAGATGCCCCAAAGGGAAACCAGCAAGCAGGATCCGAGCACAAGAACGCTCTCCTCCCACGCAGCTGGTATTCAGAAGCATTGCTGTGGCGGCAGGGCAGAGCCACCAGGACTCGTAGTCCATGAATCCACCCAGTCCTCTTTGAAATCCACCCAAGTTGGCGGCCACCACTGTGTCCTGTGGCAGGCAGTTCCATAGTTTACCTGTGCGTTGTTCTTTTTTCTGTCCTGAATCTTCCAACGTTCAGCTTCATTGGATGTTCCTGAGTTCCAGCACCATGAGAGAGGGATATAAACTCTCTCCACTTTCTTCATGACATGCATAATTTTGTGTACTCCTCTCATGTCTCCTCTTGTTCACCTTTTCTCTGAACTTAAAAGTCCAAATTCTGCAACCTGCCCTCAAAGAGAAGTCGCTTCATCCCTTGAACATTTTCATTGCTGTTTTCTGAACCTTTTGAACTCTAAATCTCCATTTTGAGAAGAGGCGACCAGAACTGCGCACTGGACTCCAAGTGTGCTCTGGGATTGTATAATGACATCAGCAATTTTATTTTCAATTCCTTTTCCTATGGTCCTTGGCTGCTGCACACTGGGTCAACTTCTTCGCTGAGCTATCCAGTACAGCCCTAAGGTCTTGTGATTATTATGGGGTGATTGTCATGTTTGGAAGCTGGCAAGGCAAAGAGTCTCGCTGTTTTTTCACCTGACCCTGGAAAAGTCAGGCTGGGCCAGTGGGGGTTGGGGAAAGCTGTGGCACCGCGAGAGACAGACAGGCTCAGAACATAAAGCACTGAGCAGGTCTGTGCCACTTTCCAGATTAAATATCTGAGTCCGAGGCTCTTCAACAAAGAGGAGGGAGCGCTTAATTTGTTTTATAGCAGCGAATGGACAAAGGCAGCATTGTTAGCATCCGTCTGTCTCGAGAGACAATGGAGTGTGCCGGGGGCGGGGGGTGAAATCAAACTGCTGCCTTAGTGGCACCAAAATGGCCTGGCTGATGCGGTCCAAAGTAAAGCAGAGCAAGACGTTTGGCACCATCTTGGCTGCAGGAGTTGCTGGAAGGAGGCGTACAAGGCACCATCCAACCCTCTTAGGGACTCCATCCAGATTCGTGCAGGCTTTAGTCCTTAGCCTTTACTTCTCCAAAAATATCCCACAAGGCAGTGGAGGTTCAGGATCAGAGATTTTCTGCTCCTAGCTGGGTTTCCTTCCCAGGCGGATGAGCCCCACCTGCCCCTCACTTCCCTCTCCAGCACAGGCAGAAACTGCCTTCTTGACTGGTGGACTCCCTGTTGTTTTCATCTGCTCAATCTGCTGGATCCTCTCTTTGCATGCAGGGGATAGGCAGTCCCTAACTAGCCGAGGGTTTCAGACCCATCAGCTCCCCTCACCTGGTTTAGCCAGCCAGTGGAAGCCATTCCCTGGGATGTGGCTGCTGTCGCCTGCTGACAGCTTCTAAAAGCCACAGGTGAGATCGGAGTACACGGACCAAAGGCTCACAAACCACCCCAGAAGAACATGACATGCCCCCACCAGAGGCACTGGCCCCCCAAGCACCCCATACATTTAAAACACTTAACATCCCCAAAGAATCCTGGGAACTGTAGTTTGTTAAAGGTGCTGGGAATTTTAGTGCTGGAGGGGTAGGCCACAGTTCTCAGGATTTTTGAGGGGTGAAGTGCTTCAAATGTATGGTGTATATGCAGCCTAAGGCTGCAATCCTAACCCTACTTTTCTGTGAGTAAGCTCCATTGAATTCAGTTGGGCTTACTTCTGAGTTAAGCTTCATGGTTAAACTTGTGCTGTCAGTTTCCTCCAGGGCATTCTCTGGTTAAATGTCACAATGAAGTCACAAGGTAGCCTGGTTTGATTCAGTCTCAACCCAGAATCTGTAATATGGCTGTGACAGCATGGCTCTACTTTACAGGGTTGTTGAACAGAGGCAAACAGTTTACTCCAAAGTGCTATGAAATAAATATTCTTCTTAACCTGAGAGGTGGTGGTCCTTGCTTAGAAGCCCTTCCTCAAATCCTACATGTTGGTTTGCAATTACTGGGTGGTGTGTGGAAAGCACTTTGCTCATGCTCAGAAGTAATGCAGATCCTTTCTTTGCAGCTCTACAAAAAGGGATGATGAAGCAGTCTGTGCCGCCGCCTCTTCCTCTCTCAGCCCGACGGGGGTCTCTGCCAGTCCTGGGTCCCTCTGGGTCCCAAGCGAAAGCTGTCGCCAGCAGAGGTAGGTGGAATTGCGAGCCAGCTGTGGCCTCATTGGAATCTGTGACTGAAGGTTGCTTGAGTAAATTCTTACTTCAGTGGACTGGAGACAGGCAGCTAAGGGTCTTTCAGATTAGTAAGTAAAATTCATTCCCAAGTTATACCTGAAGATCCTCTGCCTGCTTGTCTCCTTGTCTCCAACCTTCACCCACCTGGTGCTCTCCAGATACTTTAGACTACAACTCCCGTCAGCCCAGTGGTCTTTGGGATGGGAAGGGAAGAAGGCAGGGAGACCTACAGCATACCTTCCAGGTGCCCCAATTTAACCTTCAAGACTTTCCTTCAAGGCGCCCTGGGCTCAACCTTTGTCTCGGAGTGCCCTGATTTTGCACCGACTGCGGTGGGGCTGGCGGAAGCAGCTCCTGCAACAGCAGTGGCATTGTGGAGGAGCACTTCCAGGCCTTTGGGAAGGAGGCGTGAGACTCTGGCAGGCAGGTGGAAGCTGACTGAGGTTGGAGTGGGGAGGGTGGACCAGAACCCAGTGGAGGAGCCTCTGCCAAAGTGACAGCCAAATAGCCCTACCCCTCCCAGGGGTAACATGCTGAGAATGCCCCTGGTGTGGGGAGGGGAGAGCCATGGCCCCAGGTGAGAGGTGGGGGGAGAGGGATCCCAGGTGTGAGGCAAGTTGCCAGAAAGTGTGTTGGGTTTTTGGCAATTCCAGTGGGAAAACAGGGCACTGCCCCCCCCCCACTCAGCCCCAACTGCCTGTTTTCTGACGTACAAGGAGGAAGAAGATGGGGACCGAACTAGCATTCCTTGTCCCTGCCTGTCATTGGCTCTGGCACCACCAGCTGTGGGGCTCCCTGCTTTCTGCCCTACCAATATCGGAGGTACAACACTGAACAATTCCCATTACTGGTCTGGTTGTTAGTGGTGCCTTTGTAGAGTTAGATCTTAATATATATGCAGATATTTTGGTTTGAACTGTGCTTTTTAAAAAAATGAATGAATGAATGAATTTTTATTTGGACATTATTGAAATGTTATTGCATGTTTGAAATGTACTGCGGTTGATATTATTGAACTGCTTAATGGTTATTTTTATGTATTGCTGTTCTTGCTGTTCAATACCTTGCATATTGTAAGCTGTCTTGACCACAATTTCCTTTGTGGAAAGGCAGCATATAAAATTGGAGTCCAATTCAGCCAACCTGGTGCCCTCCAGATGTTTTGGAATGCAGGGGCTCATGCTCATTGCTGTTTTTCTAGAAAAAGAGGTGCCAGAGCTCACCATGAACTTTTCCCTTGTTCTCTTAGAATGGCAATGGCACCCACCTGAGAGGGGCTGGAACAGAGCTCTGCTGAGCTCCTGCTGCCTTTGGGAGGGGGTGAAGAGAATGGGGGCTGGGGGCTTGGGGAAAGAGGCAGAAGAGGAATTGCTGTTGGCTGCTAATTCTTGTCTTCCTTTGCACCACTTTGCAGATCCTTTACCAGCCCTGAAAGATGACGAGGTAACTAAGAACCCGCCTGCTATTTAGAACATTTGCTGCTTCAGATTACTGTCCCTGGTTAGCACATTTGCAGCAAGGGTAACTTGCAAGTTTCCCTGTGGGCAGCCAGAGACACGACCAAGACCATACGAAAGACAAGATGGGCACTCCCTCCCCATTCCATGGGCAGAAGCTGACCTGTCTGGCTGCTGAATCTCCAGCACTGAAGAGAGAATAGTTCTCCCAAGGAACCTGAAGGAAGCAGCCTAGATTTAGGGGACCAAGGCAGGCCATGTTGCATACATAGCTCTGTCTTCCAATGGCGGGAGGAGCTGAGGAGGAACTGCCAGGGGGCTGTTGCCACTTCCTTCTCCAGCATCTGCTGCCTGAGGCTGTTGTCTCATTTGGCCTAATGATAAGGCCAGCCCTGGCTGGGGAAGAAGAAATCAGAGGGAAGCAAGTGATCAGCATGTGAGTGGTGTTCTCTCTCTCTCTCTCTCCCCCCAACCCCAGGAGGAGACCCAAGAGGAATCGATCTACGTGGAATGTGAGCCCAGAGCAGGTGAAGCCCCTTTCCCCACCAGAAGCCACCACTGTGATGCTTCTAGGAAAGGGTTGTAGCTCAGTTCTGGATCGCAGGCTTAGCAAGCAGAAGGTCCCGGGGTCATCAACGCCTGCCATCTCTGACTTATGATGGGAAAGACCTTTTGTCCAGGACCTTTGGGGCCTTCTTAAGGGCTGCTCCCAGACTCATCTTGTCCCCCCCCCCCGATGGCCTCCTGACAGCAAAACAATCGTCTGTGTTTTAAACCATATTAAGGTAAAAAGGTAAAGGACCCCTGGACAGTTAGGTCCAGTCAAAGGTAACTATGGGGTGTGGTGCTCATCTTGCTTTCAGGCCGAGGGAGCCGGAGTTTGTCCACAGACAGCTTTCCAGGTCATGTGGACTAAACCGCTTCTGGCACAACAGGACACCATGATGGAAACCAGAGCACACGGAAACTCCGTTTGCCATATTATCTTCCTTTCATTATGTCCTTTAAGCAGCTGCCATTTTAACATTGTCTTTGATCTTCATTGTGATTTTGCTTATTTGTTGCATATTGGACTTTATTGTTGACCCACTAGGGCTTTTTTATTTTGTTAAGGGTGATCATCATCTGAGGGATCCAAACATGTGACAAATGGATGGATGGTCTGCTGTATCTGGAATACGGCAGCTTCACATTGTCCCCAGTGGTGCTAGGTGCTTGTATCCAGCAGACGCCAGCTGGGACCAAAGCCGCCCAAAGAGGGGTGCTGAGCTCCAGCCTGCCACCTTCCTTGTGGCCTGATCCTCTTTTTTCCCCTTCCAGCCTTGGTGCCCCGCAAAGTGCTTCCTTGTCTAACCCCAGTGCCTCCTGTCCAGCCTCTGAAGCAAGCCAGGTGAGTGTGTCCTCCTTCCAGAAGAGAAAATCCCAGTATCTGTACATCGGGGTAGCCCACATGGTGCCCTCCAGATATTCAAAGAATCATAGAAATGTAGAGTTGGAAGGGACCCTAAGGGTCATCCAGTCCAACCCCCTGCAATGGAGGAATCTCAGCTAAAGCATCCATGACAGACGGCCATCCAACCTCTGCTCCAGCCCTCATCAGCCACTGCACCATGGCCATTAGTCAGGAAGGATGAAAGTGAAAACATCCATGAACACTGAGATAGCATATTAGTCTCTCTGTCCCTTACTATCTCTTCAGAGGGGCAGCGGTTTTCCAGGGTCCTTGGCAGACATCCCTCACTTTAGCCCTGCATTCTGGGACTCACTGCACTGGAGAGGCTGAGCTGAATGAAGTGGTCTTTCTTTGAGCCAGGGGTCAACCCGACACTCTTGCTTCTGTACTTGCACCGCACTGAGCTCCCCCCCCCCTTCTCAGTGGTGATGCTCAGTATTAGGGAGGGGCCCCTGCACTGCCTCCCTGACCATTCCTAGCCCTGCCCTGACCAAGTGCTCAGCAATCAGCATAGTGGGCTGGCCTGTTCTAGACTGGAGGAACCAGTACCTAGGCTGGCTGTGCTCCTGGATCCAGCCTTGTTGCTTGAGACCCAGGTCTTGTGCCAAGGAGCACCTTTCTGCAGCTGCAGCTGGTTCAGCAGCTATGGTCATCCCCGGTCCAAGGTGGTCTGAGAACAGTGTTGCATGCTCTAGAAACTTCCTGTTCCGATTCAGAAGCTGCACAATGTGGCTGTGCTAACTACCCAATGGGTCACTGTTGCTTACTGAGAGGGTGAGAGGCAGAGGGGTCAGTGCAGTGCAAGGACAGCAGTGCAGCCAATCCCGAACTGCCCCCAGCACATTTGCAGGGCATGGACTCCCCAACCCTTCCCCCCCCCCCGTGACTCACCTGCCCAGAAGCTCTTGCCTCGCCCTGTGAGCTGCTCCTGCTCAGATTTCTGAAGTGTGTCTACCAAGGCTTTTCTTTACTGTTGCTGCCATTTAAACTGTTAATGGTTTTAACCAGTGTGGTTTTTTTGGGGGGGGGACGCATACCGCTAAACATTTTGTGAATCTAAGTTTGGCCTCATTGAGGGGCAGTATTTCAATATGAGTAGGAAAATGAGAATACCCCTAAACATTTTTTAGGGGGAAAAAGCACTGGTTTTAACTACATGTTATGAATTGGAATGACATTGTATTTCACTTTGAGTTCACAATGGGATCAAAAACAGCATGTAAGTGCATGAAATAAAGACATAGCAGTTGTTGTTAAGAAGCAGTGCTGTCTTGAACAGAGATTAACTGCTCTCTGAAATTCACCAAGGACCTGGGCATGTTCACAATTCTTTCCCTTTTCATAATCAAATGCTCAGTCTGAGACCTGGGTTTGCAAATCTGTGGATCAAGGGGTTCTAGATCTTAAATGTCACAGGGCTAATGTCACACCACAATCCTATTCTCCCCCCCCCCTTTCTTTCTTTCTCTCTCTCTCTCTCTGATGTTAGGCCAGCAATCACTCCATCAGGACCCCAGAAGGTAGGTGTGGGGGCTGGCAAGGGAGCACTAGAGAGCTTGAGATGAGGGTGATGGCCAGGGGACGTCTCTGGAACTTTGCATTCATGGGCTTAACTGTTGTTTTGTTTTGTTTTGTTTTGTTTTGTTTTGTTTTGTTTTGTTTTGTTTTGTTTTGTTTTGTTTTGTTTTGTTTTGTTTTGTTTTGTTTTGTTTTGTTTTGTTATGCTATGCTATGCTATGCTATGCTATGCTATGCTAAGGCAGGCCACCACAAACTCAGGATGCGGCAAACCAAACTGCTTAACCTACCCTGCAGGGCTGTTGTGCTGAGAAAATGGAGGGAGGGAAGAGAAGAACTTGTTCATGAGAAGAAAGGGCAGGATAACTAAAGTGACCTATGGGACCACTTTGTCTCAGATTTTCCTGCTTGGCAATTGCACTCCTCAGAGGAGGCATCACTAAGATTACCGAGTGTCCTAGAGTTGCACATAATAAGCACTTGAGGGCTGGCTTTTAGTGTTGCAGCTCCTGCCCTCTGGAATAAACCATGAACTGAAATTAGACAGGTGCCTAGCGCCTTGATAGCATTTTTGTTTAAGGAGGCTTGCCATGAAGTGCCTGACCCAGTCATTTTAGGGAATGAAACCTGTGAATTTTTATAAATGCATTTATTGCTTTTAGTTTAGTGAGTTTGTAATTTTTTTGTATGGTGGTTTATAAATCAGGCCTGTGTTGAGGAAAAGGATGTCTGGGAACAGGGGTGCATGGAGTTAGCCCTATGCAATTGCTGGGCAACAGGTAGAGATACCTAGGCTATGGGAACAGGAGGTGAAAACTCTGTGTGCTCGTTTTCTTTCCAGGCCTTTGCGGAAAACCTGTGCAAAGGTAAGTGCCACACTCTGAAGCCTCTGCATCCGCCTTTGTCAACCTGGCCCCTCCAGATGTTGTTGGACTACAGCTCCCACCAGCATAGCCTCCAACATGTGGAGTCCCAAAACTCGGGTGCACGAGATCATGGAGCCCAAAAGATGTGCTTTTTTCAGGACCGTGCTCTCACTATGCCCAAAAATGTGTGTTTTGGGGTGCTGCACAAGATTGTGGCCCTAAAAGGAAGCGTGTTTCTGGGGCAAGATCTCGGTGCAAAATTGTGTGACATCATGGTGACCTGGGGGGGGGGATGTCCTGGTTTTTCTGGGACACTTGCGGGGAGAATGCACCAGCCCCAGCCATGTGATGCTGAGGATTGGGGGCTTATTCTAGTGGCCATCTTTGGGATCCCCTCCTAGTCTGTGGCTTCATATCTGTAAGATGAAATTCTGTAAAAACAGAGATTGCTAAAATGATCAAATAAGTCTCTTTTTGAGTTAATGACTTTAGCCAAGTGTGTTGAGTATCTCTTTGCACGGCTGCCATGGAATTTTGAAGGGGTCTGGCCCCGCCTTGATTTTTTTTTTGCAGGGGGGCTTGGTGCCCCTGCTCAGCTGTACATGAAGATTGGACCAGGGATTGGACCAGGGATCATCTTCATGCGGAGCAGATTCCCGATCCCCAAGCGACAGCTGTGCTCTGATCTTGATTGCTCATGCGATGTGTGTGTCATTCATGCACTGATGTGGCACAGGGAATATTTGCCTATGTAATACATATCTCAGAATCCCTGAAATGTTCTATCTATTTCAGGTGTGTGTCTGGAGAGCGGATCTGTGCCAGAGGTGAGCAAGGAGATCTTGCCTGAGGATTCTTTGGCTGCCCTGTCCTCTTGCTTATAGAGCAGCAGTTAAAGTTTAACCTCCCTAATCCCATGGGGCTAAGCATAACAACAGAGAGAGAGAAGGGCAGTGCTGTTGCAGGGGGGTCACTGCTGTAGCTAACATAGGATTGTTACCAACAGCAAAGAGTCGTGCAGTATCTTAAGGATAATGCATTTATTATGACATAAGGGTTTGTGTTCTAGAAGAGTGATGCCTCTTCTTTCGCCTCCCATGCCTCATTATCAGGGCACATATGAATTTATTTAGTATTGCCGTGGGTGTGGGGTTTTGAGTTTACTTTATTGCTGCAATGTGCCCAAGAGTGGTATTATGGGTGGGCAAATCTGTCCATTCATTCCACCGTGGGTTTTTTCAGTTTGTGATTATTAAGTCCCCATTAAAAATTGTTGTCATTTTAGTGCCCTTTCCTCCTAATACACACATTTAAAAGCAGTTCCCCCAATATAAACTTTGTATGTTGTTTTCAAAAACTTATGCATTAATATGCACAATTGACCCTGCGGATGTATTTCTGTACACATTGTTTGACTGAGAAATGCACTGCAAAATTTTGAGAAGTGCAAATTTAGATAGTTTCTGATTAAAATGCAAGCAAAATCACATTTCTCCCCACACTCCCACTGAACCCCCTGGGGTGTGTGTGTGTGTGTGTGTGTGTGTGATCTCAACCAGTGCTCATAAAACTTTACTGTTTGCTGAGTTTTGCTTTGCTCCTTTTTTTGCAGTTGGGAGGGAGCCTTTCACCTTTGCTTGACATGCCATTTGTTTAATTTGCCCTTGTTCTCTGCTCCTCTGACTAGAACAAAGAGCACTTTTAACATACGGTTTCCAGGTGTTCTCCCATCCAGGTACCTGCCAGGGCACGTTTTCTGTAGCTGCAGCAGTAATATTGCCACCTCCCCAGAGAAATCTGAAATGGTACCTGTGGGCGGAGGTCTTCAGTGACGGTGGAAAGACATGGGTCTGAATGGAACTGCCGCTTTGGTCTGTGTGAAAAGAAGCTGTGCCCCTACCATTCCCTGTGACTGTGCTTGCCTTATCATCTGTTACATTCCCTTAGGATTTTTGCATGCAAAACAAGGCCTGGTATGCAGGGAGCTGTGACCGACATACAGCTGAGGCTGCCCTCCTCCGGTTTAATAAGGTAAAGGTGTGTCTCCTGAAGTTGCCCTGCAGCACCGTCATAATGCAGCTGCTGTTCAAGGAAGAGGCTCTTCCAATCCCTTTGCCTTCTGGAGCCACGAAGTCTCCATGGTGCTCACCAGCTGAATTAGCTGCAGCTAAGTAACTCGGAGGTCCAGCAGCTGTGGCTGAATGGGATTTCTGAGTGTCATGAGACCAGAAGAGAGAGAGACCCTGCAGGGAGCCAGTTTGGGAGGCAGGTTTGGGGGCTCCATTTTAAAGGCCTCAGTGTAGCAGGATGGACAGATCATCTGATACTGGGCACAATCAACCAATACATTTTCTTGCTTAACCCTACTGGCTGGCAGGAGCTGGGCAAAGATAGGATATCCTGTGGTTAATGGGGGGGAATTTTCCACAGAAGACGCCCTTGGGCACGCACCGCCTCTGGGCATTCTGCTGCCTGAAGCAGCTGCCTCAGCCTACCTCATGGGTGGGCTGGCCTTGGGTCAGAGCACACCTGAAGTAGTGTGTCCAGTTCTGGGCACCCTGTTTCAAGAAGGGCCCCTTTTGGGGGCACAGCACAAGCCTTGCCTCCCAAAGGCCCCAGGGTCACCCCCACTGGCGTCTTCAGGGAGAGCTGGAATCCAGTGGAGACACTGCCAGTCAGTGTTGGCAGTACAAGGTTGGCTGGATCAGCACTCTGCATGAGGAAGCTTCCTGTGCTCCAGAGGACATTGACCAGCTGGAGTGTCCGGGGGGGGGGGGGGCAGCCAGGATGGTGAGAGTTGGGAAACCAGGCCTATAAGGAATGATAGAAAAAGCTGCATATGTTTAGCCTGGAGAAAAATGAGAAGGAAGAAGAGGAGACATTGCAGCATACGGTAGTTCTCAGAATGGCCGCGCTCTCTGCTTCTGAGGGGGTAAATAAAGATATTGAGGCAAAGGGCCTGTTAAGAATTTTACTAGTTGCAGCAAGAATCTCCATAGCCCAAACCTGACAGATTTTACAAGGTATAGGACTAGATTAATGTTTTAAGACTGTATGGAGAATGGCACTTGTGGAGATAATAATTTATTTATTATATTTATATAACACCTTTCCTTCCAAGGAGCTAAAGTTGTTGTATATGGTTCTCCTCCTCCCCATTTCTTCCTCACAGCAACCCTGTGAGGTAGGTTAAGCTAAAAGATGGTGACTGGCCCAAGGTCACCCAGTGAGCTTCATGGCTGAGTGGGAATTTGAACCCTGGTCTCCCAAGTCCTAGTCTGACACTGTGACCATTGCACCACACTGTCTCTCACACTGGTTTTACCTTTTGTTAAAACTAAGGTCATGTGTGTCTTGTCTCCTTTGGTTGATGGAGACCATGATGATTTGGTATACAAGATTTGGTTGAAGGAATGATAAGAATGTATAGTAAAGCAGGATTGAAGACTGTACAATAGAATATGAATAATAGCTACTGGCTTTTAACGAGAGGAGTGTTGAATTGATTGTATACATGCAATGCAAAATCAACAAAAAAAATGGGGGGGGGGAGGTTATCCCAAGGGCTGAAAAGGAGGAGATGGCTTCTTCTCTGCTGCTCCACAAGGGAGAACTAGAGTCAAGGGAAGTAACAGAAAGCAGGTGTCGGCTGCACATGATGAGACACTTGCCCTATTAAGCAGTGAAACTGACACTTAAATTATGGGCTGGGGGAAGAAGGCCTATTCCGATTCCAAGATCCAGATTTTCACCTGCATTTGACGTCTCCTCCCTTAACCTGAATGTCTCCACCCTCTTTTTTCACAAAAGGACAGTGCCTACCTGGTGAGGCAGAGCTCACGACACGGCTGGAACCAGCCATTCACTTTGGCTGTGCTCTTCAAGAAGCACGTCTACAACATCCCCATCCGCTACTTAGAGAGCAGTCGTCAATACACGCTTGGCAAGGATGGCAGGAGCCACGAAGAGGCGAGTGCTCTCTTCCTATGTTGGGAAGGCCATGGCGCAGCCGTAGAACAGGCAGAAGGTTCCCAGTTCCTTCTCCAGCATCTGCAGGAAAGGCTGAGAGACCCGCTCTCTGCAATACTGGAGCTCCGCTAGCAGTCAGCTTAGTCAATGCTCAGCAGGTCCACTGAGTCCTGTCACCTGTATTTCTCATGTTTTTTATTTCAGGGGGATTACCGGTATGTGGAAGAATGTTCCAACCGTGCTTACTCTCCTTTTATGACAAAGAGATGCTGGAAACTAAGTTGTGGAATGGGCACCAAAAATTGGTTGCAGGCCACTTTAATCTTGCTTCAGTTGTTGCTCCTTCTTCTCCTGCCCCTCCTGCCTCCCTCAGTGTGGGCTTCCACGGACAGGTATCCCCAAACTCAGCCCTCCAGATGCTTTGGGACTACAACTCCCACCATCCCTAGCTAACAGGACCAGTGGTCAGGGATGCTGGGAATTGTAGTCCTAAAACATCTGGAGGGCCGAGTTTGGGGGTGCCTGTCCTAGGAGAAGGGGTCAAATTAGTTAAGTGTACACTGAAATGTGAACTGAACTGTTTTCCTCTCCCATCCCCAGCCGGAGGGCACCTGATGTAGGGCCACCTTGCAGAAGCCAAGGAGGTCCAGGTCTTCTCAGTGTCTGGATAAGCACCTGGTAACCCCCTGCCCACCACCCAGAGTTCCATGATGGAAGAAACAAATGTGCCCGTCTCCCTCTCAGCTCCCACCCACACTAGGCATGTTAAAGCACTGCTGTACCACCTTAAGAGCCACAGCTTTCCCCAAAGAATTCTGGGAGCTGTAGTGGTTGAGGACCCCCTAACAATTCCCAGCACCCTTGGCAAACTACAAATAAAGGATTCTTTGAGGGATTCTTTGAGGGATTCTTTGAGGGAAAGCCATGACTCTTAAAGTGGCCTAGGTGTGTGTTCAGTATATAGGGTGAATGTGACCTCAGTCAGCAGAGCTCTGCCACCTCGTGACTTGAGGGAAACTGGACTGAAAAAGCTAGTCCCTGGAGGTACAGAAAGAAGCTGACCTGCTCCCTGTTCTGCTCTTTTCCTTGCCAGCTCTTTGACAGCGTTTCCAGCATCATCCAAAGCTACAGCCAGCGCCCCCTGGTGCTGGTCGACGGCAGCACTTCTGCCAAGGAACAGACTTGCTTGCTGTTTCCAGTGAAGCCATGACTTTGGGGCCTGGGGCGTAGGACCAGCTATGGGGGAAGATGGGACGTCCTCCCTGACCTCAGGCACAAACGGCTTCATTTGCCTGGCTGGACCGACACAAGGCCAAAGGATCAGCGTGGCACCCTGGCATTCTGCAAAAGGTTCTTGTGAATCATTCGTCAATATTCCTCAATAGCCTTCTTCTGGCAAACAGCAGTGCATCTGCAAATATATTCCACTGGTACTGAAACGGCAAAGCAAGGGAACTTGTGGGCTGGTGGGATGGAAGGGAGAGTTTAGCAGGGATTCCCACCTAAGGCACCAGTCCTGCGGTTGGTTTATTTGTTACAAAATTGAAATGTTGCACCCAGTTAATAACACTGTTGCACAGCACTCCAATCTCTGAGCAATGTGAGATTCCAGGGGTTCCAGGCGCTTCACCAGGACTTGGTTCCCTCGGAATGAGGGGCAGCGGAGACTGTGGCATCTTTAGGATATGTGGCTTATGTACACATATGTGCCTACGATGAGCCTACGATGGAAGGGCTCACAGCATTAACACCCCAAGAGGGTCTTGCTTCTCCCAAAGGCACAGCCTTGGATTCAAGCAAAAACCAGGCATGGCCCTGTCTCTCAGCTGCCCAGCCTGCAGCCTCCTGCTTCCAGCTCCCCACTCACACACCTCAACTCTGGCCTTTTGTCTTTCTTCTTCTTCTTTGTCTTCCATAAACACAGTTTTAACAGTGAGGCCCTAAGTGACTGTGGAGGCCAATTCTGGATCCACATGTCCTTTCACAGTGGGGATATTAGTTTCCGGGGGGAGTTGATCACGGTGTGGATTTGTTAAGCGTGCCTTCCTCTTAGCACATTTCTCCCTTGCGTCCTGAGTTCGAGTGTCTTCAAAGCCCACGACACCTTTGGTAAAGGCTGTTCTCCAACTGGAGTGCTCGCAGGCCAGTGTTTCCCAGGTGTCAGTGTTTATACTACATTTTTTAGATTTGCCTTGAGACAGTCTTTAAACTTCTTTTGTTGACCACCAGCATTACACTTTCCATTTTTAAGTTCGGAATAGAGTAGTTGCTTTGGAAGACAATCATCAGACATCCGCACAACGTGACCAGTCCAACAAAGTGGATGTTGAAGAATCATTGCTTCTACACTGGTGATCTTTGCTTCTTCCAGTACACTGGTATTAGTTCTCCTGTCTTTCCAAGTGATGTGTTAAATTTTTCGGAGACACTGTTGATGGAATATTTCGAGGAGCTGGAGATGGCGTTTATCAGTGGTCCATGTTTCACAAGCATACAGTAATGTTGGTAGTACAATAGCTTTGTAAACAAGCATTTTGGTTTCCCTGTGAATGTCCTGGACCTCAAACACTCTGCACTTCGATCAGGAGTAAGCGGCACTTGCAGAGCTCAGGCAATGCTGGATTTCAGCATTTTGTCTTTCTAATTAATAGACAATTGAGGAATGGGGACCCACTTCCTTTGTTACATTGACGACCCATACTTAGGGGGCCACTACCAAGAAATTTGTCAGGCCGTTCCAACAAATTAGTCCTTGTTGAATCCAGGAATTGGAAGGGACTCCGGCATACTCAGACCCACCAGCCCCAGCCCGAAACACAAAACACTACATTCTTAACTCAAAGGTGGGTAGCTTTCAGGCTTGTTGGATCTACTTTGTCTTTTCCTAAATTCGCAAGAACTGCCAATATCAGCTGACACAAGAATCCACTCCTGGCAGGCTTTCGCCTTCATTTTAGTAGCCTAATTTATCTGGGGGGAAATGTAAGTTTCCTTTTGCAATTGTTAAAACATTGGGAGTCATAAAGCCTTTCTGATCTACTACAAATCACCCTGAAATCTGCCAGTAGACCCCTGTCTCCCTTCTGCTCACCCCAATTCTAGAAAATCTTGGTTTCTGTATATAGTATTGATATACAGTTTTGTTTTAATGTACGTTAAAATCTTTTACATTGCAAAGCACAGGCTTTTATTTTGAAAACATTATTCCAATTTCCCTAGCTGCTCATCCTCAGAAGAAAAATGACTTACGGTAACAGAGTAATTCAACTCATCTGTTTCTGTATTTTCTAATAACTACAAGGATTTTATTCTGCATGAAACTGATGCAAGGCCCAGCATGACTTGCAAATTACAGCCCATCTAGTAGAAAAGCATTTCCCCCTCCTATTCAGCACAAAGAAGAATCTGGAGAATAGCTTCCAGGAACATGTAGAGAATGCCCACGAGAACCAGCCAAATCAGTACAAAACTATATAGCTGTACTGATTGCCTCAGAATATATTGCCTTCTAGTTTGTAGTGATTTTTCTAAAATGATAATGCTTATTCTCATCTTGGTTCACTTTGTCAGTAGGGTGGGTTTGTTCCGTTTGTTGTTTTCTGTATGACCTGTCATGTGAACTCAATAAAACATTATAAAGAGGAAGGTGACCAGGTGCCCTCCTTTACAGAGGATGGTCCTCTCAGCCGTCCTGTATTTGAAGGCCTGCCCAGTCCAAGTCCAGTTTAAAGAAAAGGAACACTAAGAAGGCTGAGCGCTGGAGCTCTGCGGTGGAGCAACTGTCTTGCATGCAGAAGGACAATGCAATTATCAAAGGTGCAGGAGTCCTGGTCTCTTCTGCATCTGGCCAGACTACATGCCTGTTCTGTGACATTTTGAGGGGTCCTAATAAAGGTTTGGCCTGTTGTGCATTTGGGAGGTTTTTTCTTTGCAGAGCTCAACAAGCATTTTTTTAAAAATTGGAAATGTCGGTCTACTGGCAACTCACTGAATGACCCGAAGGTGTCCTCAGTTTTCACTAGATCTTGCCTCTCCGATAAGGGACGGCAAACAAAACCCCAGAGGGCCGGAACCTTTCACGATTCCTTGTGTTTTCTTCGTCAGGACAAGATGTTACATTTTCTGACTCGTGATTCGACATATTTAGGCAGTCCTCCAAGCGAGCGCAGCTCCTCAGCAGCAACAGGCCACACTAAAGAGGCACCAAGACAGGGCCTGGATCCTACAACAAATCCAGTCACCAACTTTGTGCCCATATCTATTCAAGGAACACTTTTACAGGACCTTATAGTGTCTGCAGCAGCATCAAAAGGTTCAGTTCACTTGAGCCGCCTGTCGCACACTCTTAATCTAGCCTACCCTGCAGGGACGCTGTGAGGATGAAATGTGGCTGTGGGGAGGCCTCAGTGTACAGCACCTTGAAGTATTCAGACTGCTATAGCACAACAAAACTGGGAGAACACAGCAAGAGAAAGGCATGGAAAGTTTTGGGATTTCAGCAGGATGTTACAGCATAGGCACTGAATGGAAACGAAGCAGTATGAAAACCACAAAACCTTCACAAGCGCAAAAAGTATTGAAAGTAGAACTGTGTGTGACCGCCCCAAAAACACCCTGAATGTGCAATGTGGAGGGGCTGCATTTATTTTATTTTAATTTTATTTATTTATTAAGTTTGTACGCTGCCCTTCATCTGAATACTTGGCTAGTCTAGATGTATTCAAGTCTCCAGGGCCAGATGAACTGCATCCAAGAGTATTAAAAGAACTGGCAGATGTGATCTCAGAACCACTGGCAGTCATCTTTGAGAATTCCTGGAGAACAGGCGAAGTCCCGGCAAACTGGAGGAGGGCAAATGTTGTCCCTATTTTCAAAAAGGGGAAAAGAGAGGACCCAAATAATTACCGCCCAGTCAGTCTGACATCAGTACCAGGGAAGATTCTGGAGCAGATCATTAAGCAAACAGTCTGTGAGCACCTAGAAAGGAATGCTGTGATCACCAATAGTCAGCATGGATTTCTGAAGAACAAGTCATGTCAGACTAACCTGAACTCGTTTTTTGACAGAATTACAAGCCTGGTAGATGAAGGGAACACAGTGGATGTAGCCTACCTTGATTTCAGCAAGGCATTTGACAAGGTGCCCCATGATATTCTTGTAAAGAAGCTGGTAAAATGCGGTCTTGACCATGCTACCACTCAGTGGATTTGTAACTGGCTGACTGACCGAACCCAAAGGGTGCTCATCAATGGTTCCTCTTCATCCTGGAGAAGAGTGACTAGTGGGGTGCCACAGGGTTCTGTCTTGGGCCCGGTCTTATTCAACATCTTTATCAACGACTTGGATGATGGACTCAAGGGCATCCTGATCAAATTTGCAGATGACACCAAACTGGGAGGGGTGGCTAACACCCCAGAGGACAGGATCACACTTCAAAACGACCTTGCCAGATTAGAGAACTGGGCCAAAACAAACAAGATGAATTTTAACAGGGAGAAATGTAAAGTATTGCACTTGGGCAAAAAAATGCGAGGCACAAATACAAGATGGGTGACACCTGGCTTGAGAGCAGTACATGTGAAAAGGATCTAGGAGTCTTGGTTGACCACAAACTTGACATGAGCCAACAGTGTGACGTGGCAGCTAAAAAGCCAATGCAATTCTGGGCTGCATCAATAGGAGTATAGCATCTAGATCAAGGGAAGTAATAGTGCCACTGTATTCTGCTCTGGTCAGACCTCACCTGGAGTACTGTGTCCAGTTCTGGGCACCACAGTTCAAGAAGGACACTGACAAACTGGAACGTGTCCAGAGGAGGGCAACCAAAATGGTCAAAGGCCTGGAAACGATGCCTTATGAGGAACGGCTAAGGGAGCTGGGCATGTTTAGCCTGGAGAAGAGGAGGTTAAGGGGTGATATGATAGCCATGTTCAACTATATAAAAGGATGTCACATAGAGGAGGGAGAAAGGTTGTTTTCTGCTGCTCCAGAGAAGCGGACACGGAGCAATGGATCCAAACTACAAGAAAGAAGATTCCACCTAAACATTAGGAAGAACTTCCTGACAGTAAGAGCTGTTCGACAGTGGAATTTGCTGCCAAGGAGTGTGGTGGAGTCTCCTTCTTTGGAGGTCTTTAAGCAGAGGCTTGACAACCATATGTCAGGAGTGCTCTGATGGTGTTTCCTGCTTGGCAGGGGGTTGGACTCGATGGCCCTTGTGGTCTCTTCCAACTCTATGATTCTATGAAGATCTCAGGGCAGTTCACAGCATAAAGATACAATATAAAAAAGACAAAATATATCATAAAAACAAGAACAGAACAAACTAATTACCACCCTCTCCCCCACCCCTCCCACAATCACATTTAAAAGGATACAGGAGGTTAATCAAAGACCTGGTTGTAGGGAAACATTTTTGCCCGGTGTCTAAAGACCCATAATGAAGGCGCCCAGCGTGCCTCCCTGGGGAGAGCATTCCACAAGCAGGGAGGCACTGCAGCAAAGGCCCGTTCTCATGTTGCCACCATCCAGACCTCTGGCTGAGGAGGCACACGAAAAAGGGCCTCACATCGTGTTTGCAGGGTCCAGGTAGGTTTGTATGGAGAGAGGCGGTCCTTGAGTTATTACTGAGCGGTTTAAGACTTTCTAGGTCAACACGAGCACTTTACCGTGGGCCCAGAAACTATTTGGCAGCCAGTGCCGTCAGGTCAGGATTGGCATAATCTGCTCAAACCGTCTTGCCCTGGTGAGCAACCTGGCCACCAAATTCTGCACCGGCTGAAGCTTCTGAACCGTCTTCAGAGGCAGCCCCACGTGTAACGTGTTGCAGTAATCTAACCCAGAGGCTACTAGAGCAAAGACAAGAGAAGTAAAGCTGTTTCTCTCTGTTCAGATAGGGGCGGAGCTGGTCCACCAGCTGAAGCTAATGGAAGGCCCTCTGGGCCGCTGAGGCCACCTGAGCCTCAAGCTTCTCCACATTTGCTATTTGCCTTTCTTCCGGCTACATATGCCTTTCTTCCCTCCCCCCACCCTGTCCATACAGTTATGGGTGACCACTGGTGCCTGCACCTTAGTCAATGGTAACAAATTTTCTCTCTCCATTACTTACTGTGTAAATTAAAATTATGCTCAGAGAGATATTTTATTTATCAACATCGCTTGGTTGTCCTCGGACAATTCTATTGGCAGGTAACCAGGGTTTTTGTTTCTAAATACCAAGATATATTACAAGGTGTGTTAATAAGCTTGACCATTAGGCAGTAAAGAGATCTGAGCAGCTGCTGCTGAGCCCATGGTCAGTTTGTTTGAGAGAGGTATCCGCTCCACTTTTCTTGAGTTTTCTGCGAAATGTGTCAAATGTGCATACTTGGTTGCTTTTGTGACACAGTTCACATATAAATGCACATGCGCTGTTTGTTTGCTCATTCATTCTTTTACTCATTCATCCATTTAGTGAGTTGTTCAATGAGTGTGCGTGATCAAATGCTGAATAATTTTTGGAATCAGCCTTAGAGCACATTTGGCTCTAAAAAGCGCACTGACAAAGGACGAGAGAAAAGGCTATCTGTGCCATCCTTACACATAGCTCTTTTGTTTCTTGGCAGCCCGAACAAACCCCAGGCAGGGATCTCGATGCCAGATCACCTGATGCTGAACCATCATGTTGCCTTGGCAACGAGGGGAAGGCAGCTTGAGAAGGGACTTGGGCAGGGAAAGGTTTGGCCAGGGTGGAGGTCGGACTGAATCATCGCCTCATTTGAGCTCCCCCTCCGCCTGCCACCTTCTTACTGCATCCCGTGATGACATGGTTGTTGTTTATTTTTATGGGAGGGAATACCCTAGATCAGGCTTGTCCAGCTTCCAAGAGACTGTGATCTATTCCCACAATAAAAAAAACTGGTGGTGATCTACCCACTGGATTGACCCTATACTCCCCAAATAAGGGGCAACAAGGTGAGTTTGGTAGGTCAGTCTGGATGAAGTCCTGAGTCCCTTCCAGCTCTTGGGATCCTGTATCTGTGGGGGTAGAACATGTAAGAGCAAGTTTTCCAGACCAGTTCCTTCTCTGGGCAATGGCTTTGGCTGACTAGTTAAGCACCATGAAGTTGCTCTGCACAAGAGAACAGAAGAGTGGGCCTCCCCACACCCCAGCCAGCTCACCTAGCAGCTAGGTAGGAGAACAATGGCCACAGCTGTGTGTGAATGAGCTGGGAAGAGGCTGGAAGGTGGAGACACAGAGACATGCCTGCTTCGTGCTGGATCCAAAGCTGTGACTAATGGAGAAGCAAGATCATTTGGTGTGTTAATGCTGTGAGCCCCTCCATCCTATGCTCAGGGTGTATATGTGTGTGTGTGTGTGTGTGTATGTGTGTGTGTGCATAAAACCAGATATCCTAAAGACTCCACAGTCTCCACTGACCTTCATTCCAAGGAACCCTGGGCAAGTGCTGGCGCCCCTGGAGTCTCTTGACACTCAAATACTGGGATGGTGTGTAACACATAATTTCCCACGCTACAGTAAATACAAGGATAAATGTAAGCAGTCGGGGACTACAGTTCGATTCCTTCGCAATATGTATAGCTGCAAATTTAGAAACAATTTCCATACTTCAAATAGAAAGGCAGTGGTACCTTGGTTTTCAAACAGCTTAGTTCCCAAACAACTCGGAACCCGAACGCTGCAAACCCGGAAGTAGGTGTTCTGGTTTTTGAAATTTGCCTCGGAAGCCAAACATGCTCTTGAGCTTCCGTTTTCACTGTTGCGCAGCTCATTTGAGTCCCCCCCCCCATCATAATAAAGGCTTTTTTCATTCTGTTTGTTTCCT